AATTGGTCAAAAATTATTCGAGTTATGAATTTTTTCCGATTTTTTTTCCAATTTTCGTTTTTCTGATAGGGGCGGGTAGGGACGCTGGCTATCAAAAATTTATTTAAAATATTTTTAATTGTCACATTATAAAAAGCATTAATTCTTCTTTAATTTGCGACCAAGGAGCAAAGAATTGGTCAATAATTTTTCGAGTTATGAATTTTTTTCTGATTTTCTTACCAATTTTCGTTTTTCTGATACGGGCGGGTGGGGACGCTGGCTATCAAAAATTTATTTAAAAAATTTTTAATTGTCACATTTTAAGGAGCATTAATTCTTCTTTAATTTGCGACCAAGAAAGAAAGAATTGGTCAAAAATTATTCGAGTTATGAATTTTTTTCCGATTTTTTTTCCAATTTTCGTTTTTCTGATACGGGCGGGTAGGGACGCTGGCTATCAAAAATTTATTTAAAATATTTTTAATTGTCACATTATAAAAAGCATTAATTCTTCTTTAATTTGCGACCAAGGAGCAAAGAATTGGTCAATAATTTTTCGAGTTATAAATTTTTTTCCGATTTTCTTACCAATTTTCGTTTTTCTGATACGGGCGGGTGGGGACGCTGGCTATCAAAAATTTATTTAAAATATTTTTAATTGTCACATTTTCAAAAACATTAATCCTTCTTTAATTTGCGACCAAGAAACAAAGAATTGGTCAAAAATTTTTCGAGTTATGAATTTTTTTCCGATTTTTTTTCTAATTTTCGTTTTTCTGATACGGGCGGGTGGGGACGCTGGCTATCAAAAATTTATTTAAAAAATTCTTATTGGTCCAATGAAAAGAAGCATTAATCCCTCTTTAATTTGCGAACAAAGAGCAAAGAATCGGTCAATAATTTTTCGAGTTATGAATTTTTTTCCGATTTTCTTACCAATTTTCGTTTTTCTGATACGGGCGGGTGGGGACGCTGGCTATCAAAAATTAATTTAAAAAATTCTTATTGGTCCAATGAAAAGAAGCATTAATCCCTCTTTAATTTGCGACCAAGGAGCAAAGAATTGATCAATAATTTTTCGAGTTATGAATTTTTTTCCGATTTTCTTACCAATTTTCGTTTTTCTGATACGGGCGGGTAGGGACGCTGGCTATCAAAAATTTATTTAAAATATTTTTAATTGTCACATTTTCAAAAACATTAATCCTTCTTTAATTTGCGACCAAGAAAGAAAGAATTGGTCAATAATTTTTCGAGTTATGAATTTTTTTCCGATTTTCTTACCAATTTTCGTTTTTCTGATACGGGCGGGTGGGGACGCTGGCTATCAAAAATTTATTTAAAAAATTTTTAATTGTCACATTTTAAGGAGCATTAACTCTACTTTAATTTGCGACCAAGAAAGATAGAATTGGTTAAAAATTATTCGAGTTATGAATTTTTTTCCGATTTTTTTTCCAATTTTCGTTTTTCTGATACGTGCGGGTAGGGACGCTTGCTATCAAAAATTTATTTAAAATATTTTTAATTGTCACATTTTTAAAAACATTAATCCTTCTTTAATTTTCGACCAAGAAAGAAAGAATTGGTCAAAAATTATTCGAGTTATGAATTTTTTTCCGATTTTTTTTCCAATTTTCGTTCTTCTGATACGGGCGGGTGGGGACGCTGACTATCAAAAATTTATTTAAAATATTTTTAATTGTCACATTAAAAAGCATTAATTCTTCTTTAATTTGCTACCAAGAAAGAAAGAATTGGTCAAAAATTATTCGAGTTATGAATTTTTTCCGATTTTTTTTCCAATTTTCGTTTTTCTGATACGGGCGGGTGGGGACGCTGGCTATCAAAAATTATTTTACACAATTCTTATTGGTCCAATGAAAAAAAGCATTAATCCCTCTTTAATTTGCGACAAAGGAGCAAAGAATTGGTCAATAATTTTTCGAGTTATGAATTTTTTTCCGATTTTCTTACCAATTTTCGTTTTTCTGATACGGGCGGGTGGGGACGCTGGCTATCAAAAATTTATTTAAAATATTTTTAATTGTCACATTATAAAAAGCATTAATACTTCTTTAATTTTCGACCAAGGAGCAAAGAATTGGTCAATAATTTTTCGAGTTATAAATTTTTTTCCGATTTTCTTACCAATTTTCGTTTTTCTGATACGGGCGGGTGGGGACGCTGGCTATCAAAAATTAATTCAAAAAATTCTTATTGGTCCAATAAAAAGAAGCATTAATCCCTCTTTAATTTGCGACCAAGGAGCAAAGAATTGGTCAAAAATTATTCGAGTTATGAATTTTTTTCCGATTTTTTTTTCAATTTTTGTTTTTCTGATACGGGCGGGTGGGGACGCTGGCTATCAAAAATTTATTTAAAAAATTTTTAATTGTCACATTTTAAGGAGCATTAATTCTTCTTTAATTTGCGACCAAGAATAAAAGAATTGGTCTAAAAATTTTCGAGCTATGAATTTTTTCCGATTTATTTTCCAATTTTCGTTTTTCTGATACGGGCGGGTAGGGACGCTGGCTATCAAAAATTAATTTAAAAAATTACTATTGGTCCAATGAAAAGAAGCATTAATCCCTCTTTAATTTGCGAACAAAGAGCAAAGAATCGGTCAATAATTTTTCGAGTTATGAATTTTTTTCCGATTTTCTTACCAATTTTCGTTTTTCTGATACGGGCGGGTGGGGACGCTGGCTATCAAAAATTAATTTAAAAAATTCTTATTGGTCCAATGAAAAGAAGCATTAATCCCTCTTTAATTTGCGACCAAGGAGCAAAGAATTGATCAATAATTTTTCGAGTTATGAATTTTTTTCCGATTTTCTTACCAATTTTCGTTTTTCTGATACGGGCGGGTAGGGACGCTGGCTATCAAAAATTTATTTAAAATATTTTTAATTGTCACATTTTCAAAAACATTAATCCTTCTTTAATTTGCGACCAAGAAAGAAAGAATTGGTCAATAATTTTTCGAGTTATGAATTTTTTTCCGATTTTCTTACCAATTTTCGTTTTTCTGATACGGGCGGGTGGGGACGCTGGCTATCAAAAATTTATTTAAAAAATTTTTAATTGTCACATTTTAAGGAGCATTAATTCTACTTTAATTTGCGACCAAGAAAGAAAGAATTGGTCAAAAATTATTCGAGTTATGAATTTTTTTCCGATTTTTTTTTCCAATTTTCGTTTTTCTGATACGGGCGGGTGGGGACGCTGTCTATCAAAAATTTATTTAAAATATTTTTAATTGTCACATTATAAAAAGCATTAATTCTTCTTTAATTTGCGACCAAGAAAGAATGAATTGGTCAAAAATTATTCGAGTTATGAATTTTTTCCGATTTTTTTTCCAATTTTCGTTTTTCTGATACGGGAGGGTGGGGACGCTGGCTATCAAAAATTAATTTAAAAAATTCTTATTGGTTCAATGAAAAGAAGCATTAATCCCTCTTTAATTTGCGATCAAGGAGCAAAGAATTGGTCAAAAATTATTCGAGTTATGAATTTTTTCCGATTTTTTTTCCAATTTTCGTTTTTCTGATAGGGGCGGGTAGGGACGCTGGCTATCAAAAATTTATTTAAAATATTTTTAATTGTCACATTATAAAAAGCATTAATTCTTCTTTAATTTGCGACCAAGGAGCAAAGAATTGGTCAATAATTTTTCGAGTTATGAATTTTTTTCTGATTTTCTTACCAATTTTCGTTTTTCTGATACGGGCGGGTGGGGACGCTGGCTATCAAAAATTTATTTAAAAAATTTTTAATTGTCACATTTTAAGGAGCATTAATTCTTCTTTAATTTGCGACCAAGAAAGAAAGAATTGGTCAAAAATTATTCGAGTTATGAATTTTTTTCCGATTTTTTTTCCAATTTTCGTTTTTCTGATACGGGCGGGTAGGGACGCTGGCTATCAAAAATTTATTTAAAATATTTTTAATTGTCACATTATAAAAAGCATTAATTCTTCTTTAATTTGCGACCAAGGAGCAAAGAATTGGTCAATAATTTTTCGAGTTATAAATTTTTTTCCGATTTTCTTACCAATTTTCGTTTTTCTGATACGGGCGGGTGGGGACGCTGGCTATCAAAAATTTATTTAAAATATTTTTAATTGTCACATTTTCAAAAACATTAATCCTTCTTTAATTTGCGACCAAGAAACAAAGAATTGGTCAAAAATTTTTCGAGTTATGAATTTTTTTCCGATTTTTTTTCTAATTTTCGTTTTTCTGATACGGGCGGGTGGGGACGCTGGCTTTAAAAAATTTATTTAAAAAACTTTTAATTGTCACATTTTAAGGAGCATTAATCCCTCTTTAATTTCCTTTTTATTTCTTGGTCACAAATTAAAGGGGGATTATTGCTCTTAAAAATGTGACTATTGCAATTTTTTTCTATAAACTGTAATAGCTAGCGTACGTTGTTTTGCGTTGATTGAACGGTATAGGGCCACCGCGCAACTATGTGTATCGGCGCCTATGGATTCTTCTGATGGCTGGCGGCCGGCGGGTCACTAGTTTCACCGAGCCGTAAAAATTAAAGAAAAGGATATAAATAAGTTAATGAACTAATTTGTTAGTTTATAAAATGATTTATTACATTTAACAAATTAATTAATACTCGTACTTAAATATTAAGTCATTTTAAATATTTATGAATTTAAAAAATTAATTTTTAAATTTTATAAATTTATTAAGTGTTTAATTAAATCAAATTATGATTTAAATAAATAAATTAATGATTGTATCAATTGTTTCAACTGTTTTTTAGTGCTGTTGATTTCAAATTGAAAATTAAAAATGGTGGATCCAATATAGAGGCCATAACAATTTTTTCGGTTGATTATAATAATTAATTTAAATTACAAATTAGATGTTTTTAATATGTACGTTAATTACCGAATTTGATGTCAGTTTTCGAAAATCATCATTTAAAAATCTAAATATGCTGAAATTAAATTCAGTTAATATTTTCCAAATATTTTCTATTTTTTCAGAAAGTGGTTTCGAAAAAATGAGATTCATCATCTTCGGAATTATTCCAGCAATTCTTCTACTTTCATTTGGGTAAAAAAAACATAATTTTTACAAAATATTTTTTAAAAATAAATTTATTCTTTAACTCTCCAAACATTTAAAAAAAAATAAAAAACATACTTTTATAAAAAAGTAAAAAAAAAAATTGTTTATTTTAAAAAATTTTAGATTTATGAAGAAAACTGCAAGCGCTTCAATGGTAGGAAACTCAAGAAATAAACATGTAAATGAATTTTCAAAATTTGGTTATAACATTAATGGACATTATAAAGCAAAAGAGGGAAATGAATATGGAAAGCATGAAAAAATTGGTGGAAAAAATGAAAATTATATGGGACAAAATTATGGAACATACGAGCATGGAAATAGAGCTAATATTCGAAATAGAATTATAAAAAAAATTAATGAACGCGATAATGCAGTAACTGGTTGGCATTTAAAGGCAACTAAGTTAATTAATAAAATTTATGAAATTTTAGAAATTGTTCATCCTTTAAAACTATTGAAAGCTCTTCAATAAATGATGATTCACTTTTTTTCTGAAACTTTTTGATAAAGAAGAAAAGAAAAAATTTATTGCGAAATAAATATATGAAAATTTTATAAAAGAAAATAATGAAAAATTTAAAAAAATAAATGAAATGGTATTATTTTGAAGAAATCTGATAAATTCATGTATTTAATGCCTATTTTGTTGTTAATAAAGTTTACAATGTATTAATTGAGAATTATTTTGAGTTTTTATTCACAATATTCCTTGAAAGTCAAAATATTGAATTGTAGATTAATTTTACACTTTTAAAATTTTTCAGGTCAAAAATTATAGTTATTGAAAATTTGTGAAAGAAATATTTTATATACTCTAAAATTTAAAAAATTTTCGAAAAAATGAAAAACATTTTTAAAAAAATTTTTTTTTTTATTAACAACAATTCCAATTGGGTTTGAAACATTTTTTATTGTAAACTACAGATAAAAATTAACACGAATATAAAATTTTTAAATCTTATGGTAAAAAATTGTAAAAGTTAAGAGAAAAATCATTTTTCTTTTCGAATTTTTTCGAATAAAATTATTTATATTTTAAATTCTATCAGATTCGCTATAATTTTAAAAATAACCTAGGTACATGTAAAAATTGTCAAAAAATTTTTTTTTCAATTTAAAATATAGAAAAGCATTTTTTTAAAGATTGTTTTAGTTCTTCAAAACAATTTTTTGATTCAAAAAACAAAATTTAATGAATAAACCTTTTAAAATTAAGTTCACTGCATTTTTTTGAAAAATAAAAATATATATATTTATTTTTTTTGAAATAAAAAAATACAAATTTCATGTCAAAAATTGTAATAAATTGATGGTGAAAAAAAAGGTTTTTTTCTTTAACAATTTTTTATTTTTTAAAAAAATTATATTTCTTAGAAATGTCGTCAATTTTTGTTTAATTTTCAGATAAAATACAAAATTTCACTTCTGTAGATCTAAAATTATATAAAAGACAGATTTTTCTTTTCTTTTTTTTTGACACAATAATGGACAATGTGACTACATTCCTGAACTACTTCCTCCATTTTCACAAAGCCACAAAGCATGTACCCTGATGCATTTATCTCTGAGGGTAAAAAAGACAGTTCCATTTCTATCCTTACTGCGACAACACTGTCAGTAAAGTTTATTTTTTTCTTTAAATAATAAACAATTTTTTTTCAATGTCAAAATAATTTTCCAAAAAATTATTTCCTTCATTAAATTCTTATTAAAAAAAATAATTGAGAAGAATAATTTTATAATTTTTCATTTCATTGGAAAATATTCAATATTAAAATTTACAAAATCGATCTTTGTAACATGAAGAGAAATATAATTTTCCAAGCATTGAATAATATTTATTTTGAATTTAATTTAAACGGTTCTTGTGTCATATATTTCTCTTGACCTTGTTTCTGATGAAGAATTTATGACATTGATAAACATTTTTTTTATTTATCCCCCTAAATCGAGATAATTTATATCGTGAATTTCTTTTTTTAATTTTTTTTTTGGATATGAATATAATCATTTTATACGTCATATTTTAATTTTAATCTAAAGTAATGTACTTTTTTTCTTATAAATCTATTTGGTGATTAGGGCGACGTATTAAATATTGAATAACACAAATTATACATTTCATTGTCCAAGTTTATCGAACAGTGAATGTAAACTGGTAATGATGACAATAAATTTAGTAATTGTTTTAGTGATAACGTTCGCCGTCACTATTTACGGGTAAGTTTTTTTTTTAAACAACAAACTTTTATTTTTGATGAGCAAGTTTTAATTTTTTTTTAATTTTTAATTTTTTTTTAATTTTTAAGTTTCTATTTTTAATTTTAATCTTAATTTTTAACATTTAATTTTACTTTCTATTTTTCATATTTTATTTTTGACTTTTTACTCCTTAATTCTTAAATTTATTTTTTACTTTTTACATATTTTATTTTTATTTTTTTAGTATCAAATTTTTAATTGTTTTACTTACAAAAAAGCGGAACATACTTTTCGTATTTTTCTTTTACTTTTTTATAATTTGCTATTTTTCCTATTTTTTATTATTTTTTTTAATTAAAAAATTATTATTTCTTATTTATTCTTATTACTTTTTTTTTATTTTTATTTTCACTTTCTATTGTTTTTTTGTCATTTTAATTTCTACAATGAAATATTATTATTTTCTCTATAAATTTTCCATTTTTTTTGTTTTGCATTTTTTTTTTGTTTTTCATTTTTTTGTTTTTTTTTTGTTTGTTTTTTTTTCAGTTTCTCTTGGATAACAGTTTTGTTTACTAGAATTTTTTCACTTTGACAAATATTTTTTTTCACTGTTAATTAAATTATTCAAAGATATTTCTTTTGAATTTCACTTTTAAAAATTTTTAATTTTACTTTGAAAAGATTTTTAATTTTACTTTCAAAAATTTTTATTTTTACTTTGACATTCAATTTCACTTTCATTTTCGCATTATCGGGTTTTTCATTTTTTTAATGTGGCGGATTTTCATTTTTAATTTCATTGCTATTTTTAATTTTCCATTTTCTTTTTTATTTCAAATTTTCAGTTATAGTCATTTTCACTTTCATTGTCACATTCACTTTGATTTATTTTTAAATATAATTTTTACTATGAATTTTTTTAATTTTAATTTTGTCAGATAGTGATTTTCACTTTTATTTTCACATTCACTTTGATTTATTTTTAAATATAATTTTTAATATTAAATATTTTTCTTTTAATTTTGTCAGATAGTAATGTTCACTTTCACTTTCACTTTCATAGATTTTTTCCTATTTATTTTCACTTTTAAGCTGAGAGTCAAAATCTGTCAGTAAGGTGAGAGTGAAAGAGAAAATAAAATTTAATGTGAAAGTAAAAAATGAAAGTGAAAATGAAAGTGAAAATGAAAGTGAAAATAAATACCTGTCAAAGTAAAACTAAAACTAAATGTGAAAGGTAAAATTTCAAAGTTGTAAAAAAAATTGTAAAATATTTTCAGAGAGTAAAATTTTTGTCTTACATCCTTTTGACGTGAAATTATTTTCAGAAACGAAAATACAGAATCAGAATGGAAATTTCCAAAAGATTTTATAATTGGAGCTGCGACAGCCTCTTATCAAATTGAAGGAGCCTGGAACGAAAGTGGTAATTCTAGAAGAAATTTTACCCATCAATTTTTCAAGATCGAAATTTTTCTTTTCAAATTGTTGAAAAATCAAGTTTCCTACATTTTCTGTCCCAAACAAATTGCTTACAATAAATTTTCATTTTTAGGAAAAGGGGAGAGTGTTTGGGACCATTTCACCCATAACAAGCCCCAATTTATCGAGGATGGAAGCAATGGTGACGTGGCCTGTGACTCTTACCACAAGTACAAAGAAGATGTGTCGATACTTAAAGATATCGGCGTAAGTTTTCTTTTCTCTATCATAAAATATTTTTTTCCAATTCAACATTTTTTTAAATTACAATTTTAATTATACTTTTAATAACCATACTCTAATTACAATTATGTATTACCTCTAATTACAAATACATAATTACCTCTAGTCATCAATTTTTCCCATTATTCCAAAGTTTGACTTCTATCGCTTCTCAATAAGCTGGACAAGAATATTTCCAAGCGGTTTTCCCAATAAGATCAGTGCCGAGGGAATTAAATACTATCATGATTTAATTGATGAATTAAAAGCAAAAGGTCTGGAACCGTTTGTTACAATTTATCACTGGGATCATCCGCAAGTGCTGGAAAAACTCGGTGGATGGACCAATGAATTGATGGTTGATTGGTTCACAAGTTACGCTCGTGTTGTAATTAAGGAATTTGGTCCTAAAGTTAAATTCTTTGCAACTTTAAATGAACCGATGGTCTTCTGTCCTGAAGGCTATGGAGGACTCACTAAAGCTCCCGGTGAGTTTAAATTCCCAATTGGATTGTTACTATTTTTTTCCGATCGGAAAGTTAAATGTTTGACTATGCTTCATACTAAATTTACAGGAATTAATTTACATCTCTATGGGGAATATATTTGCATGCACAATGTTTTGAAAGCTCACGCTAGAGTTTATCATATGTACAATGATGAATTTCGTTCTACTCAAAATGGTAAAATTGGAATTGTCAATCCCTGTCAGTATTATTTTTCGAAAGACGAAAATGACACACAAACACGGGACATTGCGTTTGAGTACACCTGCGGATGGGTTTCACATCCAATATTTTCCAAGGAAGGTGATTATCCTCAGGTGATGAGGGACAGAATTGATGAGAATAGTAAACTTCAAGGATGGCCTACTTCGCGTTTGCCGAAATTTACACCGGATGAAATTAAATACATCAGGTGAGTTATTTCTTAGCTACGTGGAAAATTTGTCCGAGAGTCTCTTGGAAATTTATCACCGGAATCACTAGGGGGAATTCATTAAAATTCTCTCGAGAAGGTATGGGGAATCACTAATGGGAATTTCTCTAGAATCCCGAGGAATTTCTTTGGGACTTTTTGGGAAGTTTTCCATAAACAGACGTTTAGGGGTAATATGCCTCCTGGAAGAAGGGAGTTACGTAGGTATAATAATCATTTTTGTAATTAATTACAATAGCTCAGAAGTTCACCTTAAAACCCCTCACAATACTTACGCACTTGAACACCAGTCGAAGAACTAATGCTGAGATTTCCTACTTTCCAGTATAATAATAATTTTTGTAATTAATTACAATAGCTCAGAAGTTCACCTTAAAACCCCCCACAATACTTACGCACTTGAACACCAGTCGAAGAACTAATGCTGAGATTTCCCGTTTTTGTCTTCCTCACATGTGCCTCCTGGAGGAAGGGAGTTACGTAGGTATAATAATAATTTTTGTAATTAATTACAATAGCTCAGAAGTTCACCTTAAAACCCCCCACAATACTTACGCACTTGAACACCATTCGAAGAACTAATGCTGAGATTTTCCGTTTCCTCACATGGGATCCTTTCCCTGAATTTGTAGAATCCATTTATTCTTGCTGTTTGGTTGTCCTTTAGTGAAAATAGCCCCGTCACCACGACAAAATCTATCCAATGCGCATAATGTTTGTCAACCACCATGTTTGGACAAGCACGATGCAACATATCCATGACATCCATGATGTTTGGCAGTGAACAACCATCGTCGTGGTCTAGACTATACTTCCGAATTAATACCACATCTCAGAAAGTTACCTAAGAAGGACATTACGACTCCCAATTGTCTTTTAATTCCACTCCCTGTCGATGTAAAAACATTCCCGAAAGTCCATCTGAAAATTATCAAAAGTATTAAATACTACCCTGTAGTATTGGTTTTAGGGAGTTTGGGGTAATGCACTTCCTGGAAGGAGGGAATTATTTAGGTATAATAATAATTTTTTGTAATTAATTACAATAGCTTAGAAATTCACCTGAAAAGCTGGGAGGACTCCAAATTCCTAATTTCGATGATCCCGTTCCGAGAACTCGATATACTTCCCACGTGATAGCGTCTGGATTACTGACATGTTAGGGAATCTCCCTAGAGTCGAGTCCCAAGAAATTTCGTTCAGATTTCTTGGAAACTTTTTACAAATTTCAATTTTTTTTTTCTTCTAGGGGTTCATCAGACTTTTTTGGATTGAATCACTATACGTCGTTTATAGCAATTCCACAGATGAGGAAGAAGGGATCTTTATGGTTTAATGATGCAGGATTTTACCGGACATTCAATCCAAAATGGCCAGGAGCTGCGAGTTCATGGCTAAAGGTATTACTTGTCAAAAATATAATAATTCAACATTAATTGATTTTAATTTAATTTTTTTAAGGTTGTACCAGAAGGATTCAGACATATGCTGAACAAAATTAGAAAAGAGTATCAGAATCCAGTGGTGTATGTTACGGAAAATGGATATTCAGATAAAGATGGTCTTAATGATTATGGCCGAATGAATTATTATTATTCTTACATAAAGCAAATGTTATTGGCTATTAAGGATGGTTGTAAAGTTAAGGGTTACGCATTCTGGAGTCTTCTAGATAATTTTGAATGGGAGAAAGGCTACACGTAAGTCGTATCTTTCAAAAAGAATGTTATAATGAAAAATTTAATTTTTTCTAATGAATTTAATTTCAGTGAACGTTTTGGAATTATTCATGTGGACTTCAATGACCGAGACAGAAAGAGAGAATATAAAAATTCTGCAAAGTGGTTTAAAAATGTTCTTCGTTCTCGAAAATTGCTGCCTATCAATTCTACTGATAATTTCGTTTGAATTAATTAGTTGATTAGTTGTTACTTTGTAAATAATTGTCAATTGCTCAAGAAACTAATTTTTAGTAATCGTCATTAATTATTTCCTTCTTGCACTTTCCCAAAAGAATAAATAAATTGGAGATGATTAGCAAACGTAGAGCTAGTATCTGCAATTCTAATTTTCTTTTAACCGATCAATCTTTTAAAAAAAATGTTGCATACAAAGTATTTGCAGTATCTTCATCTTTTCTTTGGAGATAAATTTTAAATATATTTTTGTATTAATCGTTTTTGTATTCATGCAAATTATTTGTTTTAATAAACATTCAAAACTGTAAATGTAGTATACTTTCTTATCCTTTTTCCAAAATAAGTTCAAACGAAAAATTTAAAGACTGTCTTAAGGAGGAACCCATATTGAAAGGTTGATATTCAACATTCAAGCGTTTTAAAGAAATTTGTTTAAATAAAAATATTAAAAATAATAAAATAATTTAATTTAAATAATAAAAAGAGTAAAAATGTAATACAAAAAAAAAGAAAATAAATTTATTTCTTTTTATCAATAAACTGATGATGGGGACGCACTCCCACCGCTTGTCACCAACACAAAGATCTGTTTAAATATACTTAACTCATTTAATAAAAAAATATACATCTCATTGTTCTCGTTTATCGAGCAGTGAAAGTAAAGTCCTCAAGATAATGATTAAATTAGTGTTTATTTTAGTGCTATCTTTTGTTATTGTTTATGGGTAAGTTAAATAAACAATAATAGTAAATAAGGAAGAATTGTTAACCAATAGAAACCTGTTTAGAAAAATAATATTTCGATAACTATCTGCGCCATAAATTTCTTAATATGAATTACGTATGCCAACATTTTTTAGAAACTATTTATTATTTTGGAGAAACTATTTCTTTTAATTTTTATATTTTAAATATTTTCTTCCAGAAAAAAGAATTTCAGAGAAATTTATCAATTTCCAAAAGATTTTATAATTGGAGCTGCGACAGCCTCTTATCAAATTGAAGGAGCCTGGAATGAGAGTGGTAATTAAATTCTATTATCGCATTCCAGCTTTGATAAAATTGTTTTTTAAATAATTAAGAAAATTCTTGTTTTAAATTTGGCATGAATATTAATTATAATTTTATCCTTTGTTTTCATATTGCAAATCAAAAAAATCATTTTAAGTTACAATTTTGCAAAGAAAAAAAATTTTTTATTCAGGAAAAGGAGAAAGTGTTTGGGACTGGTTCACCCACAATAAACCATGGATGATCAAGGATAAAAGTAATGGTGATGTGGCTTGTGACTCTTACCACAAATACAAAGAGGATGTATCAATTCTAAAAGACATTGGAGTAAGTCAAATGATTTTCATAAATCCAAAGCACCCTCTATTATACACTATTTTCCACAGTTTGATTTCTACCGCTTCTCAATAAGTTGGACTAGAATATTTCCAAGTGGTTTTCCTAATAGAATCAATTCAGCAGGAATTAGATATTATGAGAATTTAATTGACGAACTGCGCTCGAAAGGTCTCGAACCATTTGTTACAATTTATCACTGGGATCATCCGGAGGTACTGGAAAAACTTGGAGGATGGACCAATTCACTGATGATCGATTGGTTTACAAGCTATGCTAGAGTTATCATTCAAGAACTTGGACCTAAAGTTAAATTTTTTGCCACAGTGAACGAACCTATGGATTTTTGTCACAAGGGCTATGAAGGTTTGGATCGAACTCCAGGTGAGGGAATTATAATTCTCTTAATATTGATTACTAACTAAGGAGCTGGAGATACATCCAGACCCTCAATTGGTGAATAAGTTTCATCTACTAAAAGTCGTCTATTTGTAATTGTAGCTTTAGATCCAGACTCGTATGCGGAATATATTTGCATGCACAATGTTCTGAAAGCACACGCAAAAGTTTATCGTATGTATGATGAAGAATTCCGACCATCACAAAAGGGAAAAATGGGAATTGTCATTCCTTGTCAGTATTACTATTCAAAACTGGAAAATGACACTTTGACGCAAGACATAGCCTTTCAGTATTCATGTGGTTGGACGGCACATCCAATTTTTTCCAGTGATGGTGATTACCCTGAGGTTATGAAGAATCGAATTGATGAAAATAGTAAAATTCTCGGTTGGCCTTGGTCAAGATTGCCAAAATTCACCGAAAGTGAAATTAAGTACATAAAGTAAGTATAATTTTTCAATTCTAATAAACTTTTAGCCTCTAGGGAATATTAATTCCACAAATAATGCATTTGTAGTGAATGCAATAGCATAGACTCAATAGTTTAATTTAATGTGTGAATTTATTCTTTATATCAAACAATGAAGATCAGACAATCAAACGCACTTCTTAAATGTAGTATGGCTGCAAAAGGTAATGTTTGACATAACAAACATTTCTCAAATGAAACGTAAAATTGATAATTCGGCAGAGCCATCTCATTTTGGACCAAAAAGCTAAAAACAACTTAATAAATTATTTAATAGTGGAAAAAATTTTAAAAACAGAACATTAATGTAACTAACAAAAGGTAAACACTTACAGAGGGACGTCGGACTTTTTTGGAATCAATCATTATACATCGTACATTGCCGTTCCAATCGAAAAGAAGGATGGAGGTTTATGGTTCAATGACGCAGGATATTACAGAACGTTCGATCCAAAATGGCCCCCAACTGCCAGTTCATGGTTCAAGGTAAGGTGCATGTCCTAATAATAATAATAATAATAATTATATTTTACTAATTAGTAAACCAAAAGGACAGCATATATGCATTTGATTGTACAAATTATCGAAAATTGAAAGTAGTTAAAATATTCCCTTAGGTAGTACCGGAAGGTTTTAGAAATATTCTGAATAAAATAAGAACAGAATACAATAATCCAGTGGTGTATGTTACCGAAAATGGTTATTCAGATCGCGATGGCTTGAATGATGACAATCGACATAAATATTATTATTCGTATATAAAGCAAATGCTACTGGCCATTAGGGATGGATGTAATGTTAAAGGTTATGCAATTTGGAGTCTTTTGGACAACTGGGAATGGGAAGACGGTTATACGTAAGTATTTTCCGAGTATTTTCAAAACAAAAAATTTATTGTATAGGTATAATTAATTATTTTTAAGATATCCTTATATATAGTCCAAATATAAGTAAAAAAAATAATAACTTTAAAATAATAACTTAAAATTTTTTTCAAAATTTTTCAAACTTGGAGGGGTATAAATTTTATACCCTTCATTTTTCAAACTTATATCCCTTTCAGGGGTATAATATATATATATATATATATATATATATATATATATATATATTAATAAATATTTGTAATGTATCACAGTGAACGATTTGGAATTATTCATGTTGACTTTAAGGACCCCAATCGGACAAGAACATACAAAAATTCTGCCAAATGGTTTAAAGATGTTCTACGAACTCGAAAACTTCTTCGCATCAATGATTACATATAATTTTGCAATTTGTCAATTTAAAAAGTTGCATTAATTTAAATAAAACATTAAAATGTACAATTATGCTTGCTTTTCCTTCGAGAATAAAAAAAAGTCGTTTGCCTTGTTATGTATATATATATGGGGCATTCCACGCCAAGTCGGACACCTTTTGACTTTTGCATCTCCGATTTTTTTCAAATATTTTTTTTCTTTTAGTGCTGGTTGAAAGGAACTTCCATGATTTTTTTCAAATTTTTTCATGAAGTAATTTAAGAGATCTGGGTTTTTGAAAAATCACGTTTTTTACATAAATTTTGTTTTTAAATGCTTATAACTCGGACAAAAATTGATCAAATTGGACGTTCGATATATGAAAATTTTTGTTTTTACACGTAGTTTTTGATAAAAATATTAAAAAAAAATTTTTTTTTAATTTACCAAAAAAATTTTAAATTTTAAAAATAAAATTTAATTTTTAAGAATGTATGTATCGATCGATTTTTTTCAAAATTTTTTGTAAGAAACTGGTACTAAATTAAGAATTTTTAATCCTTGTCTGATTGTGGGCAAACGATGGGATCTATTTATTTTGTAATTTTTAATTTTTGTATACGCAGTGAAAACGGTAGGTAGCCAAATGCGTAACTTGACATTTGACCAAATCACGCAAATTTTTCAAACCAAAACTGTTTTCAGACTGAGTCTCTCCGAACTTAACCTTCTTACTGTTTAAAAAAGTGATTTGATCAAATTGCAAGTTAGGCATTTGGCTACCTACCGTTTTACAAAAATTAAAAATTTCAAAATAAATAGATCCCATCGTTTGCCCACAATCAGACAAGGATTAAAAATTCTTAATTTAGTACCAGTTTCTTACAAAAAATTTTGAAAAAAATCGATCGATACATACATTCTTAAAAATTAAATTTTATTTTTAAAATTTAAAATTTTTTTGGTAAATTAAAAAAAAATTTTTTTTAATATTTTTATCAAAAACTACGTGTAAAAACAAAAATTTTCATATATCGAACGTCCAATTTGATCAATTTTTGTCCGAGTTATAAGCATTTAAAAAAAAAAATTATGTAAAAAACGTGATTTTTCAAAAACCCAGATCTCTTAAATTACTTCATGAAAAAATTTGAAAAAAATCATGGAAGTTCCTTTCAACCAGCACTAAAAGAAAAAAAATATTTGAAAAAAATCGGAGATGCAAAAGTCAAAAGGTGTCCGACTTGGCGTGGAATGCCCCATATATATGTCGTAGGCAAGTAGAAGAATCAGGCATCAGCAAAAAAATTACAGATTTGAATTTTTTTATTGAAATTAATAATTATCTATTATTATAATAAGATTTGTAATTACCAGGGACCGTCTCAAAAGTTAAGTGTCGTTTTAGTTTCTAAGTTGACACGAAACTAAACAAACAAAATTATATTATAGTTTCGTGTCGACTCGAAACTAAATTAACGTCTAAATATTTTAGTTTAATATCAAATTGAAACTGAATAAACTGATTAAATTAAGTTTCGTGTCGACTCGAAACAAAAAATTGAAAAACATAATTATTTAGTGTCAATCACAGAAAAATTATTGTTTCCTTTGACTTACGTAACTCGAGCAACTTAAGTCTAATGTAACTATTTAATGTAACTTATTAATGTAACTTACGTAATGAATGAAACTTACGTATGTTACGTAAACAGAGTAAATTACGTAAGTTACGTAACTAGAATCTCTTACGTAATTATTGAAACTTGCGTAAGTTGCGTAACTAGAGTAAATTATCTATTTAACAGAATTTACGTAAGTTACGTAATTGATTACAGTTACGTATGTTATGTAAACAGTAAATAACATAAATAAAGTAACTTACGTAAAAATTTAACTTACGTAAGTTACGTAACTAGAATGTCTTACGTAATTATTGAAACTTGCGTAAGTTGCGTAACCAGAGTAACTTATGTATTTAACAGAACTTACGAAAGTTACGTAATTATAACAACTAACGAAAACTTGCATAATTTGTCTAGTTACGTAACTTACGTAAGCTGTATTTCTTACTCAAGTTACTTTAGTTATGCTATTTACTTTGTTTACGTAACTTACATAAGTTGTTCTAGTTACGTAACTTACGTAAGTTGTTTTATTTACGTAACTTACGTAAGTTGTTCTAGTTACGTAACTTTCGTAAGTTGTTTTATTTACGTAACTTACGTAAGTTGCTTTAGTTACATAACTTGCGTAAGTTGTTCTAGTTATGTAACTTACGTAAGTTGTTCTAGTTATGTAACTTACGTAAGTTGTTCTAGTTACGTAACTTACGTAAGATACTATAATTACGGAAGTTCCCCTAAATACGTAATATATTCTAGTTACGTAACTGACGTAAGTTCTATTTCATACGTAAGACATTCTAGTTACGTAACTGACATAATTTCTATTTCTTACGTAAGTTACTCTAGTTACATGATTTACTCTGGTTCATATAAGTTACATTAATTAATAATTACTTAAGTTGCTCGAGTTACGTAAGTCAAGTGAAACAATTTTTTTGTGATTGACACTAAATAATTATGTATTTTTCAATCTTTTGTTTCGAGTCGACACGAAACTTAATTCAATCAGGTAATTTATTTTTGAGTCGACACAAAACTAAATAGTTTGAAATACATTTGTTTTTGGATTATTCAAGAACTAAAACGAAAGTATAATTTTCTATTTTGTTTCGTTTTAACATCGGTCTCTGGTAATTATACTGTTTTTACGAAATTATAATATCCCAAGTATGTATTATAATAGAAAAAATAAATTAATGTAAATAAAAAAGTAGTAAACTTGCAAATGTTTTACAATTCTCTCTTATAGAAAATATTAATTATCTGATCATGAAAAAACTCGACTATATTATCAAGTTTCATCACTTATTATTCTAGTTGCAAGATAGAGACAATTTTCAACAAGTGAACATGATAACAATTAGCCAAATAAAATTGTGATAAAAATTTTCTATTCGTTAGGTTTGATAAATAATTCAATAGTGTTTTTATTAATCAAAAAATGAAAAACATGTGCTTTTCAATAATACAAGATAATAAAAATTAAACTAATAAAATATTTATAAAATATTTATAAAGTACACATTTATTTAAATAAATAACGTAAATTTCAAGTTAATGTAGAATCAATTTTTTAAATATAAGATGAAATCAAGTGGAGTAAAATTTTCTTCGTTTGTAACAATTTTTCTCATCAATTCTGTTCTGATTTCTTCGACGAGGGCAAACATTGGCGATTTTTTCGAATCTATAGATATTGAGGATCTTTTTTATAATTTAGGACCAACGAAGCTATTGGCAATATTTTTCAATGAAACAAATTCAGTGTCTAGTGCAGAATGTTTAAAGGATCTTTCATCTTACAAAATTGGTTTACAACGAGAAGAAAAATGGGCAAAAACGAGTAAATATTTTTATAGAAAAATTTTATATTAATACAAATTTCCTTACTGATTTTTATACTATAAAAAAATTTTCCCTACTAAAAAAACAAAGCAATGACATCTTGAAAACTGTTCATTTGTATCAAAATTGTCCCAATTAATTTATTTCTACAATTGGATCTTGTATATTTGAAAAAAAATGTCTATTTTAAATTTTGAAAATCTGACACTAGATTCGTAATCGCAGAGCTCGAAGACCCCGAAGAAATTTAAAAGCGAATTTGGGGAAATTTAAAAAAATTAGATTTCGATATTTTCTTATTAATATTTTTTTATAATAATAATAATCGTACTACCTGATTATTTTTTTAATTGTAGCAGCGGCCATTCGGATTAGAAAGAAATTTACCCCTAATTAATTGATTGACTTTCATAAGAATAACATAAATTTTTCTAAGTGGGACACATGTGTCCCGGAGTGGGACACTAGAGAATGAACCTTATATTAAAGATCTGTTGGGCTATTTTCTAATTTATACCCCAAAATACCTAATAAAAATATTCTTCTAGTGTTAGATTCGTCCACAAAAGTACCATCTGGCATTTTAGCAGCAAATATCATTGACTTCGGATGGTTTGATCAGTGTATGTCAGTGCAAGTCATCAAAGATGGATCCAATATTCTCGGCAATCATTGCACTTACACCCTCTATTTTTCCTACAAAAATCAATCAATTTACATTAATCCAATTATGTCCATTTGTTTACCTCTCTCGTGTACGGAAAATGACTTGAATCAAGTTCTTCATAAGCGACTAGAGGAAGTGGACGGATATCAGAAATACCAAATTTGGAGTAATGAGGTCCTCTGTTCCACTGCTCCTTCACCATCAATAAAAACTGGAGCTGTCATTTTTATGTAATATTTTTTTTACTTTTTTTACTTTTTTACTTTTTTACTTTTTTACTTTTTACTTTTTACTTTTTACTTTTTACTTTTTACTTTTTACTTTTTTGACTTTTGTACTAATAGAAATGAATACTAAATTTTCTTTCAGAACAATTAGCACTGTTATTGTAGTTATACTACTAATTGCTACAATTCTGGATCTAGCTACAATTAAAAGGAACCAATGGAGTAAATTTTCAAAAAGAATCTGCAAATTTTCGATTAGGAAATACTTTACAAATATCATAAGTTTGAAAGATGGGGATAATTCAATTTCTGTTTTACATGGCCTAAGAGCCACTAGTACACTATCAATAGTAATGGGTCACGGTTTACTTATGAAATCCTTTCAGTCAATTGCAAATCCCTTGGAATTTATGGAAGTAGGAATAAGAAAAAGTTAATTCTTTTTTACTTTTATTTATAAACAAATATTACTTTAAAGTGCTCTTTTTTCAGAATCCTCCACACATAATGATACTTGGGACATTTGTCATTTATAGCGTTGAGACATTCTTCACGATTAGTGGCTTTTTGGTCTCATACATATTTTGCAAAAAATACATGTCGTCTACAAAAAAATTCAAATTATTCTCATATTACTTGCATCGTTACATTAGGTATGGAAATGGTTAATTAATTATTTTTTGTTTACTGTATAATTTTAGCACTTTTATTAATGATTTCTTTCAATCAAAGATTAACTCCTGCAATTGCTGCTCTCCTGTTTTCATCAATGTTCTGTACTTACTTGTTTATTTCGGGACCCAAATTTAGAAAGATATCTAAAGACTTCATAGCTGAAGCATGTGAAGATAAATGGTGGTCAGTACTCTTATACGTTAACAATATGGTCGATAAGGATAAATACGTAAGTTCTTAATAATACTCTCCAATTGTAAATTTTTTCTATTTAGGGGAGATTTATCCCTGACTACAAATTTGATATGACGATGTTAGATTTAAAAACCGTGATAAGTACTGAAAGTCTAATATTGTAATTTTACAGTGTATGGCCCACTTATGGTCTACAGCTGTAGATTCACAATTATTTCTGATATCTCCAATTATTCTAATACCCCTTGTCAAGAGACCGAAATTTGGTTTATCATTTTTGGGTTTGTTGATTATTGTTTCTATTATAATTCCTGCTGTTATCACTGCCGTCAATGAGTATCCCTTCTTTATAAATCATGAAGTAGGGTAAGTAATAGTTACTAAATCTAAATAATCAGGGTTTGCCACGCTTTACCTCATTTCAAATTCCCTGACAGTTTTTAAAACTACACTTATTATTTTACCAAATTAAATCTATTTTACATTTATTTAAGAATTTCTGTATAGTTGTAAAATTAATCGAAAACATCATTTATTATTTTTCCATATAGGAATTAAAATTTACATTTCACATTCAAACCTTTTAAAATGCAATAACTTAAAAGAATATTATTATAAAACATCAATATTTTATATTATAGGAATTATTCGGAAATTCTTCAATTAAGGGCATTTGAACCTTGATGACGTTACAGATTGTGCAAAGAATGTGTGACGTCATCAAGGTTCAAATGCCCTTAAATAAAAATTATAAAATAGAAACTTCAAATATTTCAAAATAAATCCATTAAACTTTTTTTTAAAAAAATAATTCTACACAATTGTTATAGTTAAAAGTATGAAAAATTCAGATTTTCAAAAATTTTATAATTTGAAAATTTTACGAAAGTTCAATTATTTTTAAATACAAAAATAAATAATTTATTGAATAATTGAATGTTTCTTACAACTGAAACAAAACTAGAATTTTATTAAAATTTTTGAAAAAATTGAATTCTTTAGAAGAATTTTATTAAAATTATATAAAGAATTGCATTTTTTGAGAAATTTATATCAATTAATATTTAAAATTTCAAACCGAAAGTCATTTCTAAATCAATTTTTATTAGGAAATTCAACGAGAATTCAATTATTCAAATATATAGATAAATAATTTTTTCAATATAATTTAATGTTTCTTAAAATTGTACTAAAAATAATTGAAATTCTGCGATGAGTTTTCATTCATATTAATGGGAAAATAATTGAATTCCTAAAAAAGAATTTTATTATTTATAAAAATAATTGAATTCCTAAAAAAGAATTTTATTATTTATAAAAATAATTGAATTATTGCGAAGAAATGTATAAAAAAAATTGTAAATAATTGAATTCCAGTAGAATTTTTACTATATTTATGAAAATAATTAAATGTTTGCGCGGAATTTTATTAAAATTTGTTTTAAATAATTATTTAAAAAAAATTTTAACAAAATTCCACGCAAACATTTAATTATTCTTTTGGAAAATTTTATTCAAATGATAATTAAATTTTGCAGCAGAATTTTATTTATTTATAAAGATAATTGAAATTTTTACCTGAATTTTTAAAAATTTTTCAACATAAATAATTGAATTTTTGCGACAAATTTGATTACTTTTGAAAATAATTGAATTTCTAATATTATTTTTAACTTTCCTAAAAAAAAATTTTATTATTTTAGTGTTTTTAACTAAAATTCATATTGAAATTTATTTTTATTCATTTATTTTTATTCATATATCTAATAATTTATTGAATTCGATTAAATTTGTATTAAAAATATAATTGCAATTTTGCGTTGAGTTTTTTTTATTTCTCAAAAATCTAAATTCTTTAAAATTTCTAATTTTAATTGAAAATTGAAATTTAATGAAATTTCATATTAATACAATATTCAATTTTACCTAAAATTTCGATTATTCTGACGATTCTTGAATGAAAAAAAAAATTAGAAATTAAAAACTTCAAATAATTAAAAATAAAATTCCATTAAACTTTTTGAGAAAAATTAATACTATAAATTTCCTTAAAAATCTTGTCAAGAATTTAATTATTTTTAAAGATAATAAAAATTATTCGCAGGAATTCACATTATTTTCAAAAATTTGAATAACATTCTTCGAAATAATTCAATTATATTTTTAAAATTGACAAAATTCTTCGCAAGAATTCAATTATTTTTAAAATTGATAAAATTCTCAGTAAGAATTCAATTATTATTTTCAAAAATAATAAAATTCTTCATATAAATATTCAATTATTTTCAATATTAATTTTTACGTAATTTCGATTATTCTGACATTCCTTCAATTAAATATTATATTAGAAAATAAAAACTTTAAGAATTGAAGAAAAATTGATTAAACTTTTTAAAAAAAATTAATTCTACATAATTGTTAATTATAAGTATGAAAAGTTCAAATTTTCCAAGATTTTAATTTGAAACCTTTTTAATAAAATTCAATTATTTCTAAAAATTTACGCTATATTGCTTTCAATATTCAATAATAATCTAAAATTTTAACTGAAATTCATTTTTAAATCAATATTTACTAAAAAAAAAATCCACGAGAATTCAATTATTTAAATACAAAAATAAATATTTTATTAAATAATAATTGAATGTTTCTTGAAATTGAATTTTAATAAAAATTTTAAGAATAAGTTCATTTTTCGATTAAAATTTTAATTAAAAATAATTTAATTTTTTCAAAAAATTTTATAAGAGTTTTTGAAAATAATTGAAATTTTGCCAAGAATTTTATTAAAATTTTAGAAAATAATTTAAATTTGAAGAAAAATTTATAAAGATTATTGAAATTTTGACGAGAATTTTTAAAATTTTTTTTAAATGTCTACGAAGAATTATATATTAATTTTTGAAAATAATTGAATTCTTAAGACGAATTTTATTGAAATAGATAGACATTGAAAATAATTGAATTTTGACAAATTTTTGAAATTGTATTAAAATTTCTACAAACAATTTTATTAAAATTATTTTGAAAAAAAAATAAATTATTACAAAGAATTTCATTAAAATTTTTGAAAATAATTTAATTTTTGGAATAAATTTAATTAAAATTTTATAAAAAAAAAAAAAAAATACTTAAATTCTAATTTAAATAAATTGTAGCAAAAGTTTCTAAAATAATTGAAATTGAATAAAATTGAAAATTGAAATTGAATTGAAATTGAAATTGAAATTGAATAATTGAATTTCTTTGAGGAATTTTAATAAAATTTTTAAGAATAATTTCATTTTTCGAGGAATTACATATTAAAATTATGATTACTTTCTAGATTTGAACGTATGATGGAATCTTTTAGAAATTTATATACGCAAACTTATGCGAGAGCAAGTCCTTGGCTTATTGGAGTTCTTCTTGGTTATATAGTTAATAAATCGACAAAGGATCTAACGAAGGTATGTTAGTAATTTTCTATATAATTCGAATAAGCAGATTTTAATGATAAAATAAAAAAAAATGAAAAAAAAACCTTTTTATACCCTTTAAGAGGATGATCAGTAAATGCTAGAAAATATTCATCAGAAGCCAAAAAAGTTGCTATATTGCTACTTTTCAGAACAAAAAAAAATCTACAATTTACCTTTTCAATCTGATTAATATTTGAAAATTCATTTACAGAATACAATTATCTTTTGGTGGACATTCACAATAATTTCTTTTTTATTTTGTTTTATTGGATTAACATCGTTCTACCTGAATGGCTATAAATACAACGTAATATGGGAATCTATTTATTGCTCATTATCCCGACCATTGTGGTCAATTGGAATATCTTGGATTATTTATGCCAGTATTCATGGTTACGGAGGTAGGATATTAAAAATAAAGTAACAAATTCAGGGTTCTATTACATTCATTTACAAATTTCTTTAATTGTAAAATTATTCAAAAACATCAATAACTTCTTTTTTAAATAAAGTAAAAATTTTTTTTTTTTTTTTTTTTTTTTTTTTTTTTTTTATTAAATCATTATTATTTTTCTGTAGGAATTAAAATTCTTCAAAACATTCAAATTCAAGCCTTTTTGAAATTCAACAACTTATAAGAATATTATTACAAAACATGAAAAGGCGATAAAAAAAAAAAAAAAAAATGAAAAGAAAAAAAAATGAAAATAATAATAATAATAATAATAATAATAATAATAATGTTTTGTAATAATTTAAATTATCATAAAATTTTCTAAAATAAATTAATTATTTACAGAAATCCTAAAAAAATCCTTCGCAAGAATCCAACTATTTTTTACAAATAGTACAATTTCACAAAAAAATTCAATTATTTAAAAAAAAATATAATAAAATTCGTTGCAATAATTCAATTATTTTCAAAAAAATAATAATAAATCGATTATTCGTTAATTCATTTTTAAATCAATTTTTATTAGAAAATTCTAGAAAAATTCAATTATTTAAATTAAAAAATAAATAATTTATTGAATAATTGAATGTTTGTTAAAATTTAATTCTCATAAAGAATATTATCAATAAATTTTTAAATAATTGAATTCAATTGACAAATTTTAATAAAATTTTGAAGAATAATTTAAATAAAAAATTAATTAATTAATTAATTGAATTAATTATTATTTAATTAATTTAATTATTAATTTAATTAATTAAAATTTTTTTTTAATTTTATATTTTTTTTTACATTTATCGAGAAATTTTATTAAAATATTGTATTTAAAAAATAATTAAAATTCTGCGATGAGTTTTATTATTTATCAAAATAATTAAAATTTTCCTAAGAGTTTTATGAAAATTTTCATAAAATAATTGAATACCAGAGAAGAATTTTATTATTTATAAAGATACTTGGAATTTTAACAAGAATTATTATTTTTTTTTTATATTTTTGAACATAATTGGATTTCTGCGAAAAATTTTATTATACTTTTGAAAATAATTGAATTCTTTCAACAAATTTTATTCAAATTTATAAAAATATCTGTATTTTTGTGAAGAATTTTATTATTTATATAAATAATTGAATTCTTACAACGAATTTTATTCAAGTTTATAAAAAATAAAATTGAATTTCGGTGAAGAATTTTATTATTTATAAAAATAATTGAATTCTTGAAAAGAACTAATGTTAAATTTTTTTAAATAATCAAATTCTTGCGACGAATTTTATAAAAATCTTTTTAAATAATTGATATTTTTCGAAAAATTTTATGAAATTTTGTATATTTTAAATTTATTGAATTCCCGTGAAAATTTTATTACTTATGAAAATAATTGAATTATTTCAAAGAAATTTATTTAAATATTGAATAATTGAATTCCTGTGGAATTTTGACAAGAATTTTATTATTTATTAAAAAAAAAAATTGAATTCTTGAAAAAATTTTATAAAAATCTAATTGATATTTTTCGAAAAATTTTTTTTTTTGAATTTATTGAATTTCCGTGAAAATATTATTACTTATGAAAATAATTGAATTATTTCAAAGAAATTTTTTAAATATTGAATAATATTTAATTCCTGTGGAATTTTATTAAAATTTTTAAAAATAATTGAATTTCGATGAAGAATTTTATTATTTATAAAGATAATTGAAATTTTGACGAGAATTTTTTTTTTTAATTTTTGAACATAATTGAAATTCTGCGAAGAATTTTTGTGACTTTTGAAAATAATTGAATTTCTGTAATTATTTGTAACTTTTTCCAAAATTCAATTTTTTTTTTTTTTTTTTTTTTTTAGTATTTTTAACTAAAATTCTTCTATCAATCGAGTATTTATGAAAATTGTAAAAATTATTCATAAAATAATTTATAAGTCATAATTTTATGATAGTTTTTGAAAAATTAAGTTATTTAAAAAGAAATTATTGTCAGAAATTGAAAAAATTGAATGTTTTGTATTAAAATTCGAGGTAATTTCATATAGTTTACGAGGCAAAAAGGAAAAAAAATGCAGAGTTTTCTCATGAATTTTAAAAATTCAATTTTTTCCAGTACTTGTAGTAAAAATCCCTGACTTTTCCCTGAATTCCCTGACCTGTGGCAACCCAGCAAATTCCACAATTTATTATTATTATTATTTATTATTTATTTTATTATTTATTTATTATTCAATTCAAGATTTCAATATTTTTAACAAAATACTTTTTTTTTACATTTGTTTCAGGAATAGTAACAAAATTTTTGTCACTACCCATTTTTTATCCAATTAGTAGATTGTCATTTTGTATATATTTAGTTCACATCATGAATGAGGCATTACATTATCAAACGATAAGAACGCCCATATATTTTACAATATTTTCTACAGTAAGTGTGTATCTAATAAGTGGTAATGATTTTAGGTACAATAATATTATTAAGGAAAGTTAATTTAAAGTACTTTTCTCATTTATTTAAATTATATTATAATTCAACAGATTTCTGAATTAATTGTCGACATTGTTGAAGCAGTAATTATTGCCTGCTTCTGGAGTATCATTTTTGAATTACCAGCTCAGACTTTGGAAAAAATATTGTCGGGACGTAACAAAAGATAAGATTTATGAATATATTTATTTATTGTTATAAATTTGTAAATTATATTAATAAATTGAAATATGTTAATAATGTTATAATTCAAATTTTCAAATATATATTTAAATTATAATAGAAATAAAAATTATAATTTAACCCTTTCGTACCTCCAAGAAACGGCTAAATACGAATCTACAGTCAGATTTTAAAAATTCAAAATGGCGGATCCAATATGGCGGACGAAATTTTTAGAAGTGTCTGGATTTGCTTGAAATTTGGTACCCAGGGGTTTTTGGCATCGATGATTATGAATCCGATGTCGCAGTTTTTAAAAATTCAAAATGGCGGATCCAATATGGCGGACAAAAGAAAATTTTTAATTGATCGGATTTGCTGAAAAAAAAATTCGTTTTTAAAAAAATATAAGCGAAAATAAAAATTGGTATTTTTTCAAATGTCAAATAATTATTATACAAAGAAAAATAAAATTAAAATTAAATTAATCGTTTATTTAATATTTTTTATACAATTTTTTTTTTTAGATTAACGATTTTATTTTATCGTTTTAATAATAGTTAATTAAATTTACACATGCAAAAAATGGTGTGAACTTGGAAACTAAATAAACAGAAATGAAATAAATTAAATTTTCTATAAAAAAATGAATCTTAAAAATTTTAATTTCCACATTAAATTGTTAAATATATAAATCTTTATTCGATGAGGAAATTTTTTTTTTTTTCAAAATAGTTAGGTATACATAAATGCGTATTAATCTAATTTGTACATATAAATGTATATAAAGATTGATAAAAGTGCGTAATTATTTGATATATTATTATATGTATTATTCATTCTCGACTTATTATAAATACTGTGTGTTAAATATATGCAAAAAAAAGGAGAAAAACGTATTTCTCGTTTGCCTTGTGATAACTTAAAAAAAAAATTGACTTTATTATCATCATCGGGAAAAAAATGGCAGATTTGCCAAACAAGAATGTGCACTTTTTTTTAAAAAATGAAACAACAATTAATAATTATTATATATACTTTCTTTTATACAAAACATTTTCTTTCTTTAGAAAAGAAAAATATATCTTTTTTTTTTTTGGTTATAACGTAAATATTTCTAAAACAAAAGAAAATTAAATCTTCTCCGGTGAATAAATTTTGCAAATTGAAAATAAAATATTTTCTTAATATTTTATTTCTTAATTTTATATACTAAAAATGGTAATTTTTAGCCGTATTTGCATTTTTTTTTTTTTGGTATCAATTTATTGGAAAAAAATTTTTTTTTCACCAGAAAAGTTTTTAATGTCTATAATAAATAATCGATGTGTTCATTAAAAGAAATCACCGAAATTTGATGTCAAGTACAAAAGACGACATTTATGAAAGGCACATTTTTTGTGTGACGGGTATTATTTTTTTTTCTTTTCTTTGCTTTATAAACTAGATAGCTTTATAAATCAGTCCTTTTTTTTTAAAGAAGCGTTTTTTCGTTCTTTGTTTTTCTTTTTGAGAATCTGCTTTTGATGCTCGTATTCGAAATCCTCTTCGGTGATGTTTAATTTATGAATCTATAAATATAAAAATTTTTCTTTAATATTAAAATTTTATTTTTTTTTTATAATAAAATGATAAATTATAATTTTTTACAGTTTTTATCATAGCTTTCTTCCCAGATGCATAGGACCCTTGGTTTTTTTATTTTTATAAAAAATTTTATTTTATTATTTAAGAAAATATGAAATCTATGAATTTATTCAATTAACTGTTTAATTTAATTATTAAATGAAAATAATTTATTATTACCTCATAGACTAATACTTCCTCTTCCATTATTTCGGAAGGTGGATTTCGAAGAATCTGAAGTGTCTCGTACATCGTTGGACACTTTTTTGTTATGGACGTTCGTCCCAGGCAGCCCTTCAATAAAACTAGACCAACTTTAAAAATAATTTTGACACCCTCGCACAAAAACATGTCCCATATTCGTAGAATACTTTCCCATGGCAATGTGCGCGTATAGACGCAAAGAAACCATTCAGTCATATACAAAATTGGCTCCATTTTTTGTTTCTTCTGCAAAATTAAAAAAATTACAAAAATTATTATTATTATTATTATTATTATTATTATTATTATTATTATTATTTTAATAATTAATAATTTTATAATTTTTACCCTATACAGTATAAATAAATTATTGTAATAAAATTGTGACGCGTTCTGAACTCTGAAGAAAGGTACCTAAGAAACAAGCGAATTATAGGTTATGTTTGTGTTTGATTTTTCTTCCTTGAAAGTACCTTTTTTATTTATATAAATTTAAAACCAGTTTTTATTGAATATTTTCAATGTAACAAAGACTTGAATATCAATAATTTCTAATAGTAATTGATCCCATTTGTGTATTTTCAATATAAAAAATATAAACATAACCTACAATTTTTTTTGTTTCTTAAGGTACCTTTCTTGGGAGCGCGTTACAATTGTAATTTTCGTAATTAAATTATAATTAATATTATTATAGTTAATGTATAATTATAATAAACAATATTCATAAAAATTTGAAAAAAAAATTTTAACATTATTTTTAAAGTTGAATTGAAAATCATTTTTTTTTCTTTCTTTTTTTTGTATTTCCAAATTTTTAGAATAGAATTCGTAAACAAAAAAATGGAACTAATGTTTTTTTTTCTTTTTTAAAAAACATATGGAAAATATTCAAGGAAAAATTTTTATTTTTTTTTTATTTAGGTGAAAATTTTTAACATGTATAAATTTTTATTCATAACTAAAAGAAAGAGTAAAATTGTAAAACAATTAAAATACGTTGAAATAAATTTTATTTTTACAAACTCAATCAGTGGGAAATATTAGATAGCAAAAAATAAAACTAAAAACTGATAAAACGTTAATTTTTTATCGATTATTTCAGAAATGATTTCAAAAACTTTGTTGAGCAACATTATTTTCGGTGATGTTAGAAATATTTCTTTACCGATGTTTATCTAATGATTGATACTGTTAGACAATTTTAATTTAAAAAAAAGAACTTTCAGAAAATATTTCATAGATAAAGAAAAGATATTAAATTTTTCTAAACTAACACCTTTTTTCTTCTTTCTGAAATTTTAATTTAAATTTTTTCAATATTTTTTATTTCTACTTTTTTCATTGCTTTCATTTTTATTTAAATTTTTATTATTGTATTATAATTTATTTTATTTTAATTTTTATTATATTTTTATACCAAATTGACTGTTATTTAAATTTTTATTAATAATTACGTTACCTACGTTTTTAATAAATTTTTAATAAAAATTTTTAATTTAAAAATTTTTAATTAATTAATAAATTTTTAGATTAATAATTACATTACGTTTTTAGACTAAATTGAAATTTATTATTTAAATTTTTATATTTTTTTTTTTTTTTTGTAGACAATTGAAAATTATTTTAAATTTCATTATTTTTTCAGTAGAAAATTGACAAATATTTAATTTTTTTGGTACTAAAATGTCAATGATTTAAATTTTAATTATTGTTTTTTTGTACTAAATTAACAGTCTTATTTATTCAAATTTTCATTATGTTTTTAAACTTAAATTGATAATTGTATTAATGTTTATATTTTTTATCATTTAAATTTTTGTATTTTTTAGAAAATTGATAATTATTTTGATTTTCATTGTTTTTTGTCAATAAAATGAAAATTATTGTAATTTTCTTTTTTTAGTTGAAAATTGATAATTATTTTAATTTTCATTGTTTTTTGACAATAAAATGCAAATTATTTTAATTTTCATATTTTTTCCGTAGAAAATTGATAATTATTTTAATTTTCATTGTTTTTTGACAATAAAATGAAAATTATTGTAATTTTCTTTTTTATAGTGGAAAATTGATAATTATTTTAATTTTCATTGTTTTTTAACAATAAAATGAAAATTATTGTAATTTTCATTGGTTTTTAACAATAAAATGAAAATTATTGTAATTTTCATTGTTTTTTAACAATAAAATGCAAATTATTTTAATTTTCATATTTTTTCCGTAGAAAATTGATTATTATTTTGATTTTTATTGTTTTTTGACAATAAAATGCAAATTATTTTAATTTTCATTGTTTTTTCCATAGAAAATTGATAATTATTTTAATTTTAATTGTGTTATTACTATAATGTTAATAATTTTAATAATTCTATTATAATTTTTTTTTTGTATATAATTAACAATTAATTATGTCATTATGATTTTGTACTAAATTGATAATTATTTTAATTCTTCAAATTTTTTTTATAGAAAATTATGAATTTTTACAATTTTAATTTGTTTGTACTAAAGAAATGTTTTTTTTAAATTGATATTTGCTTTAATTTTAATTAATTTTTTTTAGTAGAATTTTGCTATTTTTTATTTATTTCTATTTTTTCTATTTATTTATTTCTATTTCTATTTCTATTTTTATTTTTTATTTCTATTTCTATTTCTATTTTCTATTTACATATTTCTATTCTATTTAATTATTTTTCTATTTCTATTTATTTCTATTCTATTTAATTACTTTTCAAATATTTTAATTTCATTTTTATATTTTTCACTTAATTCTTCAAGTTACTTATTTGGAATGTCAAAATTTATTGTTCACCCTCCTTTTGAAAAAGAAGAAGCAAAAAATTTTAGCGGTTATGTTTATAATTTTTTGGAGGAAAATACAGAAAGAGGATCAATTACTATTTTAAATTATTGATATTCAAGTCTTTGTTACATCAAAAATATTTAATAAAAACTGACTTCAAATTTTCGTAATTAAAAAGGAATTTTTAATCAAGTTAAATATACGACAAACATAACCTATAATTCGTTTGCTTCTTAGGTCACCTTTCTTGGGAGCGAGCGGAGCGAGTGACATTTATTTAAAAAAAAATTTACAATAATGAAAACAAAAAATTGTCAATTCTTTCTATTTTTTGTTTTCTTTCCTTTCTTTTCTATTTAAATAGAAAGAATTGAAGAAATAGAAAGAAAAATTTTTCCTTATATTTCTTCACTTCTTTCTAAGCTCGCATTAAATTTTTATACCTCGAAGGATTAAAATAAAGATTAAAAAAAAAAACAAGTGTTAAAATTTTGTTAAATACCAAATGCTTGTAGGCAACAGGAGAAACTCTCTTGAGCAAAGCAAAAAGAATATCGCCATCTCTCTGCAATGTTTCCATGCCTTGACTGTAATAGCCTGACAAATATTTGTCGCAAACAGCAACTAAACACCAGAAAGCTTGAACCGCAGGCATATGCATTAGAAGAAAAGCAGCAATTGGCGCTTGCGCTTGACAATATCCAACTTTGCTATTTAAAATTGAATATGCTTTGAGGACCTGAAATAATTCCTTTTGTCCAGGACCATTTTCAACGAACATTTCATGATGTGGAAATTGACGATGAAGATCCTTTTTTATATCCTCAATGTATTTTGGATCGCCCTGTCTATTTAATAATTCCTCATAGAGATTTGGATTTTCATTGAGAAGTAATTGACCACCACAAAGATTTAGCCAAGCACGTAAACGCACCGATGGTGGAATTCCCTTTCGACATCTCTCTCTTACCTTTCGATAATTTGTACTCATAAAAATATTCCAATTGTTCAACATGCGAATCCATTTTCGTTCACGTCTCAATATCACCTCAGGTGAAATTGCTTGTTTCCTGCAAAAAAAAAAAAAAAAAAAAAAAAAAAAAAAATTAAAATATCGTTAATAAATAATAAATAATTAATAATAATAATAAATAATTCAATTAATAACAGAAATTTTTAATCAAAAACAAAAAAAAATTAAAATATCGTTAATAAATAATAATTAATAATAAAAACAAATAATTCAATTAAAAAAAAAAAAAAAAAATTGATTACACACAAAATATTTTATTTCCAAATTATTTACATAAAAACATAATTACAAACCAAATTGTTTGCTGCAGAAAAAAATTACCAACAATATTGTTTACTTCACAAAAAAATTATTAGCAACGAAAAATTTATTTTCACAATATTGAATAATATTTTTTTTATTAATTAAAAAACAGACTTCGCAGTCGATGATTAATTTTAAAAAAGCAGCAAAAAGTAGCTTTCAAACTAAAAAAAAAAGTAGTAAAAAAGTAGCTATCAAAAAAATTAAACTTAAAAAAAACTCGTTTTAGAAAATTCACAAAACTGACAAAAATTCCATTTATTCTATATTTTATTTTCCTCACTTATTCCTAAGTTTTATCGAAAATATTTACTTTTTTCTTATTCTACGCTAATAAATTTAATTCCTAAAACAAATTTTATTATTCATGAAAGAATTCAAATATTCATAAAAATAATTTAATTTCTGCCAAGAATTTTAGGAAAATTTTTTAAACAATTGATTTTCTTCGACTAATTTTATGCAAATTCTAATATTTAAATAATTGACTTTCTGAGAAATTTTTATTATTCATGAAAAGAATTGAATTTTTACGAAGATTTTTACAAAAATAAATTTCTAATAATTGAATTTTGTTTGGAAATTTTTTGAAAATAGTAAATATTTAAAATAATTGAATTGAAAAAAGTTTTTAAAAATAATTGAATTTTACAAAGAATTCTATTAAAATTTTTTTGAGAATAATTGATAATGTCTATGTGTAGCATTTTATTAAATTTTTTTTTAAAATAATTGAATTCCAAAAACAGCATTTTATTATTTATGAAAATAATTGAATTATTGTGAAAAATTTTATGAAAATGTTTATAAAGAATTGAATTTCTCTATAAAATTTTGTTATTTTTGAAAATAATTGAATAGCTGCAAAGAATTTTATTGAAAATTTCAAAAATAATTGAATTCCTGAGAAGAATTTTATTATTTATGAAAATAATTGAAATGTTGGCAATTTTTAAAAAAAATTTTGAAAATAATTGAATATTTGTGAAGAATTTTATTAATTTTGAAAATAATTGAATTCTTGTAATGAATATTGTTATTAATGAAAAGAATTGAATTTTATCAAAATTTTTGGAAAGTAATTAAATTTTTCTATTTATTTATAAAAATAATTGAAATGTTGACAATTTTTAAAAAAAATTTGAAAATAATTAAATTTTTGTGAAGAATTTTATTAATTTTGAAAATAATTTAATTCTTGTGATGAATATTGTTATTAATGAAAATATTTTTGAAAATATTTGAAAAGAATTTTGAATTGAATTTTATTACTTTTGAAAATAATTGAATTCTTGTGATAAATACTATTATTATTTATGAAAAGAATTGAATTTTATTAAAATTTTTGGAAAGTAATTGAATTTTTTTATTTATTTATAAAAATAATTGAAATGTCGACAATTTTAAAAAAAATTTTTGAAAATAATTGAATTTTTGTGAAGAATTTTATTAATTTTGAAAATAATTGAATTCTTGTAATGAATATTATTATTTATGAAAATAATTAAATTTTGCAAAGAATTTTATTTAAATGCTTCGAAATAATTGAATTTTTGTGAATAATTTTATTAAAATCCTTAAAAATAATTGAATTTTCGGGAATAATTTTGTTATTTATCATTAATAATTGAATTTTTTCGAAGAATTGTTTACATAAATAATTGAATTCTCAGGAAGAATTTTAATAAAAAAACTTTTTTAAAAATTGAATTTTCATTAAAAATTTTATTATTAGTGAAAGTATTTTAATTATTGTGAAGAAATTGTATAAAAATTTTGTTAAGTAATTAATTTTTTCGTCATTTTTTTAAAAGTGTTATTCTAAATTAATTGAATTCCTGAGGAAATTTTATTATATTTATGGAAATAATTGAATTTTGGATTAATTTTATCAATTTTTTTTTAAATAATTGAATTCTTTTGCCACGTTTTATGAAAATACTAGATACTAAAAATAATTGAATTTCGAATATTTTATTCAATTCCTGAGAAGCATTTAAATAATAATTTATGAAAATAATTGAATTCATGCGAAGAATTTTATAAATAATTAAAATTTTGCCAAGAATTTTATTAAAATTTTTGAAAATAATTGAATTTTTGTGCGAAAAATTTTGCTATTTGTAAAGATAATTGAATTCTTGACGAGATATTCGTTAAAATTAAAAAAAAAATAATTGAATTTCTTCGAAGAATTTTATTACTTTTGAAAAGAATTGAATTCTTGTGATGAATATTGTTATTTATGAAAATAATTGAATTTTACAAGAAATTTTATTAAAATTTCTAAAAATAATTGAATTTTGTAGAAGAATTTTGTTATATTTATTCAGATAATTGCCCTTAAAACTTCTGAAATAATTAAATAATATAATAAATAATTCATTCTTGTCTGAAATAGAAATTTTTAATTTTTTTTTTTTTTGTAAAATTAATTTTAATTTTTTATGTAATTAATACCTCTCTGGACTGTATTGTGATCCTCCTAAAAAACCATGACGATCTGGAACTGTCGAGACGACAGAACTACATTGATAAATGCTACTCCCCTCTGATTCTGTTTCAGCATTTAAATCCTCCTCAACGTTCTCTACCGTTAAAGCAGTCATTGCATCGTATTATATTTCACTAAAAAAAAAATAAAATACTCTGCAAATTAGTAAATAAAAGATAAATAATATTAGAAATATAAAAATTACATTATTCTTATAGATTCAAATTCGTAGAAAATTAAAATTACAAACACTAAATGTAGTAAAAAAGGGACCAATTTTTAAAATATTTTAATTTTTCTCTACAAAAACTCTTAGAAATTTTATTGAAACTCATAAAACTTATTTATAAATAATTTCTAAAAATTCTAATAAATGTTATTTTTGGTTTTACTTTTATCCTAGGAATAGTCATCGAAATAATTTGTTTATTTTTTGTTACAATTCTGTAATACTTAACGGAACTCATAGAAGTTTTAATAATAAAAACTCATAGAACTAAAATTTAAAAGAATTAAACTTTTCGAAAATTTTAAAGATAGAACTCTTAAAAAACTTTTATTAACTCACACAGAATTGTAGATTTAAAAAAAAGTCAATATAATAACTCATAGAAATTTAGGTGCTTAAGACTCTTAGGGTTTTAATTGAAAACTCATAGAACTTATAATCACGAACTTCAAGAACTCTGCATTTTTATTTTATATATTAACTATTTCTAGAATTATTTTTGAATACCAAGAACTTTTGTCGAAACTCATAGAACTTTAGGTAGTCAAAACTCATAGAACTCTAAATTTTGAATTTAAAATTTGTAGTATTTCTTTATTTTTTGATTTCAGTTTAAAGAAAATTAATATTTATATTATTCGAAGAACTCCCTTTTATGAACTCTTGTCAGAACTCATAGAACTCGCATTAAAAACTCATAGAACTGTAAATTTTGTAAATTTTTATTTGCATTATTTCTTTTTTTATTTGTCTCAAGAAAATTCATTTTAAAATTATTAGAACTGCTCGTTATGAACTCTTATCAGAACTCATAGAACTCGCATTAAAAACTCATAGAACTGTAAATTTTGTAAATTTTTATTTGCATTATTTCTTTTTTTATTTGTCTCAAGAAAATTCATTTTAAAATTATTAGAACTGCTCGTTATGAACTCTTATCAGAACTCATAGAACTTTGATTAAAAACTCATAGAACTCGTAATTATATAAAAACTTTTAAGAGGAGAATTTTTTTTCTATCCTTTATTTACAGTTTAGTGAAAATATAGTTAGAAATATTTAAAAAACATCTTGTTATAAACTCTTTATCAGAACTCATAGAACTTTGATTAAAAACTCATATATAGAACTCTAAATTATACTCATTAGTAAAATAAAAAAAAAACTATTCTTATTTACAGGTTTCTATGATTTCCTGACTCATGACTTTTATGAGTTACTTGAGAAACTTTATGAGTATTTATGAGTTATATGATAATAATAATTAGAATTTTTTTAATTTTTATAAAAACTAATTTTTTTTAATCAAAAGTATTGAAAATTGAATTTTTTTTTACATTAAATTAAATAAAATTATTAAAAAAATTTTATATTTAATTTTATCTAATAATTTATTTTGTTATTAAATAAACATGAAAATAATATTGAAATTAAAAGTTGAATAATAAAAATTACAAAAATAATTATTCTCAATGGAGAAAAAAAAATTTATTTTTAATTTAGAACATACAGAAGGAATGAATTTTTAAAATAGAATTGTACCCCCCCAGCAGACCCCAGGAAGTAAAAGTCACACACATGGACCTAGTAATCCACATATAATTATCTGGACCTTTAAATATTTGACGTTGACACACGAACACAAAAAAAGCACCGATTGCGTCTATATCTGTATATATAAAGACTCAGTAATTACGAACAAAAAAAAAATTAAAATAACAATAATGACTCACCAACGCCCATCAGTCAATGAATACTAGATTCCTGAACGAATATGTCGTGAAAAAAAAATTATTATCCACAATTTCTTTGATGCAATGTGGCATCCATTTCCATTTATCAACGTTTATTTACATCCCACACACATTTATATGTCAAAATCATACACTTTCACAATTTTTTTTTACAATTGAAATATATATTTATAAAACACATATAAAAATCAATTGTTTATTTTTAAATATAAAATTTAGAAATATTTTTTTTAGAAGTTTGATGAAAATGACAATTGTCGGAATGAACACACACGATCATTTACAAATGGACTTTAGAGAAAGATAAAAAAAAATTCCTGTTATATTGGTGTATATTGAGAATGAAGCAAAGTTTGTGTATATTGAAGATATATAAGTATTTGATGATGACCACTGATGTTTTGATGGCAGCAGTAGACTTTTTTCCTTGTGCGCAAGCGTTTTAGGGATTCGGGTAAACTTTCTCAACAAAAATTGCGGGAGACTTATTGACGTTCGTGTGTGTTCACAATTTTACCTCAGACATAGAGCGCTGTGAAGTAAATTGAGAGAAGGGAAAATTCGATATTAGATTCACATTTATGACGAATTTATTGAAATTTTTTTTAAAATTTAAATTAAAATTAAAAATTTAATTTTAGACTTAATTTCAATCATTTTAATTTCATTTATTTAAATTTCCAATTGTTTTTTTTCACTTCATTCTTACTCAAATCAACTGAAAATAAATAAATAAATTAAATAAAATTAGCAATTTTAAAAATAAAAAAATTTGAAAATTTAAATTTTTGTTGAAAATACTAAAAAAAAATTCAATTTTGTAGAATTTAAAAATAATTGCAAAAATTCTTTAAAAAAAAATAAAATTCTTCTTATTAAATTCAACTACGTTCAAATCTTGAAAAAAATTCTCGTAAAAATCCCAATTATCTTTATAAATAACAAAATTCTTCTCCAAAGTTCAATTATTTTCAGAAATTTTTCTAATTTGAATCATTTTCAATATCTACGATTTTAATGAAATATTTCCTTAAACGAATTCAATTATTGAAAAAAAATTTTAATTTGAAATTTTAGAAAATGACAATTTTGAATGAATTAATTAAATAATAAAAATTTCAGAGGAATTCTATTATTTACAAATTTTTTTATAAATTTCTTCGCAATAATTCAATTATTTTCATGAAGAATAACATTTTTTTAACCAGGAATTCAGTTATTTTCATAAATAATAAAAATCATTCCAGAATTTCAATTATTTTTTCTACAATTCTAATCAAATTCCTTGAAAAATGTAATTATTCTTAAAAATTTGATTAAAATTAATTTTCAAAGATTTTAATGAAATAATTTTTAACAATTCAATTTTTTTCAAAATAATTTTAATTAAATTCTTCGTAGAATTAAATTAATTTCAATAATATCAAAATTCAATTATTTTTAATATCTACTATTTCAATAAAAATTCACAAAAGAATTCAAATTATTTAAAAAGAAATATATTATTAAAATTCATCGCAAGAATTAAAGTATTTTTCATAAATAATAAAATTCTTCACAGGTATTCAATTATTTTCAATACAATTATTAAAAAATTCGATTGTATAATTCAATAAATTAAAGAAATTTTTCAAAAAAATTCAATTATTTTCCAAAATTTTTAAATAAAATTCAAGAATTAAATGCTTAATTACAATTATAAAAAAAGAGGATTATTATAAAAACTTGAAAGAAATTATTCATATAGAATTCAATTACTTTGAAAACTTGTAATTAAAATTATTAAAGAAAGTCCATTATTTTAAAGAAACTCAAAGAAATTCTTCAAAAGAATTTAATTAAGATTATGTAAAATTTTAATAAAATTCTTCCTAAATTCAATTATTTTCATGAACAATAAAATTCTTCCAAGAAATTCAATTAGTATCAAATTTTTTGATAAAATTCTTTGCAAGAATTCAATCATTTGCAAATGTTTTATAAATTTTTTCGCAATAATTCAATTATTTAACAAAAAAATTAATAAAAGTTCTTTATTAAGAATTCAATTATTTTTGAAAATTTTAATAAAATTCGTTGCAAAAATTCAATTATTTTAAAAAAGTTTGATAAAATTCTTCGAATCAATTCAATTATTTTAAAAAATTTTTAAAAAAATTCTCGGCAAAAATTTTAATTATTTTCAAAAATTTTCTTCAATTCAATATGATTTTTATAATATCTACTAAAATTTTTCAAAAGAATTCAATTATAAAAAAATTTTATTGAAATTCTGCGCAAACATTTAATTATAATTCATAAAATAATTAAAATTTCACAAGGAATTCAATTATTTTCATAAATAATAAAATTTTTTAAGGAATTCAATTATTATTTTCATAAAAAATAATTTAAAATTTTAGAAAATAATAATTTAATTAAAATGATGAAAATAATTTTGATGAAGTTACAGTAACAATATTCTTATAAGAATATAAGATAATGATTTTATTACTTGGTCATCTTTAATTATTATAAAATATGAATATCCTGGAAAATCCTGTTTCAAAAATAAGATTAAAAAAAATAGGAATTTCGCAAATATTTTTCTTCTTTCTCTAAAATAATAATTTTGTTAAAAAAATTGTGATTCATAAATGAAAATAATACAAAATAAATTGCATTATTATTAACTTTTTTATAATTTTTCTTTTCAAATATTTTCAATTTTAAAATTAATATATTGAAAATCATCGAATTGTTGCAAAGAATTTTATCAAAAAATTTGATGATAATAGAATTCCTTCAAAAAAATTTTATTATTTAGGAAAATAACTGAATTCTCACAAAGAATTTTATTAAAATTTTTTAAAATCCTAATTAAATTCTTTTGAAGAATTTCTTTGATTTTTTTGTTTTTAAACTAATGGAGTTTCTTTAAATAATTTTAATTGAAAATTTTGAAAGCATTTGAATTTTATGAAGAAGAATTTTATTAAAAGTGAATTGAAAATAATTGAATTCTTGCGGAGAATTTTACTAATATTTATAAAAATTGTTTCAAAGAATTTATTAAAATTTTTGGACATAATTGAAATTTATGGAAATATTTAAAAATATTTGAATTCATCCGAGGAATTTAATTAAAATTGTTTTAAAAATCATTGGATTTTTGTAAAGATTTTACTATATATTGAAAAAAATAATTGAATATTGTTTAGAAAGATTTTACTAAATTTATAAAAAATAATTAAAATGTTTCGTGAGAATTTTTAAAAATTTATAAGAAATAATTAAATTGTTATGAAGAATTTTATAGAAATATTTTTAAATTGTGAGGAATTTTACTATTTATAAAAATAATTGAATTTTTTCGAAGGATTTATTAAAATTTTAGAAAATATGAACAGTAATAATTAATTTTGTACTTAATAAGTAACAAAAATATAAATAGAAGACAACTTCAGAGTGTGAGGGACAGAAAAAGTGAATGAATGAAAGAATGAAAGAACATTCAAATTAATATAGTTAATTAATTAATTAAATAATAATTTGTCAGGGATATATAATAATTACTTTTTGACGAAATCAGCAAAATTTTATTGAGTATTTATTACAAATTCCATATTAAATGTCCTATACATTAATCACATATTTTTATTTATCCAATCAAGATAATTGTAAACATGTACATAAGCTGCGGGAACATCTTTTTGGCCGCAACCAATTCCCCAGGCAGTCAAACCTACAACTTCGAATCGACCATCTAATGGTTGGCATATCAGTGCACCTCCTCCATCACCCTAAAATTTGAAAAAAAAAATTATATTCCGTTAGTCTAAATTAATTATATAAAAGATAAAAAGTCATTGTGATACAGGATACAGTCTACGGATAAATAAAATCTGTGAGGATTGGGATTGAATTCCAAATATTTTTCTCCTATAATCCTCTTGTACTTACCGTGCAACTGTCTTTTCCCAGTTCACCACCAGCACAAATAAAACTTTTCCAATCTAAATTAAAATCTGCACCAAGTCTTGTCTTTCGAAATTGCATCTCACAAGTCTTGGGATCGACTATTGGAAGATCAACGGCTTTCAAAATACTTTCATATCTATTGCTTGTGAAATTATTCTTGCCCCATCCAGCACTCCAGCATCTATGCAAATAGTTATTATCGTATCAAGGGCGCAAAATAGGTGATTGCGGCGATGGCGAGATGAAGGCACCGAGGGGACATTTTCGCGCCCGAGGCGAAGCCGAGGGTGCGAAAGTGTCCCTGAGGTCCCGAAATCTCGCCAAAGTCGTAATCTCCTTTGCGCCCATGTTGCGAACATAATTTTTTGTCCTAACTGCATGAAAAGTATGGCATCGAGGGCACGAGCGAAGCGGGCGTAAAAGTACTTTTGCGCCCGCTCGGGCTAGATGAAGCGGGCGCAAAAGTACTTTTGCGCCCGCTTGTGTGACGTCAGCGGGCGTAAAAGAACTTTTGCGACCGCTTCCCTGGCCCCGGGCGAGAATAAGTTACTTTGCGCCCACTTTAAGTGCCCGAAATGACATACTTTTCGTGCAGGTAGGACAAAAATACAATTTTATTTGCCTTCATAAAAAAGGCGTAGAAGCATTTAATTATTTTCCACATAGCACAACATTTTTCAGCAACTATATGCTTTAGTCGTTTTTTAATTTTATATAAACCCTTTACCATGGTTTTGGAAATCAAGGTGTCTTAAAAGTTTCTGATAGCCACTTTTATAGTCTAAAGTAGAAGTCATTAAAAAAAAAAAACTCTTTCGCACGTTTCGCAAAAGTTACAAAACTTCCTAAAAAAACATTGTGCGGTACGTGGTGATGTATAATAATTATTAAAACGAAAATAAACATACACGGTGCCAGCAGGAGGAATTCCAGTTGGTAGACAAGCAGCATTAATATTAACAAAGTTATCAAATAAAATTTTCTGATTAATCCTAATGATGGCAATGTCATTAAGAAGATTTATTGAATTAAAATCCTCATGAACTTTCGTTGACACTGGTTTTACTTCCAGGAATTGTTCCGATTGACTTGCTCTATTATACTTACCAAGTCTTATCTTATAATTATTTTTTCTGCAATAGAAAAAGAAGTGCAAACATTCTGAATTCCAATTGTAGAATTTAATAATTTTTAATTTTATATACTTCAAGTAAATTGTAATTTAAAAAAATGAAATAAATAATACCTACAGATTGGCAACTATATGTGCTGCAGTGATAAGATGAGTATCATCTATAATCACCCCTCCACCAAGATATTTATTGTCAGAATTTAGGATTTCAGCATGCCAGGGATATGCACCGTAAGCAGCCTGATCTACTTTTTGGCCGTTGGAGACAATTTTTCTTTCACCGCATTTTTTTGAAGAAGAAGAAGGAGGTGATAAATTATTCTTGCAACAATTCACTTCTCCCATTGAACAAACAACTGGCGACATACCCTATTGAGAAGGTGGAAATTTTTGAGCTTCATTTCTAAATTTAAATTTAATTTCTAAATTTAAATTTAATTTCTAAATTTAAATTTAATTTCTAAATTTAAATTTAATTTCTAAATTTAAATTTAATTTCTAAATTTAAATTTAATTTCTTAATTTAAATTTAATTTCTTAATTTAAATTTAATTTCTAAATTTAAATTTAATTTCTAAATTTAAATTTAAATTTATTTAATTTTTTTGTATTTTAATTTACTTTTTTTTAAAAAAAAGTTTTATTTTGTTTTAATTTGCTTACCAAATTTACGATTCGTATATCAATGCTAAATGGAAGAGTATGATACTTTTCGAAAATGAAGCCATCGCATTTTTCATTTACTGATATACAACGACAATCAAGTTTTCCTTTTATAGGAGGAACTTTCTTTTGATCTAAAAGAATATTTTCTATATTACAATAAATCCTATTTGTCAATTATGAATTTTACTTGAAAATAAAATTGAAATTTTTTTAATACTTTTAATTCGGGAAAAAATTTTACTTAGAAAATTAAGTTCTTTTAATACATTTATTTACGAATTTCTTTAATAAAATTATTTGAAAATATCAATAAATTTAATTTAAAAAAAAAATTAATTTCAAAATTCAATTCAATTATTTAAATACAAAAAAAAATAATTTATTGAATAATTAAATGTTTCAAAATTCAATTCTCATAAAGAATTTTATCAACAAATTTTTAAATAATTGAATTCTTTCGACGAATTTTAATACAATTTTTAAGAATATAATTACATTTTTTGTACGGTTAAAATATTGTATTAAAAATAATTGAAATTCTGCGAATTATAAAAATAATTGAATTCTTAAAAAGAAATTTATTATTTTTTAAAATATTTAAATCCCTGTAACAATTTTTATTATTTATGAAAATAATGGAATTATATTAAAAAATATAATATAATAATATAATGTAAAAATACTATCTTAAATAATTGAATTATTGCGAGGAAAAATTTAAATAATTCAATTCTTTTGAAATTTGTTATTATTTATCCAAATAATTAAATGTTTGCGTAGACGTTTTTAAAAACTACTTTTAACTAGATAATTGACTTAATTTGGGAAATTTTATTTCAATAGTACGTATTGAAAATCATTGAATTGAAGAAAATTTAAAAAAAAAGAAATTGATATTTTGCCAAGAATTTTATTAAAATTTTTCAAAATTAATCGAATTTCAAAGAAGAATTTTATTATTTATAAAAATAAATGAAATTTTAATGAGAATTTTTAAAAAAATTTTGAACATAATTGAATTTCTTCTAAGTATTTCATTATTTTGAAAATAATTGAATTTTCAAAATTCAATTATTTCAAAAATTTTATGCTACAATGCTATTCAATTATTATCTAAAATTTTAACTGAAATTCATTTTTAAATCAATTTTTAATAGAAAATTCTACGAGAATTCAATTATTTAAATACAAAAATAAATAATCTATGTATAATAATTAAATGTTTGATAAAATTTAACTCTGTTAACATTTTTAAATTTTTAAATAATTGAATAATTTTGACAAATTTAAATAAATTTTTTAAGAATAATTACATTTTTTGAGAAATTCGATTAAAATTGTATTAAAAATAATTGAATTTCTAAAAAGAATTTTATTATTTATGAAAATAATTGAACTTCTAAAAAGAATTTTATTATTTATGAAAATAATTAAACTTCTAAAAAGAATTTTATTATTTATGAAAATAATTAAATTCCTAAAAAAAATTTTATTATTTATGAAAATAATAATTGAATTATTATGAAGAAATTTATAAAAAATTTGTAAATAATTCAATTATTATGAATAAATTTATAAAAAAATGTGTAAATAATTGAATTATTTATGGAGAAATTTATAAAAAAATTTATAAATAATTGAATTCCTCTGAAATTTCTATTATTTATGAAAATAATTAAATGTTTGCGAACAATTTTATTCAATTTTTTTCTAAATAATTTATTTCTTTTGGAAAATTTTTATTATTTATGACAATAATTAATGAATGTTTGAGTAGAATTTAAAAAAACGTTTTTAAATAATGAATTCTTTTGAAAAATTTTATTAAAATAGTAAATAATATTAAAAATCATTGAATTGACGAAAATTTTTTAAATAATTGAAATTTTTTTAAGAATTTTATTAAAATTTTTAAAATAATTGAAATTTGGCAAGAATTTTATTAAAATTTTTGAACATAATTGAATTTTTGCGAAGAATTTTATTATTTATAAAAATAATTGAAATTTTAAGGAAAATTTTAAAAAAAATTTTCAACATAATTGAATTTCTTCGAAGCTGTTTATTATTTTGAAAATAATTGAATTTTCAAAATTCAATTATTTCAAAAATTTTTTGATTTTTAAATCAATTTTTATTAGAAAATTCTACGAGAATTCTATTATTTAAATACATACATAAATAAATAATTGAATGATTTTTAAAATTGAATTCTTATAAAGAACTTTATCAACAATTTTTTGAATTTTTTAATTAAATTTTAATTAAATTTTTAAATAATTGAATTATTTCGACAAATAATTAAATTTGTAAGGATAATTACATTTTTTGAGAAATTCGATTAAAATTGTATTAGAATTGATTGAATTAATTGAATTCTGAAATTAAAAAATAAGACAAAGTTTTAACAGTAAAAAATAATAAATAGGATCAATAATGAGAGAAAAATAAGAAAAGTATAAAAATAATAATAATAAATAGAATAAAATAATAAAAATTGAATTTAAGAAAAAATTTTAAATTTAGATTTTATAGCATCAAATGTAAAAATGTGGCTATTTCACCCCGTTCTACTCTATTTTGAAATATTAAGATAAAATATTGTTTCACAATTGGATTTTTTTTTTAATAGTAAATTAATAAATTGTACCTGAAGATGCAAAAGCTTGTGACATGGCAAAAGCTCCACTATTCTTCGTCTTTAAAAATACTTTTTTCTTACAGAAAATTTCACACACAAAATATACTAAAACTAAAAATATTATTTTCTTCATTTTTTTTTTTAATAATAAAATTTACAACTTTTAATGAAAAAAATGTTTTTAAAATGTGATTTTTACTGTTCGAATGTAAATATTCTTCTAAACTCTAAAGTCAAAATAATTTTCTATTTATATGCGTTAAAATATCATTGCTCTATTCTGCAAAATTAAAAAACAATAGCTTACCCTTTTCCTTCCTTATTAACGTCTTTTATTTATCTGAAACAAAAATAATAGAAATGAAAAGAATGAAAGTAAAAATAATATAATAGAAAAAAAGAGGATTCACCCATATCATAAATGTATAAAATATCGTCACTAAAATTCGGTGCACGGTCTAATTTTTTTTCACTAAAATAGAGGATGTCCCTGCAATTATATATAGTTGCGTAACCGTCAACGAAATATTAAAATTAAAAATTTTTTCTTTTTAATTGATATTTTTTAAAAATAATATTAAAAATAATTTTTTTCAATTTATTAATTTATTCACATGTTACATATATGAAAATATTACGAGAAAAATGCATAATTTTTATTTTATTTATTTTTTTTTATTTTTATTTAAAGCATAAAAAAACCTCTCAAAAGGTTTATAAGCTTACATGTGTTTAAATAGTTAATTTACATTCTTTAAAAAAGTGAACAATATAATTACACGCAACAATGTTCGGACAATATTGTTCACAAACTTATTCTTTTATTTTGAGAAAAAAAATTACATATTCCAGTCTCTTAAAATTTTTGTATGTAAAAAATTTTCAATTTCTATAAGGAAATAATTTACATCATTTCCATATTTCCAGATATTCAATTATGTTCAAAAACTTTTAAAAATGACACGTCAAAATTATTCAATTATCTTTAAAAATAATAAAATTTTCCTCCAAAATTCAATTATTTTCAAAAATTTTAATAAAATTCATAGACAAAATTTTAAATTATTTTCAAAAATTTTCCTCAAATTCAATCATTTTCAATATCTACTATTTTATAATAAAATTTTTCAAAAGACTTCAATTATTTAAAACAAGTGTTGTTAAAATTTAAAGCAAACATTAAATTATTTACATAAATAATACAATTTTTCATCGAGATTCAATTATTTTCATAAATAATTCAATTTTTACAGGAATTTAATTATTTCCAAACACAATTTTCATAAAATTTTTTGAAAATAATTTAAATTTCACCAAGAATTTTATTAACATTTTTCAAAATAATCGAATTTCAAAGAAAAATTTTGTTATTTATAAAGATAATTGAAATTTTAATAAGAATTTTAAAAAATTTTTGAACATAATTGAATTTTTTTGAAGCTTTTTATTATTTTGAAAATAATTGAATTTTCAAAATTCAATTATTTAAAAAATGTTATTGCTACAATTATATTCAATAATTATCTAAAATTTTAATTAAAAATCATTTTTAAATCATTTTTTATTAGAAAATTCTACGAGAATTAAATTATTTAAATACAAAAATAAATAATCTATGAATAATAATTAAATATTTGTTAAAATTTTTAAATTTGTAAATTAAATTTTTAAATAATTGAATTATTTCGACGAATTTTAATAAAATTTTTAAGAATAATTACATTTTTCGAGAAATTCGATTAAAATTGTATTAAAATTAATGTAATTCCTAAAAAGAATTTTATTATTTATGAAAATAATGGAATTTCTAAAAAGAATTTTATTATTTCTGAAAATAATTGAATTATTGCGAATAAATTTATAAAACATTTGTAAATAATTAAATTCCTGTGAAATTTATATTATTTATGAAAATAATTAAATGTTTGCGTAGAATTTTATTTAATTTTTTTTTAAATAATTGAATTCTTTTGGAAAATTTTATTAAAATAGTAGATATTGAAAATTATTGAATTGATGAAAATTGTTGACAATGTAATTGCAATTTTACCAAGAATTTTCTTATAAGTTTTGAAAATAATTAAATTTTTATGATAAGAATTTTATTATTTATAATAATAATTAAAGTTTTGACTAGAATTTAAAATATTTTTGAACGTAATTGAATTATTTCGAAGCATTTTATTATTTGGAAAATAATTGAATTTTTAAAATTCAATTACTTCAAAAATTTTATGCTACAATGCTATTCAATTAATTATTATCTAAAATTTTAAATAAAATTCATTTTTTAATAAATTTTTATTAGAAAATTCTATGAGAATTCAATTATTTAAATACAAAAATAAATAATCTATAAATAATAATTAAATGTTTGTTAAAATTTAACTCTGTTAAAATTTTTAAATTTTGCAATAATTGAATAATTTTGACAGATTTTAATAAATTTTTTAAGAATAATTAAATTTTTTGAGAAATTCGATTGAAATTATATTGAAATTAATTGAATTCCTAAAAAGAATTTTATTATTTATGAAAATAATTGAATTTCTAAATAAAATTTTATTATTTATGAAAATAATTGAATTTTTAAAAAGAATGTTATTATTTATGATAAAATAATTGAATTTCTAAAAAGAGTTTTAATTTATAAAATTAAATAATAATTGAATTTTGTAAAAAAATTTATTATGAAAATAATTGAATTATTATGAAAAAATTTATAAAAAATTTGTAAATAATTGAATTTCAGTGAAATTTTTATTATTTATGAAAATAATTAAATGTTTGCGTACAATTTTAATAAAATTTTTTTTAAATAATTGACAAATATTGACAAATTTAAATAATTTTAGAAGATTTTGAATTTTTAAAATTTTTCAAAAATTCAATTTCTTTAAAATTACAAATTAAATTCATTAAAAAATAAAACAAAACAAAAAAAGACACAAAAATTCAGAATTTTCTTCTACACAATCGAATTAAAAATTAAATTTTATACTTTTTTCAAAAAATTTAATTTCATACTTAACTATAATAATCACATTCTTCAAATTAATTAAACGAAAAACTATGAAAAAATAATTACAATAAATTAAACCAACTACTCCTGATAAGATCTAAAATTTAACTGAAAAAATTGCGACGTTCCAAAAAAAAGCGTGTAACGATTAAATTCAAAAATATTTATTAACTAATAGGGATATATGTTTACAAATAATATAAAAGTTTTCAATAGGAAGCAAAACATTTGAAAGTGATACGCCTCCAAAATTTTCAATTATATTTCTATCACAAAGGTGACAAAAAAAATCTTTTTTTTTTTTTTTTTTTTTTTAGGTAATTTTTAAACGAACTATATATAACGATATAAAGAGAATAAATTTAGGTCGAGCCTATAGTTCATGGGTTAAGTAACTGTTACATATCCTCAATTTTAACCATTATAAAACTTAAATTAAATGTAATTCGATCTCTTTCAAATTCTATATTAAATTTATATTTACACCGATTTTTAAATTTAATATAATTTTTCATTTCCTCAAATTTTCTTTTTCATTTCTATTTTTTTGTAAAAGGAATGAAATTGAAAAAGAAGAAATTAAAAAAATAAATTCAATATGAGGATCAAAGTATAAATGTTAGTCGAATTTAATATCGAACGTTAGAAGGCATTTGAACGTTGAGTGTGTAATATTAGGAAAAAGGAAAAAAAAAAATTTCTAACCAGATTTATTAGAAATATTTGAAAATATGAATAAATTAGTATTTTTATTTATGCTTTATTTTGTGTGTGGAGTATTTTGCCTGACGGATATATTTCGTGGTTTAAATAATTATCATCGATTTAAGAAACATTTACTTGGTAATAATCATGCAATTAACAGACCAAATATAGTAAATCCAAGTAAACCGAAACCGGAGAAAATGGAAAATGAAATGACAGTTGAAGATAATCGACCAATAATTAATAAACCAGAAGAAGAAGGTATCGTACACTTTTTATTTATTATTTTATGGTTTCTAAAAATTTTATATTTATTTCTGTATTTTATTAATTTTTATTATTATATTTATATTTTATTCTTATTTTATTAATTAATTAATTTCTGTTTAAATATGCAAAACTAAAATCAGTTTTTTACTTATTATTTGCTTATTTTTAGTTTTTAATATTTATTTATTTAGTCATTATTATTATTTATTAACATTTATTTATTATTAATTTTTTTAGTTATTAATTTGTTTATTAATTACTATTTATTTATTTAAATAATTTATTTGTTTTTATTTAGTTCTTAATATTGTTATTTATTTCATGTTAATATTAGTAAATAAAATTTTGTTTATTTATTAGTTATTTATTGTTATTTTCTTAATTACTTTCTTTATGCAATTAATTATATTTTCAATAATTGAAATTAAACATTTAATTATTAAATTTTATTAAAATTAAAAAAAAAATTATTAAATTCCTCTCAGAATTAGTTTTTTTAAAATACTTTTAATTGAAAACTTTGAAAATAATTAAATTAAACAAACAATGTTCTTCAACTTTTTAAAATAATCGTGCCTGTTAATAATTATAATTAAAAATTAGATTATTTAATATTATTGAGATTGCATTAAAAATAATTAAATCCCAAAGAAAAATTAAAAAATTTTTGAACATAATTGAAGTTCTGCGAAGAATTTTATTACTTTTGAAAATGATTGAATTTTTGCAATAATTTTTGTAACTTCTCCTAAATTCAATTTTTAAACATGTTTTTAACTAAAATCCTTCTATAAATCCATTATTTTTAATAATTTTTGAAAAAATTCTTTGAGAATTTTCAAATTCATTTTAGAAATTCAATTCAAATTGAATTCAATTTGAATTGAATTTCTAAAAAGAATTTTATTATTTATGAAAATAATTGAATTTCTAAAAAGAATTTTTATTATTTATAAAAATAATAATTGAATCACTGTAAAAACAATTATTAATGAAAATAATTTAATTATTGTGAAGAAATTTATACATAAAAAATTTGTAAATAATTGAATTCTTTTGGAAAATTTTATTAAAATTTTAGAGATATTGAAAATTATTGAAATGATGAAAGTTTTTGAAAAAAAATTACAATTTTGCGAAAAATTGTATTATTATTTTTAAAAATAATTGAATTTCGAAGAAAAATGTTATTATTTATAATAATAATTGAAATTTTGCCAATAATATTGTATTAAAATTATATTATCTAAAATTTTAACTTAAATTCATTTTTAAATCAATATTTATTAGAAAATTCTACGGGAATTCAATTATTTAAATAAAAAAAATTATCTATAAATAATAATTAAATGTTTGTTAAAATTTAACTCCTGTTAAAATTTTAAAAATTTTTAAATTAAATTCTCAAATAATTGAATTATTTTGACAAATTTTGATAAAATTTTTAAGAAATAATTACATTTTTCGAGAAAATCGATTAAAATTGTATTAAAATTAATTGAATTCCTAAAATAAAAAATTGGATTATTTATGAAAATAATTGAATTCCTAAGAAGAATTTTATTATTTATGAAAATAATAATTGAATCTCTGTAAAAAAAAATTATTAATGAAAATAATTTAATTATTGTGAAGAAATTTATAAAAAAAAATTTCTAAATAATTGAATTCCAGTGAAATTTCTATTATTTATTAATATAATTAAATGTTTGCGCGTAAAATTTTAGTCAATTTTTTTAAAAATTTTGTTAAAATAGAAAAATATTATTTTTAAAAATAAATAAAATAAAATAAAATAAAATAAAATAAAATAAAATAAATAAATAAAATAAAATAAAATAAAATAAAATAAAATAAAATAAAATAAAATAAATAAATAAATAAAATAAAATAAAATAAAATAAATAAATAAAATAAAATAAAATAAAATAAAATAAAATAAAATAAAATAAAATAAAATAAAATAAATAAAATAAAATAAAATAAAATAAAATAAAATAAAATAAAATAAAATAAAATAAAATAAAATAAAATAAAATAAATAAATAAAATAAAATAAATAAAATAAAATAAAATAAAATAAAATAAAATAAAATAAAATAAATAAAATAAAATAAAATAAAATAAAATAAATAAATAAAATAAAATAAAATAAAATAAATAAAATAAAATAAAATAAAATAAAATAAAATAAAATAAAATAAATAAAATAAAATAAAATAAAATAAAATAAAATAAAATAAAATAAAATAAAATAAAATAAAATAAAATAAATAAAATAAAATAAAATAAAATAAAATAAAATAAAATAAAATAAAATAAAATAAAATAAAATAAAATAAAATAAAATAAAATAAAATAAAATAAAATAAATAAAATAAAATAAAATAAAATAAAATAAATAAAATAAAATAAAATAAAATAAAATAAAATAAAATAAAATAAAATAAAATAAAATAAAATAAAATAAAATAAAATAAAATAAATAATAAAATAAAATAAAATAAAATAAATAAAATAAAATAAAATAAAATAAAATAAAATAAAATAAATAAAATAAATAAAATAAAATAAAATAAAATAAAATAAAATAAAATAAAATAAAATAAAATAAATAAAATAAAATAAAATAAAATAGATATTAAAAATCATTGAATTGATGAAAATTCTCGAAAATAATTGCAATTTTTCCAAAAATTTTGTTATGATTTTTTTTTTCAGTGTAAATATACCCTGAATTTCTATTATTTATTAGATAAATAATAGAAAAATTATTCTATTGCTAATAGATGCTGATAATGATGAAGAAGATAACGAAGTAGACAATTCTGGTGATGTAGCAGATGATGAAGAAATGCCTACTGGTAATGAAGAAATTAGTGAAGAAGAAGATACTGTTGATAAAAAACCTACTCACGAAGTAACAACTAAAAATTCAATATCTACTGATCATCAATCACCATATTGTACATGCATACCGAGCCAATCACATTGTGACGGTATTGAAGTAAATGATATTGTAGAAAGAGCCGGAATTGCCATGCGAATTGTTAATAATGTAAGTTGTATTCGAATTTTTTTTTTTTTTTTTTCTAAAGTTCCTAAAGATACATGGTGTTTAAAAGATTATTGAATTTTTTTTATTAATTGTTTTAGATGATAAAACCATTGTGTACAGAAGGGCTAAAACGTTGTTGTTATGAAGAAACGTGTGGATTAAGAATTATTCAAAATTCAAAACCAAGACCTAATAATCAAGCATATTATGGTGAATATCCTTGGCATGCAGAAATTATAGATCTTGAGAGTAACATGATTGGAGCAGGTGTCATTATTAATCAAACATCTATACTCACAGTGGCTCATAAAATATATAATTTGTAAGTTATAAAATTAATAAAGTTATGAAAGCTATTTTTTTTTTTTTTTTTTTTTTTTTTTTTTTTTTTTTTTTTGTAGAATATCTACATCTATAAATTTAAATTAATAAGATGAAATTCTAAACTATTTAATTTAGTAAATTATAAAGTGAAATTTTAAAAAGTTTTTTTATTTATTTATTTATTTTAGGGACAATAATCAGTACCTAGTAAGAATGGGTAAATACAATAGAAATGATGCTATGGAACGACATATTGTTGTACGACCAATATTTACTTACATTCACGAGAAATTTGATATTGAAACTGTTGAAAACGATATAGCTATTATAAATATCGAAAAACCGATAATATTTCAAAATTATAATAATATAAACTCTGCATGTCTTCCTAAAGCAGCTGCTCCTGCAAACACTGCGTAAGTGCATTTAATTAATAAATTTTTTTATATTTCTAAGTGTATAGCACAAAAAAAAAATATTTTTTGAAAATTTAAAAAATATTTCACATTGAGTCGAGTCTGATTTTCAAAATTCAAATTGGCGGACAATAATAATTGGGTTGACAATAATTCATTATGTTTATTTGAAATTTCTTACTTTTGAAAGTTTTATTTGTCTAAACAAAATTTAAAAGGCAGAGATTTTTATTAAAGAAGAAAAAAAAATAAAAATTTTTTAATATATACATATATATAAAAATTCCAAATTTTTGGAATCTCTTTTGTTTTCCTCATAAACTACATATGAAATTTCGACGAATTTGTAATAAAAATAACTCAATTTTTTCTGCCCCTGACAATAATTTCTTTCTAAATAATTTAATTATTGAACGACTAATCATAAAATTATTACATATTAAATTATTAAAAAAATCATTTTTACTTAAATGTTTTAAAATTAATTTAATTTTCAAAGAGTTGCATCTAAAATTTTCATAAATAAATGAACTTCAAAAGGGTTTTATAAAATTTAAGCTTTCAATGAATTTAATTAGAAATTTTAAAAAGCAAAAAAAAAAAAAAAATGTCAAAGAATATAACTTTTAAAAAATTTTAATAATTAATAATTCAAATTCTTCTGAAGTTAGTAGAAATTTTTTAATATATATTTAAATAATTAATTAATTATTAAAAATAGTGGATAGAAGAATTTTAGTTTAAAAGAAAGTAAAAAAAAATTGAATTTTGGAGTAAATAGAAATGATTGTAGAAATTGAATTATTTTCAAAAGTTAATAAACTTCTTAGGAGAAATTCAATTATGTTCAAAAATTTTTTTAAATTCTAGTCAAAACTTCAATTATTATTATAAATAACAAACTTCTCCGAAATTCAATTATTTTCAAAAATTATAACAAAATTCTTGGCAAAATTGCAATTATTTGCAAAAATTGAATTTTCATGAATTCAATGATTTTTAATATCTATTTTAATAAAATTTTCCAAAAGAATTTAATTATTAGAAAAAAAAAATTGAATAAAATTTTACGCAAACATTTCATTATTTTCATAAATAATAGAAATTTTACTGGAATCCAATTATTTACAAATTTTTTATAAATTTCTTCATAATAATTAAATTATTTTCATTAATAATTTTTTACAGAGATTCAATATTATGATTTTCATAAATAATAAAATTCTTTTTAGGAATTCAATTATTTTCATAAATAATAAAATTCTTTTTAGGAATTCAATTAATTTTAATACAATTTTAATCGAATTTCTCAAAATATGTAATTATTCTTAAAAAATTTATTAAAATTTGTCAAAATAATTCAATTATTTAAAAATTTTTAAATTTTAAAAGAATTATATTTGAACAAACATTTAATTGTTATTCATAGATTCTTTATTTTTGTATTTAATTAATTGAATTCTCGTAGAATTTTCTAATAAAAATTAATTTGAAAATTAATTTCACTTAAAATTTTAGATAATAATTCAATAGCATTGTAGCATAAAATTTTTGAAATAATTGAATTTTGAAAATTCAATCATTTTCAAAATAATAAAATTCTTCTCCAAAATTCAATTATTTTCAAAAATTATAAAAAAATTTTTGTCATAATTGAAATTATTTTCAACAATTTTCATCATTGCAATTATTTTCAAAAATTTGTATCAATTCAATCTAGGTACTATTTTTATTAAATTTTCCAAAAGAATTCAATTATTTAAAAAAAAATTGAATAAAATTCTACGCAAACATTTAATTATTTTCATAAATAATATAAATTTCTCAGGAATTCAATTATTTACAAATGTTTTATAAATTTATTCGCAATAATTCAATTATTTTCATAAATAATAAAATTCTTTTTAGAAATTCAATTATCTTCATTAATAAAAAAAGTTTTTTTTAATTAATTTTTAATTTTTTTTTAATCAAATTTGTCGAAAAATGTAATTATTCTTAAAAATTTTATTAAAATTTGTCGAAATAATTCAATTATTTAAAAATTTAATTTAAAAATTTTAACAGAGTTAAATTTTAACAAACATTTAATTATTATTTATAGATTATTTATTTTTGTATTTAAATAATTGAATTCTCGTAAAATTTTCTAATAAAAATTGATTTAAAAATGAATTTTAGTTAAAATTTTAGATAATAATTGAATTAAATTGAAGCATAACATTTTTGAAATAATTGAATTTTGAAAATTCAATTATTTTCAAAATAATAAAAAGCTTCGAAAAAATTCAATTATGTTCAAAAATTTTCAAAATTCAATATTATTAAAATTTTTCTTGGAAATAATTCCATTATTTTCATAAATAATGAAAATTGTTACAGGGATTCAAATATTTTAACAAATAATAAATTTCTTTTTAAGAATTCAATTATTTTCATAAATAATAAAATTCATCGCAAAATTTCAATTCTTTTTTATACAATTTTAATTGAAATCCTCGAAAAATGTAATTATTCTTAAAAATTTTATTACAATTCGTCGAAATAATTCAATTTCAAGAAACATTCAATTGTTCAACAATTCAATTTTTCTATTTAAATAATTGAATTTGCGTAGAATTTTTTAATAAAAATTTTGTTTACAAATAATAATTTCAGTTAAAATTTTACATAATAATTTGAATATTAAAAGCAATATAGCATGAATTTTTTGAAATATTTGAAATTTGAACAGATTTCAAATTATAATTTTGAAAATTTTAACTTTTCATACTTTTTTAACTAAATAATAAAACTCATCGCAGAATATAAATTATTTTTAATAAAATTTTAATTCAATTCTTTGAAAACTGTAATTATTCTTAAAAATTTTTATTAAAATTCGACGAAAGAATACAATTATTTAAACATTTGTTGATAAAATTCTCTATGGAGAATTTATTATTAAAATACATTCAATTGCGCAATAAATTATTTATTTTTTGTATTAAAATAATTGAATTCTCGTAAGAATTTTAAATTTATTTGAAAATTAATTTAATTTAAAATTTTTGATACCGAATAATTGAATATTAAATGAATTATAGCCATGAATTTTTAGAAATTATTGAATTTTTAAGAGGTACCTATCAAAAATTAAAATGAAAGAAAATCTGAATTTTATCATACTTTTAATTAAAAAGTCAGTAAATTTTGGGAAAAATTTTAATTCAAATTCTTTTTGAAATTATTTCATATTTTTATATTTCTAATATAGATTTAATTAAAGAATTTTCGAATAATCGAAATTTCGTAAAATTGAATTATAAACAAAAATTGATTTGAAAATTCTTCAAAGAGAATGAATTTGAAAAATAGCTCGTCCTCCATTTTGGAAATTCCATTTTGAATTTTAAAAATAAAATTTTAAATTCATTAAACATTTAAAAAAATGTTTTAGTGGAAAAATTAAATATAATATTATATATTATATTATATTATATATTATTATATATATATTATTATTATTATTATTATTATTATTATTATATATTATTATATATTATATTATATTATATTATATTATATTATATTATATTATATTATATTATATTATATTATATTATATTATATTATATTATATTATATTATATTATATTATATTATATTATATTATATTATATTATATTATATTATATTATATTATATTATATTATATTATATTATATTATATTATATTATATATTATTTTCAATATTTTAATAATTAATAAAAATTTGACACTTTTTGCTCTGTAAAATAATTATTTCATATTTTTTTTTAAGAAATATTTTTCAAATATATTCAGATCAGATGATTATTAATATAATAATATTGTGTGGATTAGTTTTCCAATTTAAATACTAATAATTAATAATTTTTACACAGTTGCACTACTGCCGGTTGGGGAGCATCAAAATTCAGTAAAGAAAATCATACATTATATGAATCTATTTTGAGAAAAGTAAAACTCGCAACAGTCGATTCCGATTTATGTGAATCAAGTTTACAGCAGACAAGACTTGGTTCTAATTATCGATTAAATAAAAAAAGTTTTCTCTGCGCTGGTGGAGTTGAAGGAAAAGACAGTTGCACGGTAATTGACTTTTTAATAAATATTTTTTTTATATAAAGAAAATTGAAAAAAAAAAAAAAAAATTTCATTATTTTTTTTATTTCTGTAATTAATATTTTTAATTTGAATATTAACTTTTAAGGTTGTCAAAAAAATGAAATCGTTAAAAAGACATTTGAAAAAAATTTAATTTCTTTTCGTAAATTTCAGAGTGGATTTAATATTATAATTAACTGTAGAAATTTATGCAAATTTAATTTTTCCACTAAAACATTTTTTCTTTGTCTTTAATTTTTCAGGGTGATGGAGGTGGTGCTCTTGTTTGTGAAACAAAGGATGGTCGATTTAATGTTGTAGGATTAACTGCATGGGGAATTGGTTGTGGAGAAAATAATGTACCTGGAGTGTACGTTAATGTTCATAATTATATTAATTGGATAAGAGGAATAAAGGAATCAAAAATGCATTCAATTTATGATATTAGATCATTGTGATCGCATTCTTCATTGTCATTGCTTTTTTGCAAAAAAAAAAAAATTTTAATTAATTTTTTTTTTTAATTAGAATTGCAAGAAAAAAGCAAAATTCAATGTTTAGCAGAATTTTTAGCAAAAATTGTTTAAGTCAAATTTTCACACGAAATTGGTGTTTAGCATTAATTACCATTTAGTTCAGTAAAAAAAAATAATTCAATAATAAATAAAAGTATTTCCTAAAATGTTTGTAGCAAAATTTATAAAAAGAAAATTATCCTGTACATTATTAATTTAAGGTTCTCGAAATTTGTAAAACATTTTATTGACTGAATAAAAAAAATTAAGTCTATTTAGAAAAAAATTGTGTTTTTGAAATTTTCATAATTCTTATAAAAAAAAAAATTTAAATCAATTGCAATTAGTTTTGAAATAATTTTAACTAAAGATGTTAGATTTTTTGGACTGTTGTAATATAGAGAAAGATGTTTATTGTTTATTTAAAAATTCAATTTTATCAAAAAAAAATTTTTTTTTTTTTTTTTTTTTCATTTTTATTTTCATTTTTTTCTACAAAAAAAAATTTTTACCAAATAGTAAAGAATTTGATAAAAACCTACCAGAAAAAAAGGTAAAAGTAATTAAATTTTAAAAGTAGGTGACTTATTTGGATGGACAGTGAAAGTGTCATAATAAGTGCTCATAATTCAAATTTGTGCCAATTACTAAAATACGGAACTTCAGTTCCTGAAAGGGGAAAAAAAATTTTTTATGTAATTTTTCAAACGACCTCCAAATGAAAGGAACAATATGAAAGAGTTCGACCCTATAGTTCATGGTTAAGTAACCGTTGGCGCCATTTCCTCAATTTTGTCCTCCCCCCCCTTCTCTTCACAAATAGAAAAGATAAATAACTAAATCAAAAATTTGTCGCCTTTTTTTTAATCAATTGAATTTTTCTATTTCACATAATTCTTTTTCCCGCTTCCTCTACATTTTATTGTGAATAAAAAAAAATTGACAAACAATGAAGAAAGAGGGTGAAAATGATGACAATTCATTTTTGACATATAAATATAAAGTTGAATTTAATATTTTGACATTAGGAATTTGTATTTTTCAGGTGAAGTGTGTCCATATTTTTTTTTTGGAAGGAAAAAAAATTTTTTTTTTTTAAAGCAAATAAAAGTTTAAATATTATTTATAAATATGAAGAAAGTGGTGATTTTAATTTTTGCATATTTCTTGAGTGAAGCTGTTGGCTTTACGGATATATTCTATGATTTGGATCAAGTGTCGCAAATAAGAAAGCGGCAAATACCTACTACGGTTGCTCCAGGAACACGAAAACCTCAAGCAAATCCAATGCCAGTGACTACAACGACAATGAGTCCTGTAAATGTTAAAGGCAATGCAAAACCACCAACCAATTCGACACCAAAACCTCAGCAGCCTCCACCAACTCCTGCAACAACAGATAACAGTATATTATTTTTATATTTTAAGTAGTAACTTTAAATTTTTTAATTTTTCAATTTTTCTTGACCGCAGTTATAACTTTAAAATGTTTTATAAGTTTTATAAACATTATAAGTTAAAAAAAAAAATATTTAATTTTGCTCTTTTTTCATAGACAAAATTTTTTTTTTTTTATTTATTTACATATATTTAAATTTACGCGGAAAAAGAAATTTTTTTTTTCAAAAATAAGTCATTTTTTGTTTATCAAGTAAATATTTTGTTTACACAGGGTTGCCACACTTTTCCTAATTTCGAATTCCCTGACTTTTCCATGATTTTCGAGGTTAAAAAACATAATTTTGCCAAGTTTTTAAAACTACATTAAAAAAAAAAAAAAAAAAAAAAAAAAAATTAAAAATTTTATTTTTAATTTTATTCTTAATTTTGCCAAACTCCCTGATTTTCTTCAGACAAACACGACTTCTTTTCCTGTTCTGTTACATTTATTTACGAATTTTTTTAATTATAAAATTACTCAAAAACATCAATACCCGTGTGGAAAAGTGAGGTGGGCCCACGGTGGGTCCCAGGTGGGCTTCCCAGGTTCTAGGTGGGTCCCAGCAGGGATGGCCCAGGTGGGCGATTCCTTGGCTTGTAACGGTGAATCCAGCCACAGCCCACCTAGGAAAAATCCAGCTGGGGCTCATAGATTTAGTTTTCATTCAAATTAATGAATAAATTGTTTATTAATAACAAATAAGTCGAATTATAAATAAATAACGTTATTATTTAACGATTTTTACTTTTTTTAATGAAATTGTGACCAAAAGCAAATTCATAAATAATGTTAGCATATATGTGGGAATTAATATATATCCTTTCATTTATAAATTAAAAATTTATAAAAAAATTAGAAATTTGTTAATTAAATTATTAAACGGTATATATAATCACTAAATGGCATACTTATACGAATACAATGCAGAAAAATCGGAATAAACGCAAACCTAAGAAACAAATAAAATTTAACGCACGCGGGGATTGAACCTACGACCTACGGACTACTAGACTAACGCCCTAACCACTATACTACGGAGACTAACTACTGAACACCGACGTTTTATTGTCAGTGACTTGTTGATCTGCTGAAATGATTTAATAAAGCACTTACTGACACGAATACACCGTAACAAATAAATAGTTTAATAATAATAATAACAATATTATTAATGTAATAATAAACGATAAATATTCTTAAAATAATATTTATATTATTATGAAAAAAATATATCAATACATTTTTATTAAAAATGTGTTTTTTATTGTTTACAATCATTATAAACATTAATTTGTTGGTCTAAAAAAAAAAATTTTTTTTAGTTGTTTGGACTTAGAAATTTTTACTAATTAATTATGTGGACATTACATAAAAAAAATATTGTGAATACATTTTTGTTAAAAACACGTTTTTTCTTAATCTAAGTCATTATAAACATTAATTTTTTGTTGAAAAAAAAATTTTTAGGTTTGGACTTAGAAATTTTTGCTTATATAATTATTGATGTGGGTCCTCAAAAACTGGGAAGCCCAGGTAGGGCCCAGCTCACGCCCACTTATAATATTATTTCGCCTGACCGGAACCCACCGTGAGTGGGTCAATAGACAAACTCTAAAATGCTTCCGTAAAATGTTAACATGTTTGTCAATTGTCAATTCATGTACGAAGATGACCATAATTACATCAAAGTTTTATTATTAAATGTTAAAGAAAAACTAAACTATTTAATAATTTTCACTCTAAACGATTTTTGTTATTATATATAATAAATTTTACTAATGTTATATTGCAGTCGTTATTGTTTAAATAAATAATTGTTGTTAATTAGTAACTCCTGACACTAGCTTCCAGAAAGATGCAGTTTTTTTCTAATGTTGCGATTAACTAATTCGAACCACATGAAATAAAAATAATTTAAGGTTTTAACAATTCAAAAATTGTTTAAACAAATGATTGTTGTTATTTACTAATTTTTGACACAAAGCACCTAAAAAATGCAGTTTCTTTTTAATTTTACATTTAACTAATCTGAAAAGTATGAAATAACAGTATTTTATGATTTAAACAGTTCAGAAATTGTTTAAACAAATAATTGTTATTATTTATTAACTTTTGATACAAACAATCCAGAAACTTGCAGTTTCTTTCTAATTTTACAATTACTACTACTCTGATTAACTAATTGCAAAATAAGAAAAAAACTTCATTTTTCTAGATGCTATGTGTCAAGAGATAGTAAATAACAACAATTATTTGTTTAAACATTTGATAAATTGTTAAAATTAAAATCATAAAACATCCGAATGATTTACTATTTACATTAGTTAATTGCAAAATTAGGAAAAAACTGCAAGTTTTTAAGTTATGTGTATCAAAAGTTAATAAAGAACAACAATAATTTGTTTAAACAATTTCTGAATTGTTAAAACCATAAATTGTCTTTATTTTATGTCGTTCGTATTACTTAATTGCAAAATTAGGAAAAAAATTGCAAGTTTCTAAGTTATGTGTATCAAAAGTTAATAAATAACAACAATCATTTGTTTAAACAATTATTAAAATGTATTAAAAACCGTTATACCTTGATGAGTTAATTATTAAATAAATAAATAAATTCAGCTGGAACAACTTTAAAATTTCGGTAAAACTAAATGTCTGTTAGTGTAGTACAATAAAAGTTTATAATTATTGACAATAATAAATTGTTTAAAATAATAATGATTATTATTATTATGAATTAATTGTAGAATGATTTATTGTGAATAGTTATATTTAATTTTCAGACTTTTTCTATTATAATGTTAATATTTTTATGAAAATGGGAAGCCCAGGTGGGGCCCAGCTGGCTCCCAGTTTTTAACTGGGCTAACTTGGGCAGATTTCCACACGGGTAACTTCATTTTTAAATGAATATTTAATAATTATTATTTGTTTACAGAAATTGAAATTTTCAAAAATTTTCAATTTAAATTCCATATAATAATTAAAACTTGATACTATCATTATTATTTTAATATTATAAAACTATTGTTACTGTAATTTTTCAAAATTATTTTCATTTCAATTCAATTCTTCGTTTCTAGAATTTTAAACTAAAATTCTTTTTTAAAACAATTTTTTTAAATAATTTTCGAAAAAGTTCTTCTTCTTCGAGAATTTTTAAATCCATTTGTTTACAATTCAATTTTACCTCTTAACTTTCGATTATTCTGACATTTTTCAATTAAAAAAATTAGAAATTAAAAACATTAAATAATTTAAAAAAAAATTCCATTAAAGTTTTTGAGAAAAATTAATTCTATAAATTTCCTTAAAAATCTTGTCAAGAATTTAATTATTTTTATAGATATAATAAAATTATTCGCAGGAATTCAATTATTCTCAAAAAAATTTGAATAAAATTCTTCGAAATAAATTGAATTATTTTTAAAAATTGACAAAATTCTTCGCAAAAATTCAATTATTTTCAATATTAATTTTTACGTAATTTTGATTATATTCTGACATTCTTTAATTAAATATATATTGGAAAATAAACACTACAAAAATTTTAAAAAAAATTCAATTAAACTTTAAAAAAAAAAAAAAAAATTTTTTAAAAATTTAAAAATTTAAAAAAAAATTCTAAAATTAAAAAAAAATGCTAAAAAGTAAAAAAATAAATAAATAAATTCTACAAAATTGTTAATTAAAAGTATGAAAAGTTCAAAAATACTCTAAAAGATTTAAATTTGAAACATTTTTAAAATTCAATTATTTCTAAAAATTTACGCTATTAGCTTTCAATATTCAATAATAATTTAAAATTTTAACTGAAATTTATTTTTATGAAATTAAAATCAATATTTACTAGAAAAATCCACGAGAATTCAATTATTTTAAATACAAAAATAAATATTTTATTAAATAATTTAATGTTTCTTAAAATTGAATTTTTATCAAGACTTTTATTAACAAATTTTTAAATAATTGAATTCTCTTGACAAATTTTAATAAAATTTTTAATTGAATAAATTTATTTTTCGGATATTTGATTAAAATTTTATTAAAAATAATTGAATTTCTCCAAAGAGAAAAGAGTTTTTGAAATTTTTTTTTTTTATAAGAGTTTTTGAAAATTATTGAAATTTTGCCAAGAATTTTATTAAAGTTTTTGAAAATATTTGAATTTCGAAGAAAAATTTATAAAGATTAATTGAAATTTTGACGAGAACTTTTCTTAATTGTTGAACACAATAAAATTTCTGCGAAGAATATTATATTACTTTAAAAAAAAAATTGAATTCTTGAGACGAATTTTATTAAAATGTCTTTTTAAATAATTAAATTTGTTTGATGAATTTTAATAAAAATTTTTAAAAATAATTTCATTTTTCGAGGAATTTCATTAAAATTGTATTAAAAATAATTAAAAGTCTGAGATGAATTTTATTATTTATAAAAATAATGAAATGTTTACGTAGAATATAAAATTTTTCCACATTTTATTAAAGTAGTAGAAAAATCATTGAATTGAGGAAAGTTTTTTAAAAATAATTAGAATTTTGCCACATGAATTTTATGAAAATTGTTGGAAATAATTGAATTTCCAAGAAGAATATTTAACTTTTTTTAAAATTTAATTAATTTTGAAATATTCATGTAAAATTAGATTTCAAGAATAAACTTTAGAAAATAATAATTTTTCTAGAATTTTGATGAAAATTCCCTGACTTTTCCAGATTTTTTCAAAGTTTATAAAATTCCCTTACATTTCCAGGTTTTCCAGGTTTCCAGGTTGCGTGGCAACCTTGTTATAACATGTAATTATTTTTGTTAATAAATTTTTAAAGTTTTTGAAAGTATTTTTCAAAAAAAAAATTTTTTTTAAATAATTTTTTATTTTCCCATAAACATGATTTTTCCAAAAATATTGTAATTTGTTAACTTGGAATAACAAAAAAAAAATATATATATATATATATATTTTAAAGTTAATAAAATTTCTATTATGAGATAAATGTTTTTTAATTATTTACTATAGGATTAACACCGGTACCCAGCAAGAATCCTACATTTTGTAGATGTATATCATCGACATCTGTATGTGATGGAATGACTGTTGAAGATAATGATAACTCGAAATATTCTCCTCGTATTGTAAATAATGTAAGTTATTATTAATTTTTTATGCTATTTAAGATTTTCAAATGTTAAAATTTTTTTTTTTTTTTTTTTTTTTTTACACTCGTCTAAGTTACGAGTTTTTCTAAGTTATCTGGCATTGAGCTTCAATGGGAATAGAAGAAAATAATTATAAAAAATATTTTTTCTTCTTATAGGATCAAAATCCATGGTGTCCACCTAATAAAAAACGCTGTTGTACAGAAAAATCATGTGGAGTGAGATTGAGAATTGATCAAAAACCAAAACCTAATTATCAAGCATATTATGGTGAATATCCTTGGCATGCGGAGATTATAGATCTTAAGGGTAACACAATTGGAGCAGGTGTCATTATTAATGAAACATCTGTACTCACAGTGGCTCACAAAGTTTATAATTTGTAAGTTAGTAAACATATTTATTGACAAAAATAATAATTTTCAGAAAGCAAAACTAATTTTAATGGGTTAGGGTCTGAATGCTTAAGATGAAGAATCTAAGGTGCTGATTATTCCAACAAAAAACAGCGAAAAGGGTTAAAAAAGAAATTAAAAAATTTAATATATTAATATTTATATTTTCAGAAACAATCAGTATCAAATTAGATTGGGAAAATTCGATAGAATGGATATGAATGAAAAAAGTCTTACTGTAAAACCAATCTTAACAAGAGTCCACGAAAAATTCGATCCTGAATCTCTTGATAATGACATAGCTGTTATAAATATTAATGAGATAAAAATAATGTTCCAGGACTACTATAACATTAATTCTGCTTGCCTTCCAGAAAAAGATTTTTCTAAAGATTTTTTTCTAAACAATACTTTGTAGGTGCCTTTACTTTTTAATTAAGAAAATACAGACAATAATTTATTTTCAATAATTTAATTATCTTTAACAAAATTACAATTATTTTTATTTATATATAACCATTCAAAACATCTATATCATCTAATTTTTCTGAATTATATCCAAATATCATATCTGAAAAGTAACTCAATAATCTTTATATACAGGTGCAGTACTGCCGGTTGGGGTGCTGTCGAATTCAAAGGCGAAAATAATGCACAATATGAACAAATTTTAAAAAAAGTAAATGTTGCATTAGTAGATGCCAAGACATGTGAATCAAAATTACAGAAAACAAGACTTGGTGCAGATTTCAGATTGAATGATAAAAGCTTTCTGTGCGCCGGTGGAGAAAAAGGAAAAGACAGTTGCACGGTACAATAAACTTGTTCATAAATCTTTAATTATAAATAATTAACAATCTATTTAAATAATTCTCTTTTGAAAGTTAATATTTAACTCATCGAATACATTAACACGAAAAATCGGTGACAGTCAACTTGTTAAATTTTTAACAATCTGTTCTTCAATTTCAGGGTGATGGAGGTGGTGCTCTTGTTTGTTTGATGAATTCAGAACGTTTCGTGATTGCAGGTTTAACGGCTTGGGGAGTTGGTTGTGGACAAAGTGATGTACCAGGTGTGTACGTTAACGTTCTCAATTATCGTAATTGGATTAACGGAATAAAAGAACCTTCAAAATCAAAATTCGACGTTAGATCAATGTTCTAAGTTTCTCTTTCATCATAATGATTTTTTTTAAAAAAATAATAGTAAAATTCTTTTTTCTTTGCTTTGTATTTTCTTTACGATGAAAAGCAAAAAAGGCAATTAGCGAATTTTTTAGAAATTTAAATAATTTTATGTCGCGTGTGAAAATTTCTCCGAAATGACGTGCAGGCTTCGCACTCTTCTATTAAAAGCTATACTATTTGCTACTTTTTTGATAAGAGACTACTTTTTGCCTACTTTTTTGAGCCTAACGCTACTAAAAGCTACTTTTCTCAACAAATAGTCACATTTAGATTTTTAGTTTTCAAATTTCCATTTAAAAACAATGTTAAAAACTAAAATCGTTAATGAAAAACGACCGTCAATAAGATATTAGAGAATAATTTTACCGACATTTACTCAATCAATAGTGACTGATTATGAATTATGTTTAGATTTTCTTGCAAATGATAACCTTTAAATTCCCGATTTTTCCCGACTTTGTCATAATTTTTCCCGGTTTTATTTTCTCATCAAATTTAAATTTATTTGATTTCGAACATAAATAAATCTACAAATGGTTTCAAAAATTTTTATTAGATTTTCTATGAATAATTAAATTGTTTTGAGGAGTTTCTTTAAATTTTTTGAAAATAATGTTTTTTTTAAATAATTTTAATTAAAAATTTGGAAAATAATTGAATTAAACAAAGAATTTTTTCAAATTTAAAAAAAAATCGTTTTTGTTCATAATTATAATTGAAAATTTGATTAATTCAATTTCATTAAAATTTATTGATACTAATTGAATTTCTGCAAAGAATTTTACTATTTATAAAAGTAATTGAATCATTCCAAAGAATGTTATTACATATTTATGAAAATAATTAAATGTTTGCGTAGAATTTTATTAAAATTTTTGAAAATAATTGAATTGTGGAGAACAATTCAATTATTTATAAATATAATTGAAATGCGAAGAGAATTTCAAAAAAAAATTTTAAACATAATTGAATTTCTGCGAAGAATTTTATTACTTTTGAAAATAATTGAATTGTTTTTTTAGAATTTTATGAAAATTTATGAAAATAAATAAATAAACGGGCATAGTTCCGTTTACTACTTAAATAAATAAATAAATAAATAATTGAATTCTTGTGAAGAATATTTTTCAAAAATAATATTCAAAAGAATTTTGTAAATCTGAAGAATTTTGATATTTATGGAAATAATTGAAATAATTGAATTCTTTCGACGAATTTTAATCAAATTTTTAAGAATAATTACATTTTTCAAGGAATTTGATTAGAATTGTATAAAAAATAATTTAATTTCTGCAATGAGTTTTATTATTTATGGAAATAATTGAATTATTGCGAGGATTTTATAAAAAAGTTTCAAATAATTGATTTTAAAAAAAAAATTTAGAAACTATTTTTAATAATTCAATTCCTATTAAATTTCCGTTTTTTTTTAGAAAATAATTGAATATTCGTGTAGAATTTTGTCAAAATTGTTTTTAAATAATTGAATTCTTTTTGGAAATTTTATTAAAATAGTAGACATACAAATTATTAAATTAAGAAAAATTTTTGAAAATAATTGAATTCTCGTTATTTATGGAAATAATTGAATTCTTGAGAAGAATTTGTTTACAGTTTCTAGAAATAATTGAATTCTTTCGACGAATTTTAATAAAATTCTCAAGAATTCTCATTTTTCAATTTTTACTATTTATGAAAATAATTGAATGTATTGCGAAGAAATTTTTAAAAATAAAATTATAATTACGGTGATTAACTTCCCTTGATTATTTTCGAAGAATTGAAATAAAATTCTTTAAAAGAAGTAAATTATTTTTACATAGAATGTAAAGAAATTTCAATTATATCAAAAATTTTCAATTATTTGTCTATAAAAATTCAATTATCTTGAAACAAGAGAATTAAAAAAATTTAAAAATCTTATTTTTCAAAATTTTCAAAAAAACTTTGCGAAAATTTAATTTTATTGAAAAAATTTGAAGTGTATATATTTTTTTAAATTAACAAATAAAAATTTTAATTATTAATCTTCGCACTAGAAAACATGAATACATTAGAATGTGACTCCTTATAAAATTTAATTATTTATCAATTATTAAGTTAAAATATTTTGAAAATTCGATTTGTTAAAAAGTTTTCAATGAAATTCTTTAATAAAATTTATTATTTTCAGTTGAATTTCACGAAATTTTTATTAATTCGATAATTTTTTTGTAATTTATTTATTTACATACTATATTTAAATCAGTGACTGATTTTTAACTGTAAAATTAATTATTTTTAACTAATTTAAATTTAGAGAACAGTATAAATATCTATAAAAATTGAAATAAAAAGCGATTTTTTAAACACAAATTAAAATGATAAAGTTCTTTCTAATTTGGTGAGAAAATTCCCGGTTTGGAATATAATTTCTGACTTATTCCCGGTTTTTCCCGGTCGAATTAAATTCCCGGATTTTCCGGTTAGCAGACACCCTGGAATATATGTATACTTTTTTTTTGTCATCGAGGCTACTATTTCCTACTTTTTTTTGTCATCGAGGCTACTTTTTCCTACTTTTTTTAAACTCATAATGGAGTGCGAAGCCTGGACGTGTAATCCTTAGATTAATTACACTTATCGGGTATATGTAATTGCACTAAATTGACACTTTAAATTTACTTCGAAGTTTAAATGTTTAATGCTGTGAAACATTTTATTTACTTCAGACTGAATAAATAATTTTAATTAAATTTGAATAACGACATATGTTGGTTAGTTTAGATTTTAACTCCTTTCCTTTATCCTACAAATTCATAATATCCTTATTATGAAGTGGTATACTTATTAAGTACAAAATTAATTATTACTGTTCATATTTCCTAAAATTTTAATAAATCCTTCTAAACAATTCAATTATTTTTTAAATAGTTTAATTTAATAAATTAATTTTTATTTTTAGCTCTGCTTTTAATACTATTAATATCTGAAAGCACTATGTATACTGATATTAACTCAGTTTATTTAATAGTACCAAAATGGAACAATGTATTGAATATCAAACAATGATTATGTTTATGTTAAGACTTAATTAATACAAAGAAGATTTTTTTATAAATTACTGCAAAATTCTGCATCTTTTATTATTATACAAGAATTAGATTAACCCTTGTAGACTTGACTTAATATAACGGCATTGGATATAGCGAGACCGATTATCTGAAATTAGTTTAAATATTATTAAGAGAAAAATAAAAAAAAAGATAAAAATTGTGTACACGTGTGAAATAAAAATTACAGCCTTAAAAGTCTCCAGGCAGAGAATATAAAATGGACCACCAGTGAGAAGAATTGGTCGTTGTGAACGAATTGTAATCATTAGCACTGAGCACTTCACCCTATTATTTTTGAGATATTTTTCTTTTTTTAAATTTACTGGACCAAAGGAAGAAACCCATTCACAAGCATATACTGCATCTGCTATTTTCAAACCCTAAAATAAAAAAAAAAGTCTTTTTGAAAACATTTTCTATCATCTAGTCTTAAGAACTCGATTCCCTTTAAGAAGGTATGAATTAATTTGACAAAAAGTCCATAGTTCATTTATGCAAAAAAAGGTAATGGTAACTTGTTCCTGAACAAGTTTTTCAAAAAAAATTTTTTTTTTTTACAAACCAGTGATTTGATATGCGTTGCAACAAAGCAAAAAAAGAACAACTGTATCGTAATTGCAGTGACAAATTCTGCCATTGTTAAAATTTTCAAAATACACTCTGCATCCATCTGCATCAAGAAATAATAAAAGAATTATTTTGAAGTTGAATTAAAAGTTAAATATCTTTAATTTTACAAGGAGCATAACTGTATAATTAAGTGTTGCTGCCTCGAATGATGACAGACACAAGATAACAATATTTTGCACACATTGTACAAACATACAAGGACTTCCAACATTTTCCAAATCTTGTAAATAACTGAAATAATCAGTTTAATTGTAATTTAATTATAAAATTGAAATTTTTAGCATTTTGTATTATTAGTGACGATTAGTCACTATATTAGAAATAAATAAACTTTGTTTATTATCGCAATCTTACTGTAAAAGTTCCGCATACTGTATAGCGCATTTTCGCAGTCGATTCTCAAAACAATTGTAATTCGATAAATCTTGTCTGAAAATAAAATTTTTAATAATGCGTACTAGGATATGTTTTCTGAAAAAGTGTTTATGATAAAACAAAAAAACACTAGATAGTATGGCCAATGTGTACCTATATGTTTGCAGTTCGACATTTTTTCCTTCTAGAGATTTGAGAAGATGTCTTATAAGACCAGAAATTATTATCAACGTCGTCACATACAACTGATCATAGGAAACACTTCCCAGACAACAGCCCAGCACGCCGAAAATTTGTAAAATATAAGAGCATCCAAAGTAATTATTATCGTCCCATGGAAACCATCCCTTCATTGGAAGGACTTTTGACACATTTCTACTATCTTCATGTTGTACGTAAATTTTATATAAACGAAATGATAGAGGATTGCAACAATAATGTAAAGCTCCAGTCATTCCCAAAGCGGGCCACAAAATAATAAAAAAATTAGTCCTCCTACTCACTAATTCCATTTCCTCGTGAAAATCCTCCTTTTCTGAAATTTCATATCGTTTCAGATTCAATCATCAATTTTGTTATTTGAAAAATGCCTTAAAAAAATTTCCCAATGACGATTATATCAGAATTTCAACTATAGACATGATAGAATCCTGACCTTTTTGATTTGTACAAATTTCGTAAGAATAGGAGTAGCATTTTTTTAACAATGACAGCAAATCTGTTATTCTATTGATGCTCAACATACAAAAACACCATTTCATAAAACCAGTGATATGTAGGGAAACAGGTCCAATTCTTGTAGCTAATTCCCTAGCGTCATTCACATTCTTCAGATCTATCAATTCCGATAATATTAAAAATAAATTAGCGGCTAAAAAACAAATTATTATTATCAGCGTTGAAATTTTTACACGCAATGCAAATTTCTTTTCACTTTTATAAATACGAAGTAATTGTAAAGTATCGAATAAATAAGGTACGTAATTTTGAAGACTGTTTTTTAGGACAGTCATAATTATACATTAGATTAATTTTACTCCTAATCCTAAATTTATTGTTCCTTTCATTAAACAATTGATTGACATTAAAGAAACAATATGGTAAAATATTGCAAATTTTCTTTCTATTTTGATCGTGAATTCCTTTTACAAGTATATAGAGCATGGAATAAATGTTTAGTATTACTAATACTCTTGATAATCAATAGAAAGTTGTAGGAGATTGTTCTATCATTTATTATTTAGGAATTTTGAAACTTTGTCATCTTTATGGAACTAGTTGACCTTATAAATTACTGATATCTAATTACACCCCTGGGATTCAATTATTCATAAACTAAAGTTTGAATTTCAAAATCGTGCGGGGGAATATTTCTAAATTGATTTTGCATATGTAAATTCAGTGATGATTATAGATCACGGAAGGAACTAAAGTTCTTATTTGAATTGTCAAATTGCTTTCAAACTTTGCAATTGTTTTTGAAAATAAAAAAAAAATTTTTTTTTTGTTATTAATGGAAATATGTTGTTTCTTGTAAATTTACTACAATGTCAATGTTATAATTAATAAATATAGGAATTATATATAATGTGGTACTGGCAAAGACTGAATTTTGTAAATCCTATTTTTTGCAGCATTTTTTAAACTGTGTAACAAGTATTGTATTTTTTGAAAACCATTGTTGTTGGACCGCACATTGTTTGAATCATATTTCAGAGCTCATTAAATTGTCTAAAGATCCTATAATATAAATATATTATATATAAATATTATATAATATGTTTTTTATTTTATTTTCTTTAAAACTCCTGAAATAGAGTCAAGACAATAAATTAAGGTACTACTACTACATACACTTTAGAATTTTTAAAAAATTAATTTTTTTTTGTATTTTTTAACTTTCTAAGGCTTCAAAAACACCTCCTAAAGTCTTCATAACCAATTGTAAATAATAAAAATATTCAAATATTCAAATAATTAAAATATTCATTTTAATAAATATAATGAACCGCATTGACAAATTAAATAAGGCTTTAAGGGGATAGTGGGGGTCTAGTTATTTGTTACGACTATTAGGAGAAACAGTGGTGCTAATGTATGTAACATAGTCTGACATGCAAGAAGTAAAAGGATTTCAATTTCCAAAAAAAATTTTTGGTAATTTATGGATATATGGCCTCTAACGATACTTATTAAAAGGGGGGAAATTATGGAGTAGAGGATTTAAAGGACTGGATCGTTATTTCTTTTGTGCTTATATTTATGTATAATTTGAATTAAACTTTTCTTTTGTAGTTATTTGTATTTTTATTAATTGTCCCGATAGCAAGTAAAGGGACATTGTTATGATACAATTTAATAAATATTTTTATATCATACTAAAATTGACTTTTTCATTTAAAATTTATGAAATATTCAAAACATAACAAATGGTAAAAATACTATAATAATACAATAAAAATAATGATAATACAGCACCCCCCCCCCCTCACGTCGAAAAATTCCATGGAAGTACCCCCTGAAAATTCCATGGAATTTCCGTGCAAAGTTTCCATGGAAATTTTACAAGTTTTTTATTTTTTAAATATTTTAACATTTCCAGGGTGGTCATAGATTATAGGGAAAAGTCAAGAATTTTTATTGAAGTATTGGAAGAAAATTAAATTTAGAAGAACCCCCACAGCAGCGAAACTTTCCTAAAAATTTATTAAATATTTTCAGAAATTCAATTTTATTTCAAAAGTAATCAAATTCTTCGCATATATTCAATTATGTTCCAAAAATTATATTAAAAATTCCACGTCAAATTTATTCAATTATTATCTTTAGAAATAATAAAATTCTTCTTCAAAATTCAATTATTTTCAAAAATTTTAATAAACTTCTTAGACAAAATTTTCATTATTTTCAAAAATTTTCCTCAAATTCAATCATTTTCAATATCTAGGTACTATTATTTTTATATAATAAAATTTTTCAAAAGATTTCAATTATTTAATTGAATTATTATTTTCATAAATATTCAATTTTTAGAGGAATTTAATTATTTTCAAATACTATTTTCAAATACAATTTTCAAACACAATATTTAAAAAAAAATCAATTATTTAAAAAAAAATTAATAAAGTTTTTCGTAAGAATTCAATTATTTTTGAAAATTTTAATAAAAATTCGTTACAAGAATTCAATTATTTTAAAATTTTTTTTATAATACTCTTCGAATCAATTCAATTATTTAAAAAAAATTACTAAAGTTCTTCGTAATAATTCAATTATTTTTGAAAATTTTAATAAAATTCGTTACAAGAATTCAATTATTTTAAAATTTTTTTTTATAAAACTCTTCGAATCAATTCAATTATTTAAAAAAAATTTTATAAAATTCTCGGTAAACATTTCAATTATTTTTCAAAAATTTTCCAAATGAATTCAATTATTTAAAAAAATACTTAATGCAATTCTGCGCAAACATTTCATTATATTCATAAAATAATACAAATTTCACAAGGAATTGAATTATTTATAAATTTTTTATAAATTTCTTCACAATAATTTCATTATTTTCATAAATAATAAATTTTTTTTTACAAATATTCAATTATTTTCAAAAATAATAAAATTCCTTCTAGGAATTAAATTATTTTCATAAATAAGAAAATTTCATTGCATAATTTCAATTATTTTTAATACAATTTTAATCGAATTCCTCGAAAAATGTAATTATTCTTGAAAATTTTATTAAAATTCCGAAATTCGTTAAAAAAAATTCAATTATTTAAAAATTTTTTGATAAAATTCTTTGTGAGGATTCAATTTTGAAAACAATCAATTATTTAAAATGATTTTTAAAAAATTCTTCGTAAGAATTCAATTATTTTTGAAAATTTTAATAAAAATTCGTTGCAAGAATTCAATTATTTTAAAACTTTTTTATAAAATTCTTCGAATCAATTCAATTATTTAAAAAAAATTTTATAAAATTCTCGGTAAAGATTTCAATTATTTTATAAAATTCTCGGTAAAGATTTCAATTATTTTCAAAAATTTTCCAAATGAATTCAATTATTTAAAAAAATACTTAATGCAATTCTGCGCAAACATTTCATTATATTCATAAAATAATAAAAATTTCACAAGGAATTTAATAATTTACAAAATTTTCTATTTTCTTGGCAATAATTTCATTATTTTCATAAAATAATAAATTTTTTTTCACAAATATTCAATTATTTTCAGAAATAATAAAATTCCTTCTAGGAATTAAACTATTTTCATAAATATAATAAAACTCATTGCAGAATTTCAATTATTTTTAATACAATTTTAATCGAATTCCTCGAAAAATGTAATTATTCCAGAAAATTTTATTAAAATTCCGAAATTTAAAAAAAAAAAAAATTCAATTATTTTAAAATTTTTTGATAAAATTCTTTATGAGGATTCAATTTTAAAAAACATTCTTATTCAATAAATAATTTATTTGCATTTTATTTGCATTTAAATAATTGAATTCTCGTAGAATTTTTTAATAATAATTGATTTAAAAATGAATTTCAGTTAAAATTTTACATAATAATTGAATATTAAAAGCATTAATGGCATGAATGTTAAAAAAATAATTGATTTCTGAATATTTTTGAAAACAATTACATTCTGCGAAGAATTTACCTAAAATTTTAATAAAAATAATTAAAATCTTGAGAGGAATTTTATTATTTAGAAAAATAATTGAATTCTCGTAAGAATTTTTTATTACATTTGTTTTAAGTAATTGAAGTCTTGTAAAGAATTTTATTATTTTTATGAAAATAAGTTGGATTCTTGCAGCGAATTTTTATTAAACTATTTTTTAAATTATTGAAATTTTGTAAAGAATTTTATTGTTTATGAAAATAATTGAATTCGCGTTCTTGCAATGCGTTTTATTACATTTTTTTAAAAAATGAATTCATTTAAAAAATTTGATTAAAATAGTAGATTTTGAAAATATTTGAATTTCAGCGAAGAATTTCATTATTTTTATTTGCGAAATGTAATTGAATTCTTGGAAAAATTTTTTGTGAAAATAATAACATGTTTTTAGGCGAATTTATTTAAAATTGTATTAAAAATAATTGAAATCTTATGAAAAATATAAATCTATGAAAATATAATTGAATATTCTTAGAACGAATTCGTTATTTTATTACATATTTTTAAATAATTGAATTCATGTGAAAAATTGTATTACTTGTAAAAATAATTGAATTCTTGGGAAAGATTTTATTAAAATTTTTATAAATAATTTAGGAATTTTTTTTCTTTGAAAAAAAAAAAATTGTTTTTTCAAAAAAATTTTTTTTTCAAAAATTTAAATTATTACAAAACATAAAGATAACAAAAACTCCGAGTCTTCAAAATAATAATAATAATAATTTTTTAAATTTTTTTTTACTTTGAGTCTTTGACTCGGAGTGATTTATATCTTCATGTTTTATAATAATATTCTTCTCAGTTGTTGAATTTGCATAAAGGTTTGAATTTGAAATTTTTTGAAAATCTGAATTCCTATGAAATAATAATCATTAAATATTTATTTAAAAAAAGAATTTATTGACGTGTTTTAGAATAATTTTACAATTAAAAGAATTCGTATAATTAAATGCAATAGAACAATTTTTTGAGTATCTAATTATTTTTTAATCAAAATATTTTTTAGGGTTAGGGAAAAATTGAAAATTTTGCCCGGAAATCGGTTAAAATTCAAGGAAATTCGGTAAGTTTTTTATTTTATTAATATTTTAACATTTGTACTATGATTAGAATCTAATAATATTGTTGCGCAATTTTTTTTTCAAAAATGCGTATTTCATTCAATTTTTGCAAATTAATTTATGACAAAGCTTATTATAGACTCTGATCATAATATAGAAAATTGTTAAAATAATTATTAAAATATAATTTTCTTGTATCTACATTTTTATAGTGAATTTTCTTAATCCTCACAATAATCTCAATTATGCAGACTTTACATAATGCGAATACAGGTTCGTACGTAAAAAAGAAACTAGTCAAAGAACTTTATTTTCATTTATTCATCAAACTCATTGCTTAAACTACTGGCATTTTTTAGTATTCAAAATATATTATTTAAAATTAAACTTGTATATTTTATTTGCAAACCACATACCAAACTCAATTAATAATTCAATGAAACTGAATCCAGAACAATATGCATGGTTATTTTTGAAAAATATACTTCCGACAGAAAACGATAAATTAAGTTATTTCCCACTTTGTCGGAAACTTTATAAGTAGATGTAGAAGATTAGAAAATTACACACTTGTCCTCTTTGATAGAAATATTCAATACTCTAATAGTATAGTTTACTTTACCGATAATAAATAATTTATACCGCAAGAACCAAGTTTGAACAGAGTTTCCATTTTCGCAAAAGGCACTATACTTGAAATAGAGTTTAATAATACGAAGAAAAGAATACAAAGTACAAATTTCCACGTTCAATATAACAGATCACTAGTTCCAGTAGTATGTTACTTTTGCTTTTTTTAATTATAAAAATAAATAATATTTAAAAAAAAGAGGGAAAAAAAATTCAGTAAACGATGACTTGTAGTAATAGATCCTTAACTTATTATGCTCAACATACATTTAATCTTCTACATCTTCTTCGTATATACAATAGTAAAAGAGTGTTTTCGTTTGCAATAAAATTATGGACCAGTGTTATTATCATAATTTGTTTATCGTCAAATTTTTTACTAATTTGCTCAGAATTAATAGGACTCAAAGATTCTAAGAATGTAAGAGAATTTGCACACATCTTCGGTTGTGTTTCTTTCCATACTACTGGACTTGTTAAATGGTTATATTGTATGTGGAAAATAGACGAAATCACAAATCTTATTAATATGCTTTATAAATGTCATTGTTACGCATTGGAAATCTGCCACACAGATGAAGGTAAAGAAGAATTTTGTTTAATTTCGAAAGTGTGATTTACTTTCCTAGTCAAGCTAGGAATTCTTAGTATTTAATATTCTTTATTATAAAGAATACTGTCCCAAGTGGAAAAGTTAACGTTAGTCTAACGACATTTTTTGATCACTTATATCAGATTATAACGTTATTAACATTAGTCTAACGTTAGTCTAACGTTAGTTAACGTTAGTAACATTAGCTAACGTTAACTTTTCCACCTGGGATGGGCCAGCAGATCCTAGAAAGTGGGTCAAAATTCTGTAATTCCTAGACTATAGCAACGAGGCTAATAAGTACTATAATTATTGTAAAATAATTTAAATTCCCACAAAGACACTTGTAATCTGTAATTTTTTTAAAATAAAAAAGTTACAAATAATTGCAGACATTCATAATGATTTTCAAAATTAATAAAATTTTTCGAAAAAATTCAATTACCCCCACAGCACCGAAACTTTCCTAAAAATTTATTAAATATTTACTTGCAATATTCGGAATATTTAATTGCAATGTTTATTGAAAGTTGTGTACAGATTTAAATGTCCCGATTAAATAAATATTTAGCGCAAAGCTTTCCTCAACATTTCAATAAAATCTTCGCATAATTATAATTATAATTATAATTATGCGAAGATGTAATTGAGCTCCCGCGTCCAATAAGTCGATCTGCGCTTGAACTGAAAAATTCAAGCCAGTCCAGCCGGCAGAAAATGGAAAAAAATAAAAGTCGGAATTTTTAATTTTAAAACATACTACCGTATAGAGCATAAAAATGCCCAACTTTTTTGTCTTTGAAATTTTTTTGTAGGACTTTTATTTTTAATAATAATGGACAAAAACTGAATTTTTTTTATTCTTCAATTTCATTGAATTTCAAAACATAAATCGACTTTTCTCAAACAAATCTTAATGAAATTAATTAAAAATTGATATACTTACTTATCAGGGTCTACCGAAGACGATGAAGTGATTGAAACATTAAAAAAAGTTTATTGCAAAATTATTTGTTAATATAAATACAGACCTGTCAATAAATACGTTTTCTCAACTTTGACGAGAAAAAGTGTGCGGTGAACTTTCGAGTTGACACAACTTCCAGTGAGACATTTGTTTATTAACATGTGAAGAAGTTTTTTGGAAATTTTTATTTAAATCGGATGAAAAATAAAGAAGATACATAATGTTTAAAAAAATATGCGTCGTGCGGCGTTTTGACATTTCGACGCAAGAGGAGAAAACTATTGGAAACTAACAGTGGTCGCCTTTTAAAAATGGCTGCTTGAACGTAAACGTAATTTCAAAAGGATTTTTCTCCTAATTTGGACAGTTATTGCAAAATAGAAAAAAACCAGTTATCCTGAAAATTTGCTTTTTCATTTGTACACAAGAAATTGAAAATCCAATATAATACACGACGTTAGGAAGTAAAATATGAGAATTAGATATGCCCATTAGGTGCTGCCCTCTGGTGGTAATTTTATGCATCGCGCATTTGTTTAACTTTTTCCTATTTTTCTTCCTGTCGTTGTAAATCTAAATAAATCTTTTACTGCCTATCATATTATAAATGTATAGAATTGTTTTTATTTTAAATATAATACATGAATAAACTTATTTTTAAATAAATCAACAGAAAATAGCAATAGTTTCCAATAGTTTTCTCCTCTTGCGTCGAAATGTCAAAACACCGCACGACGCATATTTTTTTAAACATTATGTATTTTCTTTATTTTTCATCCGATTTAAATAAAAATTTCCAAAAAACTTCTTCACATGTTAATAAACAAATGTCTCACTGGAAGTTGTGTCAACTCGAAAGTTCACCGCACACTTTTTCTCATCAAAGTTGAGAAAACGTATTTATTGACAGGTCTGTATTTATATTAACAAATAATTTTTCAATAAACTTTTTTTAATGTTTCAATCACTTCATCGTCTTCGGTAGACCCTGATAAGTAAGTATATCAATTTTTAATTAATTTCATTAAGATTTGTTTGAGAAAAGTCGATTTATGTTTTGAAATTCAATGAAATTGAAGAATAAAAAAAATTCAGTTTTTGTCCATTATTATTAAAAATAAAAGTTCTACAGAAAAATTTCAAAGACAAAAAAGTTGGGCATTTTTATGCTCTATACGGTAGTATGTTTTAAAATTAAAAATTCCGACTTTTATTTTTTTCCATTTTCTGCCGGCTTGACTGGCTTGAATTTTTCAGTTCAAGCGCAGATCGAGTTATTGGACGCGGGAGCTCAATTTTATGTTCAGGACATGTTCAGGAAAGCTTCGCGCTAAACATTTATTTAATCGGGACATTTAAATCTTTACACAATTTTCACTAAACTTTTTAAATATGACGAGTATTGCAAGTAAATATTTAATAAATTTTTAGGAAAGTTTTGGTGCTGTGGGGGTATATTTCAAAAATTATTAAAAATTCTTGTCAAAATTTAAATTATCTTATTTGTGAATAATAAAATTCTTCTTTGAAACTCAATTATTTTCAGAAAATTTAATAAAGTTCTTGACAAAATTTCAATTATTTTTCATAAATAATAAAAATTTCACAGATATTCAATTATTTATAAATTTTTTCAAAAATTTTCTTCACGTCAACTTTTTTTTATTTATGAAAATAATGGATTATTTTCAAAAATAAAAAAAATTTTTTTAGTGATTCAATTATTTTCATAAATATTAAAATTCTTTTTAGGAATACAATTATTTTTATAAAAATAAAAAAAATTAAAACAAAATTTCAATTATTTTTTTTATACAATTTTAATCGGTTTCCTCGAAAAATGTATAATTATTATTAAAAAAATAATTGCAGAAATTCAATTATTTTCAAAAATTTTAATAAAATTCTTAGCAAAATTTGAATTATTTTCAAAAATTTTTCTCTATACGCAAACATTTAATTATTTTCATAAATAATATAAAAATTTATTCACAAATAATTCAATTATTTTTATAAATAATAAAATTTTTTACAAGGATTCAATTATTATTTTTATAAATAATAAAACACGAATTGCAGAATTTGAATTATTTTTTATACAATAATTTTAATGGAATTCCTCGAAAAATGTAATGATTCGTAAAAACTTTATTAAAATTCGTCGAAAGAATTTAATTTTACGAAACATTCAATTTTATTAAATAAACGATTTTATTTTTTTATTTAAATAATTTAATTCTCGTTGAATTTTTTAATAGATATTTATTTGAAAATAAATTTTCGTAAAATTGAATTGTAAACAAATGAATTTGAAAATTTTCAAAGGCACATTTTTTAAAAAATTATTTAAAAAAATAGTTGTTTTAGAAAAGAATTTTAGTTAAAAATTCTTGAAAATAATAATTGAATTGAAATGATGAAAACAATAAAATTTTTGTGGCAATCCTGTAAACATTTTGCATAAAAATTTCTTAACATTAAAATTTTTTTTAATTTTTGAAATCTTTGGGTCTTTAATTATTGGTGTCTATTATTTTCGTTCAACAAAATTCCTGGTTATTTCCCGTTTTTTTCTCATCAAATTTGTTTAATTTCGAACATAAATAAATGTACAAATGGATTCAAAAAATTTTTATTAGAGTTTTTATGAATAATTAAATTCTTTTGACAAGTTTCTTTAAATATTTTGAAAATAATTTTTTTTTTTAATAATTTTAATTAAAAATTTGGAAAATAATTGAATTAAACAAAGAATTTTTTCAATTCTTTAAAATAATCTTGTCCGTTCATAATTGTAATTGAAAATTTGATTTATTCCATTTTATTAAAATGTGATAGGTACTAATTTAATTTCTACAAAGAAATTTACTGTTTTTTTTAAGTAATTGAATCCTTTCAAAAAATGTTATTATTTATGAAAATAATTAAATGTGTGCGTAGAATTTTTAAAAAATTTTTGAAAATAATTGAATTGTGGAGAACAATTTTTAATTATTTATAAAGATAATTTAAACTTTGAGAAGAATTTAAAAAAAAAATTTTAATAATTGAATTTTTGCGAAGAATTTTATTACTTTTGAAAATAATTATTGAATTCCATTGTAGAATTTTATTATTTATGAAAATAATTGAATTCCTGTGAAGAATTTTTTTTTTAAATAATATTCAAATTTAGTAAATCTGCATAATTTTGCTATATTTATGGAAATAATTGAATTCTTGAGAAGAATTTTTTTTTACAGTTTCTAGAAATAATTGAATTCTTTCGAATATGAATTTTAATAAAATTTTTTAAAAACTTTGCGAAAATTCAATTTTATAAAAAAATAAAGTGTATATCTTTTATTTTAAATTAACTAATAAAAATTTTAATTATTAATCTTCGTACTAAGCAGTATGAATACATTAGAATGTGACTTTTTATAAAATTCAATTTTTTATCAATTATCAAATTTAAAATCTTTTGAAAATTCGATTTGTTAAAAAGTATTTAATGAAATTCTTTAACAAATTTAATTATTTCATTATTTTTTTCAGATAAGGAAATTTTGCATAAGGAAATGAAAGTGGCAAAGAGAATAACAAGTTTATTTGCCTACTATTGGCCGCCAATTGGAGTTGGCGCTGTGCTTCATTATTGTTTCAATCCAATTTCATTTCGACTTTATGAAATTCATGTACAACAGCACGATGGTAATGTGGTGCCAAAAATACTTCCATTTTCAGGATGGTTTCCATGGGACGAATATGAATATTATGGATGGTCATATTTTTCTCAAATCAGTGGTGTTATTGGTTGTTGTATGGGTAGTATATGCTACGATCAATTATACGTTTCTTCGCTAGTGATTATTTGTTCGTATTTAAAATTTCTCAGTAAAGCACTGCCAGCAGATTTCAATAGGTATTCAAATTTTCAAACTATACTCCTTTTTTTGTTTTCAAATTATTTTCAAATAATACAATACTAAAAAATACTACTACTCCATAAAAATTGTTTTAGGAGTAAAGTAATGCATAAAGCACTACTTGAAAGACGATTGAAAAATTGTGTGAATCTACATAAGGAAGTTCTAAGGTAAGAGAGTAATTCCATTTTGTAGAATAGTTACTTTATTCATTTAACATTATCAACAAATTATATTTACAGTTATGTTGAAAATTTAGAAAATATTGGAAGTCCGTGTATGTTTTTGCAATGCGTGCAAAATATTGTCATCCTTTGCTTGTGTTCATTTGAAGCAGCAACACTTCAAATTACAGTAATATAATTAAAGAAATTATTTAAATTTTTTTTTTTTTTTTTTATTTAAATTCAAAAATTTCTAACATTTTTCCGAAGTTAAAAGAAATTTGGTTTCTAGCCTGACATAGAATGCGTTGTGCAAGTACTAAACTTGATAGAATTCGCTATGGGGGTAACGGTGCAATTATTTTTCTTCTGCTTCGTTGCCAGCGATATTTCAAAACTGGTTAGACGTTTCTTTTATTGTCGCATTGGCTAATATTCTATAGTGTAAAATACACCTTACTAAGAATAGTTAATAATTCATTTAAGGGTTTAGACGTATCAGATGCTGTATATTCCTGCGAATGGTTTTCCACTTACGATACTCTAGATTATAAAAATTGCAAAAAGCAAAAAAATCATGTTATAAAGTATGCTGTGTTAATAATGACAGTTCGTGCTCAACGTCCGATATCTTTAACCGGAGGACCATTTTATATTCTTTCGCTAGAAACATTTAAGTCCGTAAGTTCACTTTTTCAATTCTATTATACTTTTCTAAACGACATAATATTTTTTCATAAATTTGTCAAAAAAAAAAAAATTAAAACTGACCACTCCTTTTAGAAAGCATCTTTCCTTTCACGTAAAATTTAACAACTGCACTGTCTTGCCGAAAATTTTATTATGATAATTATCATACTGAAATATTTATTTTTCAGATTGTCGGTCTAGCAATTTCGAATTCGGTAGTGTTAAGTCAAACTTATAAAACATAAACTGTACATTTACTTTTTCCAATTGCCTAACGCTCTTAAGATGTATTATTATTAATCCATTTTTCCTCTACTTGGAAAATTTATTAATTTCCGAAAATTAAGAGGTGAGAGTCCTTTAAAGAAATTAATATTTTTTATAGAAAAATACTTATATATCAATTACTAAAATTTAAATAATATTTATATTATACATTTTGATAATTTTTTAATGTTTGTAACAAATCTAACAAATCAATGTAGTCTTAATTCACACGTCATAACTTTTCCATTCTTACTTATTCCTCTTTTAAATTTTGGCGCATCACTCTCACTCTGAAACACTCTCCGCTCCGAAGAAAGATTGCAAGTTATTTTTAAGTTATGTTTTTGTTATTTCTATTATAATTTTAAAGTTTTCGTTTAATTCTCATAAACTCAATTTTTATTAATAATTTTCGATATTTTAAAGATTTTTTAACGTACGGGTGGTTTCTATTGAGAGTTGATCCAGAATAATAACAAACATAACCTAAAATTTGTCTTTTTCTCCTTTCTTCGGAGTGCGTCATATATATATATATATAATAATTATTAGTATTTATTATGTAATGTAATTATTTATTTCTCATCTACTAAAACCTAATATTTACTACTTTTTTTATTCGCTACTATCTGGATACTTTTGTTTATATTTTTAATGATAAAAGCTACTATTTATCGAGAAATTGCACTATACTTAAAAATCGTGAATAGGTATATATCTAAGATAATTTTAATAAAATTTCTCTAACATGTTCAATTATTTTTAAAAATTGTAATAAAATTTTTCTAAACAATACAATTTGTTCTCAAAAGTTTTTAATCAAAATTTTTTGTAAATTTCAATTATTTTCAAAAGTTTTTAATCAAAATTACTTTTAAAAATTACATAATTATTTTTACGAAGTTTTAATGAAATTCTTTAAAAAGAATGTAATTATATTTACAAAAATTCTAATAAAATTGTTTAATAGAATTAAATTTTGTATGATTAATTTTAATATAATTTAGTAGGAAACTCGTTAATTACACTTTAAAAAAAAGGGACTTAAATTTTAACTCCTTAGGGTATTCTATAAAAGTCACACCCATTGGGGAGTTAATGCCAGGGGAGTTGGATAAAGAGGGTTAAAACTTTACACCCAAATGCTAACTCCCCAAGGAATAAATAACTCGCGCGGGTGTTGATGAAGGGGAAAAAAAAACTCGAAAAATTTCACTCCCAACTCCACAGTCCGTTAACTCTCTAAATTTTTTACAGTGTACAAATTAATGATAAACACGATTATTTTTAAAGAAAGTCTTCTTAAAATTCAATTACTTTTAACATTTCCAGTAAAAATGATTAAAAACAACTTCACTATTTTCAAGAATATTGAAATAAATTTTTCATAATAATTCAATTATTTTAAAGAATTTTAATAAAAATCTTTCCAAAGAATTAAATTATTTCCAATACAATTTTAATTACATTTTCTTTTGAAAGAATTCAATTATTGAAAAAATATTGATAAAATAGAAACTAATTCACTTTTTAAAAATATTATATGTATTTTTTTAATGTGTTTGACCACTATGTAGAAACTTCAAAAAATCGAAATTTTTTTGTGTTAAAAAATTCTTTAATAGTAAATCCTAAAGATTTACAGGCGCAGTTCTCGAAGTGCCAAGGCCGTTTTTGGCAATAATTATTTATGAAATGAATTTCTACGCCGAATTTATCTTTACAATTATTGAATCCCCCTTTAACAGAAAACTGTCCTGTCGACACATCTAAAATAAAGAGGGTTTTTGGCTACATTTGTTATATGAATACAATAGAAATCGATAGTAATTTCCTATTTATTGTAATATTTTATTATTTTGTTATTATATATAATAAGACAGTTATTATTTAGATTTAGAAAAGAATCAGAATTAAATAATTCCGATCTCATTCAATTTAATTAATTTTTATTGATAACAATGTATTTCAAAAGTCTTTTTTCCTTACATCTTATTACACAAAAGATTCAATTAGAATTTCTTGTTACGACATCAAATTCATTGCAGTCTATTTCTATCATTTGAAGAAATCGGTTGTTAAGGATGAAAGTCATTAACATATATTTGGTTACGTTTATTTTTCTAAGAGGAATTCAAGATACCTCACCAACAAATGGTTACATCGATGGACTGCTAAAGCATTTAAAAGAAGAATCAAAACTACATCAAGTTATATTCATTGTTGACGATGTGCAAAATATTACGGACCCAATACTACAATCAACCATAACGAGTGTCAATTCCCACTTTCCATCCGTAATCTTTAGTCATAATGATTTGGAAACAATTTTACTCACAGATCCAAGGTTAGAGAAGCCAAAGAAACTTTACAAAAACGCTGGTCCTTCACTGTTTGTTTACGAAATGTCAAAACTGGACTTTGATTTCTTTTTTTTTACGCATATTTATCAGCTTAATGGACTTTATTATCCACGGCAAATTCCTAAGAAAATATTAATTCTAAATTCCGCATCCTCAAATTATACGATTATTGAAAAAATTTTATCTAGAGCCTGGAGATTAAAGTATTTAGACTTTACCTTACTGACATATAGTAATGAACAACCGCATAAAATAATTAAATCAAGTTCCTTAATGTCACCATTTCTGAGTCATCTGAATCCTTTTAATCAAAATTATTCCCACGAATTGCTGTCAGCAAAAAGTGAATGGTTTCCAAATAAATTGAAGAATCTCCATGGATATAGATTAAAAGTAGACTGTAAATCTGTTTATGATTCATCTGAAGTTGAATACAACAGTTCCATGAAATTACTAGATATTCTTGAAAAGGCAATGAATTTTAAATCAAATGTGACACAAATTATAGATGTTGCAAGCAAGACATATTTTAAAGCAGACAATGATAAAAAAAAAGATATATTACTTAAAAATATTTTAAGCTTATCGGATTTGTCGTTAAATTTGGTAGACCTATTTCAATCGAATGATCTTAATTGTTTTCGTCAGCAAATCGTAGTTCTTAATATTGTTAGAATAAATGTTGTTATTCCAAAAGGATTAAAATGTAACGAAGGCATTGAAGTTTCAGAACAATTTTGGCATATGATCCTAGCAACGATTTGTATGATTAGCGTAATACGACTCGCAATTTTTTTATTAAAATTCAAGAGGAGAGCTTGGCAAACGTTAAGCATCTTTCAGATTGTAATCGGAATGGGAACATCCGAGGAACCACTGAATTTATCAGAAAGAACAATTTTCGGATCACTGTTAATTACATGCATTGTCTACACAAGTTATTTTTACTCTGTCATTCTGGACATCAGTATATCTTCAGCTCCCGAAATTTCAACTCTTGCAGAACTTATGAAATCGAATATATCTGTAATTACTACACTTAATGGACCAGAACTATTTTATTATACTTCATTTTCACAATCTGATGTTAGAAGGTGGATTTTTAAAGGAATGTTTTATCCATCTGGAAAAGAAGAAACATGTTTGAAGCAATTGTCTAATTTTCAAAATATTTGCTGTGTTCTTAACGACGGTGCATATCATATTGCGAAATATGAAGTTAAATACGGAAAACTAAATGGAAAAATATTGCAGGAGACTTTTGGAAGTGGATACAGTACATTCACGGCACATTATTTTTCACCCTATGTCAATCGATTTAGGGAAACAATTCTAAAAGCATCGGAATTTGGATTTCTTAAAGATTTCTATAAAAATATTCCACATATATTGAATGATTTACCAAAACCAGAAGAAATTACTAAGGATAAACTGTTACCCATACTGCTTTCTGTACTAGTCATTGGATACTCTCTTGCCATCATTGTTTTTCTTCTTGAAGTAATAACAGCGAAAATGAAAAGCAGATATTCGAGAAAAAAGCCTCTTTATCGATTTGTAAATTAAAAAGATACAACAGAACTTTCCTGATGCGAAAAGATCTTCAAATAGGTAAGACAATTTGAATTTTTAGTATTTTTATTAATATTTAAAGAAAAATGTATTTAATATTATTTTCTCATTTTAGATTCTCGCCAAAGTAGAGCAGGGAAATTGTAGACATTTGGAAGAAAGATGTTATCAATTATCTTTAATAATTTTAATGGTTGATTAACAAGTAAACTAAAATTCATTTATTGAGAAATATTTGTAAAACTAATTTAAATTCTAGTAATTGTTTACCAGAAATTCTCGATATTATTATTAATATTAGTATTATAACTATATTAATCAAATTAGTATTTTAATAATTTACTATATTAATTGTTATTAATAATTAATTCGTTATTTCAATAAAGACAAATTTCAAAAGTCGCAAATGACAACAAATTTTAAATTGGTAATAAAAAAAATTTTAATTACATTTTTTAAGAACAAAAAAACTCTTCATCTGATGGAAGTAAATGCTTAACAAGATTTTGAAATTCTTCCAATGGACAAGGATTTTCACAGTTAAAAATCTTCAATTCTTTTGTAACTGGTGGAATTCCCAAGTAATACAATATCTAGATAGAAAAAAAGAAATATAGAAGTGAGAATTCATTAAATTTAGAAAAATGATTATTTTTACTGAAAACAAAGTTTGATTATAGACACAAAATAATAAATTTGACTCACTTGACATAAAAATAATTGGACATAATTGTTATATTTGAAATAAAATTCACTTGACAACTATTATTTTTACATCTAGATCATTTGACATAAAAATGGAGGAGCGAGTTTTAAAATTGGCCAATCACAATTTTCTTGATAATATCTAATTCGTTATTTTTTAAATTCGCACCAATATTTTCATATTCATATTTTTATTTTATATAATATAATTAAAATAATATATAATATTTTATATAATATTTTATATATAATTTTTTATATAATATTTATATTTTTATGTCAAATGAAATTTTAATGTCAAGTGACTTTTCTTTCAAATAATATTTACGACATATATAAATTTTGTGTCTAATGAAATATTATCTGAAATGGATTTTATATCAAAATGTTGTTTATTTGTAAAAATTTGTCACATATTGTTGTAAAATGAATAAAAATGGGAAATTAAAAATATTCCTCTTATTGCAAGTAAAGAGTAGATTTTTTTTCAGTAAATACCTTTACGTAATAGTTATTGTCAATCAATAATAATTCCATTATTATTGTACTTGTAAATCTTGTTAAAAGCGATTCAGTACTGTTCAAAGCAAGGAGAAAAGCCACAACATTAAGATCGTGTCCACTGTATAAATACAATTTTGGATTACTCTCAACTTTAGGAGAACTTTTAGTTACAGCAGAAATATTTTCCAAAAATTGTCGTAAAAATTTTCCTAAAAGTATCATTTTCATTATAAAAGACGCGCTTCGAAGAAAGGTTCAATATTATTTTGAAGTTATGTTTTTGTTATTTCTATTTTAATTAAAAGCTTCTGCTTCGTTAGATCCAAAATGTTCAATAGAATATCTGATTTCAAGTTTAAATATAATCAAACGGAAGCTTTTAATCAAGATAAATCGGACGCAAACATAATCTATAACTTCTTAGGTTTCTTTGCGGCCCGTCACATATTTACTTGAATCAAAACATTTTTATTTCAATCAATTAAATGGTATTTGCTTCCAATAATGAATTTATTGGTTCAAATACACTTTAATTGATTCGAGTAAATGTAAAAATTATTTTCGTTTAAATAGTAAGTTTATTTGATAATAGACAAATAATCGGTTATTTGAATGAAATTAATAATTTTACCTCCATTAAGTCGTTTCAATAAATTATTGTTATTAATAACTTTTAAAGTTGTTTCAACAACATTTAAGAGTGGTCCAGTTGGAAAATAGTAATCAACCCAATTCGGAAAATGAAATCCAATTGTTTCCAAGCTGTCAAGATCGGCATAAAGACCCGAAAGTTTATCAGGATGATCTAGAGGGTATCCGGTCAGATAACTTAAATTTTGTCCCAATTCATGAAAATCTAATTTTGTTTCTCTTAATTCGGTGCTATTCCATTCCTTATAATATTCGTCTCTAAGTCTAAAAATATATTCCAAAAAAATTTAATATAAATATCAGTGAAGAAAGATAAATATTTTTCTGCAATTTCGTTTTTTGTTACAATTTACAGTGAAGCGTTGGTTGAAATAAATAGTCATCCTCAATAGTTTTGTAGTTTATAGGAATTGGTTGCCAATTTAATTTTTCATTCCAATTTTGATATGAATCGGGAGGATAGAGACTCGTTAAAACAAGCTGCAAACTCATTTTTGTTCGATCTAGATTCGAGCTTAATTCAACATCTTTTGGTAAATAATTACTGCCCAGGAAATCGTCATATAAATTTCGTTGGAAATTTCTTTTTATAACAATTTTTTACTAAAATTTGTAATAGATTACGCAATTAGTTTGTTATAAACAATTATATTGTTGATTGAATTAATACAAAAACGTCAAATTATTAACGCAATGTTAGGGTATTGTTAGGAACAATTTAATTAATTAAAAGAAAAGATACCTATACAATTTTGTGTTAACAGATTCAGATTATTTATTTTTTAAGTGACAGTTGCAAAAAGAGATAAAAAAAGGAACGAGAATTAATTTACGTCACCCCTACTATGGCGACAAATACAAAAACATTATCGAAGGTCGGGAGAATATGATAAACCATATATTTATATTTGCTGATGTCGCTGAAAACTAACTTTTAGATAACTATTTAACCTTTCATCTATGACTTGTGGCTTTTTCATTTTTACCAAAAATTCGTTACGAGTTCTTAGGTCAAACAACAAAATAATTTTTCGTAAAGAGAATTTTTTTTCTTTCTTTGTAAAATCAACAATTTCCGTTATATAAATTGCAGTCTATTTGAATTCGATCGCAGTTAGTTGATACGTTTTTGGTAAAGATGCTGATGAGACTATTCATTTTATTGGGCCTTGTTGCCCTGATTAGAGCCTCTTGCATAATGCGGAGGACGGCCGATATGGGTGAGAAGGACGTTGTGGTAGTCTGCTTTTTTGTTAAGGACCTGAAAGTTGAAATGGCCAAAGTTCCCGACGACGTGAACGTTGTGGCAATGATTATTGTAGAGAGTCAAATACCCAAAGTTGAAGTCGGTGTTTTTGAGAGATTTGGACCGACAATGGAACGATTGGAAATTCAACATTCAGAAGTGGAGGACGTTGAAGATCACGCATTCAAAGGTCTTACTAAGCTTAAAGTTTTAAATATGAGATTAAATAAATTGAAGGAGGTTAGAGCCGGTTGGATGAACGATATGGTTGCATTGACTGATGTCAATATGAATTCAAATCAATTGTCTAAAGTTGATAAAGATGTAGACGTTTCGAAAGTGGTGAACGTTGATGTTGGAGATAATCAATTTAATTGTGTTGTCATGGATATGTTGAATACGATGAAAAATGTTAAAACGTTGAAGGTCGTTATGAATCCATTAAGTTGGAAATGTATGGTTGAATTGGACGATTGGATGAAGAGTCATCCAGATGTTGTTGGCGATTTTGTATCTAAAGATCTTAGTATTGAGCGTTTACTTGTTAATACAAGAGATTGTTTGAAAACTGTAACTGATGTTAATGATGAAGAGGCTGTTGGCGTTTGCGTAGATTCAAAAATGACTATGGTTAGATAATTATTTACGTTCATCTATTTTTTGCTGAAAATTTCTATTAGTGCAAATATTTGGCAGTAATATAAAAAAAAATTTTTTTCGATTCCCTTCCTAGAAATTAATTCAGTGACTGATTTGTTAAAAAAAACTTATGAAAATGTCATCCTTCTTAGAAATTCTTTGAAGTTTGTATAACAACAATTTTATCAGCTGTTAATAAAAACAACACTATTAGAAACATGCTTCAGTAATTTACTTCCTAATTATCATCCTAATCTTCCTGTTAAATGTCCATTTGAAAAATTTCGATTCAGAACTAAAATAGAATTAATCTCCAAAAATTTCGATTCAAAACTAAAATAGAATTAATCTCCAAAAATTTCGATTCAGAACTAAAATAGAATTAATCTCCAAAAATTTAAGGATTTAATTAAAGGGCTTTTTTTATATGATCCAGTCCAGAAATATTCTGCTCACCTCAAGATATGCCTCGCTTCGAAGGAGCTCCCACAAATTCTTTATAGAAGTTTTAAAAAAAATTATTTTCATAAATAAAATATGTCAAAATAAAAGTTCTATTATTGTTTCAGTAATATTCCATCGTTATTTTCCAATTCAACAAGTAGATAATCAAAAGTTTGTCATCATTAATTAATTACTGCAAACCAGCTGATAGAGTTTAAAGTATAGCAAATGTCAAGTGAGAATTTAAATTTACATAACAAAAAGAAAAATTTATCGAGAGTTAAAGATCAAATTATTGCAGTAAATAATCATTCTAATTAAGGTCAATTGTTTTAGAGTGTTTTATCTTTATTGTTATTGTATACATAACATTTGACATTAAAAACATATCTTTGTATAAGTTAACCGTAATCAACATGTTCTATTTACATTGTAATGCAGTTTGTTTTCTTTGCTGTGGAGATTTCTAAATATTTATAGTATTATCATTTGTCAATATGTAGAAAATTACTGTAATATTGTATTTTTTATAAAAATTTTTTTATCTTGTTCATTGTTTTGCAAAAGACATGCAGTGGTTGTTCCAAATATGCCGAAAACGTGGCCAAATAAGTCGTATAATTAAATTTTTATAATAATCATAACTTGGAAATTTTTAAAAAAGCTGATGTTAATTTTTCAAAAAACAAAATGGCGGATCCAATATGGCCGAAATAGATAGAAGAAATTTTCAAGTTTCAAAGAAGTTTGTTATTTAATAAAATTATTAAATTTTGAAAGTTTTTGACATAAAATTATTACTTATAAAATTTAAATGAATAATTTTACATGAATATTTCAAAATTAGTTGAATTTTAAGAAGGGTGCGTTTATAATTTTCATACATAGACGAACTTATCAAAAGGTTTTAATTTGAAATTTTATAAAATTTCAATTTTAAATGAACTTAATTAGAAATTTTAAAGAACATAGATTTTTGAAAACTTATAATAATTCAAATTCTTCTGAAATAAGTTAAGATTATTAATATACATATATATTATATATTTAATTAATTATTAAAATAATTAATTTATAGAAGAATTTTAGTTAAAAACACTTTAAAAAAATCGAATTTCGAAAAAGTTACAAATAATTGCAGACATTCAGTGATTTTCAAAATTAATAAAATTTTTCAAAAAAATTCAATTATATATTCAAAAGTTTTTAAAAATTCTTGTCAAAATTTAAATTATCTTTGTGAATAATAAAATTCTTCTTTGAAACTCAATTATTTTCAGAAAATTTAATAAAGTTCTTGACAAAATTTCAATTATTTTCAAAAATTTTAATAAAATTAAATATTATTAAATAAACTATTTATTATTTTTATTTAAATAATTTAATTCTCGTTGAATTTTTTAATAGATATTTATTTGAAAATAAATTTTCGTAAAATTGAATTGTAAACAAATGAATTTGAAAATTTTCAAAGGCACATTTTTTAAAAAATTATAAAAAAAATAGTTGTTTTAGAAAAGAATTTTAGTTAAAAATTCTTGAAAATAATAATTGAATTGAAATGATGAAAACAATAAAATTTTTGTGGCAATCCTGTAAACATTTTGCATAAAAATTTCTTAACATTAAAAATTTTTTAAATTTTTGAAATCTTTGGGTCTTTAATTCAAGGTGTCTATTATTTTCGTTCAACAAAATTCCTGGTTATTTCTTTTCTCATCAAATTTGTTTAATTTCGAACATAAATAAATGTACAAATGGATTCAAAAAATTTTTATTAGAGTTTTTATGAATAATTAAATTCTTTTGACGAGTTTCTTTAAATATTTTGAAAATAATTTTTTTTTAAATAATTTTAATTAAAAATTTGGAAAATAATTGAATTAAACAAACAATTTTTTCAATTCTTTAAAATAATCTTGTCCGTTCATAATTATATTTGAAAATTTGATTAATTCAATTTTATTAAAAATGTATTGATATATAGGTACTAATTTAATTTCTGCAAAGAAATTTACTATTTTTTTTAAGTAATTGAATCCTTTCAAAGAATGTTATTATTTATGAAAATAATTAAATGTTTGCGTAGAATTTAAAAAAATTTTTTGAAAATAATTGAATTGTGGAGAACAATTTTTAATTATTTATAAAGATAATTTTAACTTTGAGAAGAATTTAAAAAAAAATTTTAATAATTGAATTTTTGCGAAGAATTTTATTACTTTTGAAAATAATTATTGAATTCCATTGTAGAATTTTATTATTTATGAAAATAATTGAATTTTTTGAATTTAGTAAATCTGCATAATTTTGCTATATTTATGGAAATAATTGAATTATTGAGAAGAATTTTTTTTTTACAGTTTCTAGAAATAATTGAATTCTTTCGATGAATTTTAATAAAATTTTTTAAAAACTTTGTGAAAATTTAATTTTTATTAAAAAATTTTAAAGTGTATATCTTTTTTTTAAATTAACTAATAAAAATTTTAATTATTAATCTTCGTACTAAGAAATATGAATACATTAGAATGTGACTCTTTATAAAATTCAATTTTTTTTATCAATTATTAAATTTAAAATCTTTTGAAAATTCGATTTGTTAAAAAGTTTTTAATAAAATTCTTTAACAAATTTAATTATTTCATTTATTTTCAGTTGAAATTCACAAAATTTCTATTAATTGGATAATTGTTTTTAAATTTATTTACATATGTATATACTATAATTATTTGAATCAGTGACTGACTTTTTACTATCAAATTAATTATTTTTAACTAATATTCAAATTTAGAGAACATTGTAAATATCTATAAAAATTGAAATAAAAAGCGATTTTTTAAACACAAATTAAAATAATAAATTTTTTTTTAATTTGATTAAAAAAATTCCCGGTTTGGCATAATAAAATTCCTGGCTTATTCCCGGTTAGTAGACACCCTGTAATTGCAAGTCCAGCCATAGATATTCAAAGAATAAAATAATTATATTGGATCATATCTGTGTTTTCAATATCTTGTGCATTAGGAATATTAAATATATTTTCCTAATCATCAAAGTATAATTATAATAATTAAAAATATCATAAAAGCTGACGTTTCTATTTTTTTAAATGATAAACGATCAATTGTTATTAACCTTAAGATAGTATATAATAATATTTTCATCAAACAGTTTTTCTTTCATTTTTCCATATGTAATTATTCTTTTGGGGTCAATTCAAAAACATAATAACCTAAAGGATCATCTAATGTCAAATCTTCCAACTGATACCAGATGTCTATAAATTAATTTCCATTCACACATATAAAATCAGTCGAATTATTTCACTATATCAAAATGAAGCTACTCATTATTTGCTCCCTCTTATTATCAGCAATTGTGCTTTCAAACGCCGTTTGCAATAGAAACGTAATAAAGTATCATGGTGAAGATGTTGTTGTTTGGTTTTGCATTAGATCAAAGGATGTTGCTGCCGATATGGCAAGAGCGCCAAAGGACGTTAAGGTAGTTGTTGTTGCATATTCAGATGTTGGAGTTTTAAAGAATGACGTTATGACACCAGTGGCGGACAATGTTCGTGTTTTGTCAATTGTTCATTCAAATATGATGGACATGGAGGACGACGCATTGAAGGGTATGGTTAATTTAAAGAGACTCGTTGTTTCACATAATAAATTGAAGAAAGTGAAAGCAGCATGGTTTAAGGATGCGGTTAATGTTCGAATGGTCGACTTCTCCGATAATGAAGTTGAAGTTGTTGAAGACGACGTTGCCGAGCTTTGGAAGAATGTTGAAATGATGCATATGTCTGGTAATGATGTTAAATGTGTTTCCGTCGATTTTATGAATCATATGACGAAATTGAAACACGTTGATATGGAAATGAATCCTTGGCATATGAGATGCTTTAAGGATTTAATGGTTTGGATGAAGGAGAAGGAACTTATTAGTGAGAAATTTGGAAAATTAGTCAATAGCAAAATGATGGTACAAGTTGATGTTTGTGTTAAGGAAATGAAAAAGGACGATAAAGTTGATGATGTTGTGGTAGACAAATGTGTTATGGATTTTCTCGATAAAATGATGGTCGACAAGGAAGTAGACGTAGTTGTTTAAATTTTTTTTACTTTACTTGTTACCTATCATCTTCAAAATGTTCCAAAATTTCTGTATATTCTGTAACAAATTATTTATACCAGCAAATACATATTTTTTTAAACATACAACATTTCTTCGGAAAATTATTTTTATTTCCCTTTTAGGTCATCATCCTCTGAATTTTCAATCAAATAGAAGTGACATAAAGTTATAATAATATAATCAAGTAGATAAATAGTCTCCTGCTATCTTTATACATAACAAATGGGCGTATATGTCTGTTAAAGTATTTTGACTCTGCAATGCTTTAATAAATGTCCAGCTCTTATTGAAATCTGTTTTCTAAAATTGAAATCAAATGAAATTTGTATTGAAAACAAATTAAAAATCATCAACAATGGCATATCGTAATTATTACGCTCTTACGCTTTTAATCTTAATTCCCAATTGTCTCTGTATCATGAACACAAGTAGTGCGCTTCTCAAACAAGTGAACGTGGTAAATAAAATTTAATAATTCTCCATTCTATATTTTTCTGTAAAAAAAAAAAATTTCTTTGAAAAGAGAACAAAAATATTAAGTCTGTTATAATATGTCAAGCTATTTCGTCACGGCGATCGAACACCACTGAAAATATACCCGACGATTCCATTCACACCTGATCATTATTTTCCCGCTGGTCCTGGACAATTAACCATTGTAAGTATCAAAGCTTTATTATGAAAAATTTTAAAGAACTTAAATTTTTAAAAAAACTTTAATAATTCAAATTCTTTAGAAAAAAATTCAATTATTTAAAAATTTGTCAATAAAATTCTTTATGAGAATTCAATTTTAAGAAAAGTTCAATTATTCAATAAACTCTTGTATTTAAATAATTTAATTTTCGTAGAATTTTCTAATATACATATTTAATTGAAAAATTTTCGAATAATGGAAATTTCATGTAAAATTGAATTGTAAACAAATGGATTTAAAAAATCGCAAAGAATTTAATTTTTTAGAATTCAAATTTTGTTATTTCTAACAGAGAGGAAAACAGAGAGCCTACGAATTAGGAAAAATCCTACGAAATTTATATGACGATTTCCTGGGCAGTACTTATTTACCAAAAGATGTTGAATCTTTAAGCTCGAATCTAGATCGAACAAAAATGACTTTACAACTTGTTTTAGCGAGTCTCTATCCTCCCGATTCATATCAAAATTGGAATGAAAAATTAAATTGGCAACCAATTCCTATAAACTACAAAACTATTGAGGATGACTATTTATTTCAACCAACGCTTCACTGTAAATTGTAACAGAAAACGAAATTTGCAGAAAAATATTTATTTTTCTTCACTGATATTTTTATATTAAATTTTTTTGGAATATATTTTTAGACTTAGAGACGAATATTATAAGGAATGGAATAGCACCGAATTAAGAAAAACAAAATTAGATTTTCATGAATTGGGACAAAATTTAAGTTATCTGACCGGATACCCTCTAGATCATCCTGATAAACTTTCGGGTCTTTATGCCGATCTTGACAGCTTGGAAACAATTGGATTTCATTTTCCGAATTGGGTTAATTACTATTTTCCAACTGGACCACTCTTCAATGTTGTTGAAACAACTTTAAAAGTTATTAATAACAATAATTTATTGAAACGACTTAATGGAGGTAAAATTATTAATTTCATTCAAATAACCGATTATTTGTCTATTATCAAATAAACACTTACTTTAATCGAAAATAATTTTTACATTTTACTTGAATCAATTAAAGTGTTTTTGAACCAATAAATTCATTATTGGAAGCAAATACCATTTAATTGATTGAAATAAAAATTTTTTAATTCAAGTAAATATGTGACGGGCCGCAAAGAAACCTAAGAAGTTATAGATTATGTTTGCGTCCGATTTATCTTGATTAGAAGCTTCCGTTTGATTATATTCAAACTTGAAATTAGATTTTATTGAATATTTTGGATCTTACGAAGCAGAAGCTTTTAATTAAAATAGAAATAACAAAAACATAACTTCAAAATAATATTGAACCTTTCTTCGAAGCGCGTCTTTTATAATGAAAATGATACTTTTAGGAAAATTTTTACGACAATTTTTGGAAAATATTTCTGCTGTAACTAAAAGTTCTCCTAAAGTTGAGAGTAATCCAAAATTGTATTTATACAGTGGACACGATCTTAATGTTGTGGCTTTTCTCCTTGCTTTGAACAGTACTGAATCGCTTTTAACAAGATTTACAAGTACAATAATAATGGAATTATTATTGATTGACAATAACTATTACGTAAAGGTATTTACTGAAAAAAAATCTACTCTTTACTTGCAATAAGAGGAATATTTTTAATTTCCCATTTTTATTCATTTTACAACAATATGTGACAAATTTTTACAAATAAACAACATTTTGATATAAAATCCATTTCAGATAATATTTCATTAGACACAAAATTTATATATGTCGTAAATATTATTTGAAAGAAAAGTCACTTGACATTAAAATTTCATTTGACATAAAAATATAAATATTATATAAAAAATTATATATAAAATATTATATAAAATATTATATATTATTTTAATTATATTATATAAAATAAAAATATGAATATGAAAATATTGGCACAAATTTAAAAAATAACGAATTAGATATTATCAAGAAAATTGTGATTGGCCAATTTTAAAATTCGCTCCTCCATTTTTATGTCAAATGATCTAGATGTAAAAATAATAGTTGTCAAGTGAATTTTATTTCAAGTATAACAATTATGTCCAATTATTTTTATGTCAAGTGAGTCAAATTTATTATTTTGTGTCTATAATCAAACTTTTTTTTCAGTAAAAATAATCATTTTTCTAAATTTAATGAATTCTCACTTCTATATTTCTTTTTTTCTATCTAGATATTGTATTACTTGGGAATTCCACCAGTTACAAAAGAATTGAAGATTTTTAACTGTGAAAATCCTTGTCCATTGCAAGAATTTCAAAATCTTGTTAAGCATTTACTTCCATCAGATGAAGAGTTTTTTTGTTCTTAAAAATGTAATTAAAATTTTTTTTATTACGAATCTAAAATTTGTTGTCATTTGCGACTTTTGAAATTTGTCTTTATTGAAATAATGAATTAATTATTAATAACAATTAATATAGTAAATTATTAAAATACTAATTTGATTAATATAGTCATAATACTAATATTAATAATAATATCGAGAATTTCTGGTAAACAATTACTAGAATTTAAATTAGTTTTACAAATATTTCTCAATAAATGAATTTTAGTTTACTTGTTAATCAACCATTAAAATTATTAAAGATAATTGATAACATCTTTCTTCCAAATGTCTACAATTTCCCTGCTCTACTTTGGCGAGAATCTAAAATGAGAAAATAATATTAAATACTTTTTTCTTTAAATATTAATAAGAATATTAAAAATTCAAATTGTCTTACCTATTAGAAGATCTTTTCGCATCAGGAAAGTTCTGTTGTATCTTTTTAATTGACAAATCGATAAAGAGGCTTTTTCCTTGAATATCTGCTTTTAATTTTCGCTGTTATTACTTCAAGAAGAAAAACAATGATGGCAAGAGAGTATCCAATGACTAGTACAGAAAGCAGTATGGGTAACAGTTTATCCTTAGTAATTTCTTCTGGTTTTGGTATATCACTCAGTACATGTGGAATATTCTTATAGAAATCTTCAAGGAATCCAAATTCAGATGCTTTTAGAATTATTTCCCTAAATCGATTGACATATGGTGATAAATAATGTGCCGTGAATGTACTGTATCCACTTGCAACAGTCTCCTGCAATATTTTTCCATTTAGTTTTCCGTATTTAACTTCATATTCCGCAATATGATAAGCACCGTCTTTAAGAATACAGCAAATATTTTGAAAATTAGACAATTGCTTCAAACATGTTTCTTCGTCTCCAGATGGATAAACTATTTCTTTCAAAATCCACCTTTTAACATCAGATTGTGAAAATAAAGTATAATATAATAGTTCTGCTCCATTAAGTGTAGTAATTACAGATATATTCGTATTCATAAGTTCTGCAAGAGTTGAAATTTCGGGAGTTGATTTTAAGCTGACGTCCAAAATGACGGAGTAAAAATAACTTGTATAGACAATGCATGTAATTAACAGTGAGCCGAAAATTGTTCTTTCTGTTAAAGTAAGTGGTTCCTCGGATGTTCCCATTCCGATTACAATCTGAAAGATGCTTAACGTTTGCCAAGCTCTCTTCTTGAATTTTAATAAAAATACTGCGAGTCGCATTACGCTAATCATACAAATCGTTGCTAGGATCATATGCCAAATTTGTTCTGAAACTTCAATGCCTTCGTTACATTTTAATCCTTTTGGAATAACAACATTTATTCTAACAATATTAAGAACTACGATTTGCTGACAAAAACAATTAAGTTCATTATTCGATTGAAATAGTTCTTGCAAACTTATCGTCAAATCCGATAAGCTTAAAATATTTTTAAGTAATATATCTTTTTTTTTATCGTTGTCTGCTTCAAAATATGTCTTGCTTGCAATATCTATAAATTGTGTCACATTTGATTTAAAATTCATTGCCTTTTCAAGAATGTCTAGTAATTTCATGGAACTGTTGTATTCAACTTCAGATGAATCATAAACAGATTTACAGTCTACTTCTAATCTATATCCATTGAGATTCTGCAATTTATTTGGAAACCATTCACTTTTTGCTGACAGCAATTCGTGGGAATAATTTTGATTAAAAGGATTTAGGTGACTCAGAAATGATGACATTAAGGAACTTGATTTGATTATTTTATGCGGTTGTTCATTACTGTATGTCAGTAAGGTAAAGTCTAAATACTTTAATCTCCAGGCAGTAGATAAAATTCTTTCAATAATCGTATAATTTGAGGATGCGGAATTTAGAATTAATATTTTATGTTGAATTTCCCGTCGATAATAAAGTCCATTAAGTTGATAAATATCCGTAAAAAAAAGGAAATCAAAGTCCAGTTTTGACATTTCGTAAACCAGCAGTGAAGGACCAGCTTTTTTGTAAAGATTCTTTGGCATCTCTAACCTTGGATCTGTGAGTAAAATTGTTTCCAAATCGTTATAACTAAAGATTACAGATGGAAAGTGGGAATTGACACTCGTTATGGTTGATTGTAGTATTGGGTCCGTAATATTTTGCACATCGTCAACAATGAATATAACTTGATGTAGTTTTGATTCTTCTTTTAAATGCTTTAGCAGTCCATCGATGTAACCATTTGTTGGTGAGGTATCTTGAATTCCTCTTAGAAAAATAAACGTAACCAAATATATGTTAATGACTTTCATCCTTAACAACCGATTTCTTCAAATGATAGAAATAGACTGCAATGAATTTGATGTCGTAACAAGAAATTCTAATTGAATCTTTTGTGTAATAAGATGTAAGGAAAAAAGACTTTTGAAATACATTGTTATCAATAAAAATTAATTAAATTGAATGAGATCGGAATTATTTAATTCTGATTCTTTTCTAAATCTAAATAATAACTGTCTTATTATATATAATAACAAAATAATAAAATATTACAATAAATAGGAAATTACTATCGATTTCTATTGTATTCATATAACAAATAAAAACCCTCTTTTTATTTTAGATGTGTCGACAGGACAATTTTCTGTTAAAGGGGGATTCAATAATTGTAAAGATAAATTCGGCGTAGAAATTCATTTCATAAATAATTATTGCCAAAAACGGCCTTGGCACTTCGAGAACTGCGCCTGTAAATCTTTAGGATTTACTATTAAAGAATTTTTTAACACAAAAAAATTTCGATTTTTTGAAGTTTCTACAGTGGTCAAACACCTTAAAAAAATACATATAATATTTTTAAAAAATATTAATTATAATTAATTATAATTAATTATAATTGTTGAAAATAATGGAATTTAATTAATATTTTAAATAAAATATTTTGTATTCTTTCGAGAAATTTTATTAAAATTCTATTGAAAATAATTGAATTGATCTCAAGAATTTTATTATTTATGAGAATAATGAAATTCTTGCTAAAAATATTATTAAAATTTTTGAAAAATAATAAACAGTAATATTTAATTATTAACTTTTGAGAAAAGGTCACAAATATATCTCTGTTCTTTTCTAACTCATGCTTTGCGTTCGCGAATAAAGTCCAACGCACAATAGGTTCGCGAAAGTCGTTCGCGAACGAGACGCATGAGATAGACAAGGACACAAATATATCTCTGTCCTTTTCTAACTCATGCTTTGTGTTCGCGAATAACGTTCGCCAGCAGTTGTGTTCAGACCTTTAATGTAAGTTGCAACTCTCGTCAATTGTGAATTCGACTTAATAGTTTTAATTTGGAAAGTGAGATACTATGAACGAGCTTAAATTTAAAGCCCGTTTCAGTGATTTCCTTCCTTTCCTATAAAATATTTGTTTATATTTCCTTTCAAAAGTGAGGTTAGAAATTTAATATAAAAAATGTCAAAAGTACAGTAAAATTTCATAAAATCTAAAAAATATTTAATTCGCAAAAACTCATTAAAAATAGTGTAAAAATCGGTTTTAAAAAGGAAGTGTAAAAGAATAAATGGAAGAATTCGAAGACGATTCTCGTGGTGGTTTTTCCAAATCAGAAATACCATCACCAAAATTAAAGAAAACATTAATTGCCGAATCGGATTTTTATGGTGAAACAAAAATCAAATCACTACGAACAACTTATACGTGGTCATTGAAAAATTTCGAATCTCTTGTTAAAATAAAAAATCACATTGACACCACATCATTTATATTAAATGACGATTCAAATGTCCAATGTTTTTTAAGTGCAAATTTCAATGAATGGATGTCAATTTATCTCACATTCAATACAAAAGTACCGCCGACTCACAATTATGAAATTACCATTCATACAATCAATGAAAATATGACGAGTTCATTTCACGAAGTTGCCTACGCGCGTAATATTATCAAAGGCGATAAGGTGTGTTTCAAAAAATTTCTCCTCGTCGACAAGGAGGAATCGAGTAATTTCCTCGTGAGTGGAAATTTATTTCTTTTGTGCGAAATCTCAAGAATGGATTCAACATTTATTTGTCGTAATAATGTTATTGAATGTCTGGAAAATGATATTGCCGACGATATGGCAATAATTCTTCGCAATAATCTTTTAACTGACGTTACACTCACAGTGATGGGTAAAGAATATCGAGCGCACAAATGTATTTTAGCGGCAAGATCGCCGGTATTTTTGGCAATGTTTCAAATTAATATGCTCGAAAATATGGAGAGTGAAATTATTATTGAGGACACTGATAATGAGTGCGTGGAGAAAATGTTGCAGTTCATTTATTCGGATAAAGTCGATAATATTGAGAAGGATACGGAGAAATTATTGGAACTCTCGGATAAATATGATATTAAGGGATTAAAATTATTGTGCGCACAGGAATTATGTAAAAATATTGATGTTGACACTGCCCTCGATGTTCTTGTTTGGTCGGATAAATGTAATTCACCCGAATTGAGAGAACGTGCTTTTAATTTTATTCGCAATCATATGAAAAGTATTCTCGAATCAGAGGCCTACAATAATTTTGTTCAGAATCATTCGAATTTACTCAAGGAACTATTCGCTCATATCTCGACGCCAAAAATGAAGAAAATAAAATTGGAAATTTAAGTTTTTTTTTTTGTTTTCGAGTAAATTCTTTGTATTTGTATTTTAATTTTTGCAATTTTCATTTTCAATTCGAATATTTGAAAAAAAGTCTCGTATTTTTTTTTTTTTAAATTTTGAGGTAAAAATTAAATACTTTTTTCTAAAAATATTTATACGTCGTCGTAAAAACTACAGAAAAAAAATTGTAAATTAAGATTTTTTTGTCTAAAAATTTTAAATAGAAGTAAAAAAAATTAGAATTTATAATTTTAACAGTTTATGTAAAAAAAATGTATTTTAGAATTTTAAGATAAAATTTCTATACGTTTTTTGTAAACTTTTATCGGCCTCACATGGAAAATACAGAAAAAAAAATTGTAAATTCAGGAACTTTTGTCTAAAAATTATAAAAAAAAGTAGAATTTATAATTTTAAGGTGTTAAAAAAATTCATTTTATATTTCAGAATTTTGAGGTAAAATTTTATTAAATAATTTTTTTCTAAACTTTCGTCTGAAAATTGTAAAAACGTAGAATTTATAATTTTAACGTGTAAAAAAATCCATGTTCCTGTAAATATATTTCAGAATTTTTAAGTAAAATTTTATAGCTTTTTTTTTGTAAACTTTTTGTAGTTTTACATGGAAAATACAGAAATAAATTGTAAATTTAGGTTTTTTCGTTTAAAAATTGCTTACAGAACTAGTAAAAGAATAAAAAAATATCATTTTAACGTTAAAAAAAATTCATTTTGTATTTTCAAGTAATGAAGGAAAATTTTATTAAATAATTTTTTGTACACGTTTTTTAGTCTCAATATGGAAAATTCCGAAAAAAATTGTAAATTCAGGTTTTTTTTCGTTTAATAATTGTTTACAGAACTATTAAAAAAAGTAGAATTTATAATTTTAAAGTGTAAAAAAATTCTTATTTTATTTTAGAATTTTGAAGATAAAATTTTATGAAATAATTCTTTTGTAAACTTTTTATAGTTTTACTAGGAAAATACAAAAAAATATTGTAGATTTAAGTTTTTTTTTTGTTTAAATATTGTTACAGGACTAGAAAAAATGTAGAATTTACAATTTTAACGTAAAAAAAAATTCATTTTGTATTTTAGAATTTTGAGGTAAAATTTTGTTTACCTAATAATTTTTTGTAAACTTTTTTTTAGTTTTACTTGTAAAATACAGAAATATTTGTAAATTCAGGTAGTTTCGTTTGAAAATTGTAAAAACGTAGAATTTATAAGTTCAACGGTTAAAAAAAATTCATTTTCTATTTGAGAATTTTGACGCAAAATTTTATTAAATAATTTTTGTTTTAACTTTTCTAGTCTCATATGGAAAATTCCGGAAGAAAAATTGTAAATTCAGGTACTATCGTCTAAAAATTGTTAAAAAAAAATTGTATTTAGAATTTTGAGGTGAAATTTTATACTTTTTTTGTAAACTTTTTGTAGTTTTACTTTGAAAATACAAAAATATATTGTAAATTTAGATATTTTTTAAAATTGTTTACAGAACTATTAAAAGAGTAGAATTTATAATTTTAAAATCAAAAAAAAAATTCATTTTTAGAATTTTGAGGTAAAATTTTATTAAATAATTTTTTTGGAAACTTTTTTTAGTCTTAATATAGAAAATTCAGAAAAATAATTGTAAATTCATGATTTTGCGTTTAAAAATTGTTTACAGAAATATTAAAAAAGTAAAATTTACAATTTTAAAGTCCAAAAAAAGTTTTTATTGCGTATTTTAGAATTTTGAGGATAAAATTTTGTGAAATAATTCTTTTGTAAACTTTTTGTAGTTTTGCTTGGAAAATACAGAAAAATATTGTAAATTTAGGTTTTTTCGTTTAAAAATTGTTTTTATACCAAGTAAAAAAATAGAATTTATAATTAATAACATGTAAAAAAATTCATATTGAATTTTAGAATTTTGAGGTAAAATTTTATACTTTTTTTTGTAAACTTTTTTGTAGTTTTACTTGGAAAATATACAGAAAATAATTGTAATCTTAAGTTATTTCGTCTAAAAATTGTTTTGCAGAACTAGTAAAAAAGTAAAATTAATAATTTTAACGTACAAAAAAAATTTTATTCTATATTTTAGAATTTTGAGGTAAAATTTTACTAAATAATTCTTTTTTAAACTTTTTTTAAGCTTTACTTTTAAAAAACAGAGAAAAAAATTGTAAATTCAAGTATTTTCGTCTAAAAATTGTTCATTTTGTATTTTACAAGTTTTAGGTAAAATTTTATACAGTTTTTGTAAACTTTTTGTAATCTCACATGAAAAAAATGAAAAAAATTGTAAACTCAGGTATTTTCCTCTAAAAAATGTTAAAAAATTGTAAGAACGAAGAATTTATAATTTTTAGAGTGTAAAAAAATTCATATTTTAGAATTTTGAGGTTTGTAAAAAAAAGGTTATCTCTACAATCATAAATAGTATTTTTAAAATTAAATAATGTTTTTTATTTATTAACCAGATTCCAAAATATAGAAATAAAAGTATATCAGAAATTTAAAAATTAAATTTGTTTCATTTGCAAAAAAAAAATTTCTCCGTTATATTACAATTTTTCATTAAGTTTTTCATTTCTTAAAAATAAAAATTCAATAAAAGACAATCATTTCGTATTTGAAAAATAAATTAAAATTTTTTTTATACCAAATTGTAATTAATTTTTTTTTCAGGATTTTTTTTTCGTATCTATAGAAACAAAAGTTTAAGAGACAATTTATCTCGATTCTGTTTTATTTTTTCACGTGAAGTCAAATAAAATAAAACTTATTTTTATATCTTTTTTTTTTTAATTTTGAGAAAAACAACATTTTCGATGCCCTTGAAAATAAAGTAAGCATTCAAAATTTTACAAAATATGCTAAATGAGAAAAATTCATTTCAACAATGTCAACGTCGAATTTAGAAAATTCGAACTCCATTTCCTGTAAGTATTTTCGCACAATTATTTAACTATAACCAAACTTTTTTTTAGTAATTTTGAATGAAAAATTATTGTAATATTATAAAACTGTATATTAATTATAATCATTAGTGTAATAATTATAATATAAGTTTATCAATTTTAATGTAATGTAAATATATTCGAGGTTAAAATTATTAATACGGAATTACGGATTTTAAGAAAATTAAAGAATTAATATAAAGTAAAAGTTAACGAATATTTTTATAGCAAGAAGAAATTAATTTATAAACTATTAAATTTTTTTTTTTTTTTTTTTTTTTATTTTTAAATTACAGGTAGAGGTGACAATCAATCTTCAAATATCGACACTGCAATAAATAAAAGATGTTTAAAAAGGCCAATTCCAATTTCCGCACGACAGAAGACCAACACAAAAGCAAATATCGGAACAACTTCACATTCCAAAGTAAAAAAATTATAAAAAAATTATTTAAAAAAAATTATTTTAACTGCTTTTTTTTCTTTATTTTTTTTTTAAATTCAACTTAATAACAAATTTTTCTAGTTTCTTCGATTTTTATTTGGTAATTTTAAAAAGAATCTTTTTTTTCCTTCTTAGGCAGATTTACCAGAAAATGGAAATTTAACTCAAAGATCGAATTCAAAAACACGTGCAAGATCGTCTTCAGTTGCTAGAATTTCAAAAAATTCAAATAATTCACAGAAACGAATAATCGAAAATCAATATTTAACGAAGAAAAATCGTTACAATGTGGTGCGAAAAGAAATGGAAAATAAGCACGTAAGTCTATTTTTTTTTTTTTTTTTTTGCTTTTATTGCTTATTTTTTTATTTTTTTTATTTTATAATTACAAGGCCGAATAATTTTAATAAACAAATAAAAATTTCTTTAAAATACGTACAATTTAGAATTCGGAATAATAACTACAAAAATATTTTTCAAATTAATCTTTTGAGATTTCTACTTAAAAATAAAAAAATAATTGAATTCTTGTGATAATTATTGTTATTTATGAAAATATTGAATTTTGCAATGAATTTTTTATAAAAATGCCTCAAAATAATTGGATTTTCGGGAATGATTTTGTTATTATAGACATTATTGAATTCTATCGAAAAATTATTTATATGTTAATAATTTAATTCTTGGGGAGAATTTTATTAAAATCTAAAAGAATAATTGAATTATTTCAAAGAAATTTAATTAAAATTGTATTTAAAATAATTAATTTCATTCGAACAATTTTATTAAAATATTTGAAAATAATTGAATTCCTTTGAAAAATTCTAATATTTTTGTAAATGATTGAATTCTTCAAAAAGAATTTCAAAAATCCTTTTTTTAAATAATTGATTTTTCCGAGGAATTGAAATTAAATTTTTAGGAACAATTACATTTTTTGAGCAATTCTTGTAAAATAGTATTAAAAATAATTGAAATCCTCCAAAGAATTTTATTATATTTATAAAAATAATTGAAATCCTGCGATGAATTTTATTATTTATGAAAATAATTGAATTATTGCATAATTGTGATGAATATTGTTATTTATGAAAATAATGGAATTTTACAATGAATTTTATAAAAAATTTCAAAAATAATTAAATTTCTAATAAGAATTTTATTATTTATAAAAATAATTGAATTCTTTTAATGAAATGAAACTTTATTTATGAAAATAATTGAATTTTTCAATTAATTAATTTAAAAAAGTATTAAAGATAATTGAAATTCTTTGATGAGTTTTATTAATTTTGAAAATAATTAAGTTCTTGTGATGAATATTATTATTTATAATTGAATTTAGAAAAATTTTTGAAAATAATTGAAATTTTGGCATGAATTTGATTAAAAATTTTGAAAATAATTGAATTTTATTAACATTTTGGAAAATAATTGAATTTTCTTAAAATTTTTGAAAATAATTGAATTTTATTACTTTTGAAAATAATTGAATTCTTGTGATGAATATTATTATTTATCATTGAATTGAGAAATTTTTTTGGAAATAATTGAAATTTTGCCATGAATTTTATTAAAGATTTTGAAAATAACTGAATTTTATTACTTTTCAAAATAATTGAATTCCTGTGATAAATATATTATTATTTACGAAATTAATTGAATTTTGCAATGAATTTTATTAAAGTTTATGAAAATAATTAAATTTTGTCGAAGAATTTTGCTATTCATTTATAAAGCAATAATTGAAATGTTGACAATTTTTTTTTTATATTTTTTGAAAATAATTGAATTTTTGCAGAGAATTTGATTAATTTTGAAAATAATTAAATTCTGGTGATGAATATTCTTATTTATGAAAATAATTCAATTTTACAATGAATTTTATTAAAAAAAAAAAAAAAAAGAATTGAATTTCTGTGAAAAATTTTGTTATTTTTGAAAATAATTGAATTCTTCATAAGAATTTTATAAACCTTTTTTTAATACCTAATTAGTTTTTTCGAAAAATAATAAATATTATGAAAATTTTGTTTTAAATAATTGAATTATTGTGGAAAACTTTATTTATGAAAATAATTGAATTTTTCAATTAATTAATTTAAAGTAGTTATTAAAAATAATTGAAATTCTTCGATGAGTTTTATTATTTATGAAAATAATTTAATTCTTGCTTAGAATTTTATTAAAAATCTTTTTAAAAAATTGAATTTTCATGAAAAATGTTGTTATTAGTGAAAGTAATTGAATTATTGTCAAAAATTGTAATGTATAAAAATTTTGCCAAATAATTGATTTTTTCGAAATTATTTTAAAAATTCTGTTCTAAATGAATTGAATTTCTGTGGAAATTTTATTATTTATGAAAATAATTGAATTTTGGATAAAGTTTATCAATTTTTTTTTTAAATAATTGAATTCTTTTGCGAAATTTTATGAAAATAATTGAATTTCGAATATTTTCTTGAAAATAATAGAATCGTTTTAAAGAATTTGATTATAATTTTTGAGAATAATTTTTCGATTTCTAGTATTAGCGAATTTAAAGTAGTTGAATAAAATATAAAATTTCCAATATAATTTACAGAAAGTTGCTGTTGAAATGTACGATGAAGTATTACAATTACGAGACAAGGTAATTTCAATGGGAGCAAAAGATCCAGGAAAACCAGAGGAAATCGGTTTGATTTCGTGCTCCGATAAAGAAAAACGCCTCGATTCACAAATAATCGCCGAAATTGAAACACCAATTCAAATTCCCGAATCAGATATTGATAATGAATTCATGGAAAATATTGAATCAAATTTACACTCAATACCAGAGAGTTTAATTGATTTTTGTAAAAAAGTTCTCAGCGATCGAATGGAAATTGTCTCATGGGTCATGGAATATGATCATCAAGATTGTGAAAATGATTTTGCATTAAATGAAAAAATTGAAATCTTCCGCAACGAGGACAATGAATTAATTGAAAAACTTGAATTCACCAGAAAACAACAAACGGAATTAATAGAAAATCTAACGAAAAAATTACAATCACTTTGGACTGAATGTCAGAGTTATCGTTCGAATTTCAAGAATTCTGAACAAAATATTTTGGGTGTTGAGAAATTTAAAAATCTTTTGGAAATTGAAATGGAAAAGAGTCAAAAATTAAAGGAAGGAAAGAGTTTGGTTGAAAATCAATTGGCAAAAGTTAGAAGTAAATTGAAGGATTTTGAAAATCAGATGAGCAATAGTGAGGGGAAAGTGAGTCAATTGCAAAATTCTTTGGAGCATTTGAAGACGCAATTGAAGCAAAAGGAGGCACTTTTAGAACAGCAGAATAAGGATTTGCAGAAGGCTTCAAGAAGTAATAAGAGCACTGTCAGTAAATTGGAGGCGCAAAGGGAAACTCTCGAATCGCGGTAATTTTCATTTTTCATGATAAAATCAAAATTCTTGTTAATTTCAATATAATAATAGTTTTGAATAGTAAAAATATTGTCGCGCATTCATTAAATCGTCACTATTAACAAAATAATTCCAAAATCAATTTCAAATATCTTATAAAATTCTAAACGGACTCGCAGGCTTCGCACTCCATTATGAGTTTAAAAAAGTAGGAAAAAGTAGCTTCGATGACAAAAAAAAATAGGAAATAGTAGCCTCGATGACAGAAAAAAGGAGTATACATATATTCCAGGGTGTCTACTAACCGGAAAATCCGGGAATTTAATTCGACCGGGAAAAACCGGGAATAAGTCAGAAATTATATTCCAACCCGGGAATTTTCTCACCAAATTAGAAAGAACTTTATCATTTTAATTTGTGTTTAAAAAATCGCTTTTTATTTTAATTTTTATAGATATTTATACTGTTCTCTAAATTTAAATCAGTTAAAAATAATTAATTTTATAGTTAAAAATCAGTCACTGATTTAAATATAGTGTGTAAATAAATAAATTACAAAAAAATTATCGAATTAATAAAAATTTCGTGAAATTCAACTGAAAATAATAAATTTTATTAAAGAATTTCATTAAAAACTTTTTAACAAATCGAATTTTCAAAATATTTTAACTTAATAATTGATAAATAATTAAATTTTATAAGGAGTCACATTCTAATGTATTCATGTTTTCTAGTGCGAAGATTAATAATTAAAATTTTTATTTGTTAATTTAAAAAATATATACACTTCAAATTTTTTCAATAAAATTGAATTTTCGCAAAGTTTTTTTGAAAATTTTGAAAAATAAGATTTTTAAATTTTTTTAATTCTCTTGTTTCAAGATAATTGAATTTTTATAGACAAATAATTGAAAATTTTTGATATAATTGAAATTTCTTTACATTCTATTAAAAATAATTTACTTCTTTTAAAGAATTTTATTTCAATTCTTTGAAAATAATCAAGGGAAGTTAATCATCGTAATTATAATTTTATTTTTAAAAATTTCTTCGCAATACATTCAATTATTTTCATAAATAGTAAAACTTGAAAAATGAGCATTCTTGAGAATTTTATTAAAATTCGTCGAAAGAATTCAATTATTTCTAGAAACTGTAAACAAATTCTTCTCAAGAATTCAATTATTTCCATAAATAACAAGAATTCAATTATTTTCAAAAATTTTTCTTAATTTAATAATTTGTATGTCTACTATTTTAATAAAATTTCCAAAAAGAATTCAATTATTTAAAAACAATTTTGACAAAATTCTACACGAATATTCAATTATTTTCTAAAAAAACGGAAATTTAATAGGAATTGAATTATTAAAGATAGAGTTTCTAAATTTTTTTTTAAAATCAATTATTTGAAACTTTTTTATAAAATCCTCACAATAATTTAATTATTTCCATAAATAACAAAACTCATTGCAGAAATTAAATTATTTTTTATACAATTCTAATCAAATTCCTTGAAAAATGTAATTATTCTTAAAAATTTGATTAAAATTCGTCGAAAGAATTCAATTATTTCTATTATTTCCATAAATATCAAAATTCTTCAGATTTACTAAATTCTTTTGAATATTATTTTTGAAAAATATTCTTCACAAGAATTCAATTATTTATTTATTTATTTATTTAAGTAGTAAACGGAACTATGCCCGTTTATTTATTTATTTTCATAAATTTTCATAAAATTATAAAAAAACAATTCAATTATTTTCAAAAGTAATAAAATTCTTCGCAGAAATTCAATTATGTTTAAAATTTTTTTTTGAAATTCTCTTCGCATTTCAATTATATTTATAAATAATTAAATTGTTCTCCACAATTCAATTATTTTCAAAAATTTTAATAAAATTCTACGCAAACATTTAATTATTTTCATAAATATTTGATAACATTCTTTGGATGGATTCAATTACTTTTATAAATAGTAAAATTCTTTGCAGAAATTCAATTAGTATCAATAAATTTTAATGAAATTGAATTAATCAAATTTTCACTTATAATTATGAACAAACACGATTTTTTTTTAAATTGAAAAAATTCTTTGTTTAATTCAATTACTTTCCAAATTTTTAATTAAAATTCTTAAAAAAAACATTATTTTCAAAAAATTTAAAGAAACTCCTCAAAACAATTTAATTATTCATAGAAAATCTAATAAAAATTTTTGAAACCATTTGTAGATTTATTTATGTTCGAAATCAAATAAATTTAAATTTGATGGGAAAATAAAACCGGGAAAAATTAGGACAAAGTCGGGAAAAATCGGGAATTTAAAGGTTATCATTTGCAAGAAAATCTAAACACAATTTATAATCAGTCACTATTGATAGAGTAAATGTCGGTAAAATTATTCTCTAATATCTTATTGACGGTCGTTTTTCATTAACGATTTTAGTTTTTAACATTGTTTTTAAATGGAAATTTGAAAACTAAAAATCTAAATGTGACTATTTGTTGAGAAAAGTAGCTTTTAGTAGCATTAGGCTCAAAAAAGTAGCCAAAAAAGTAGCCTCGTATCAAAAAAGTAGCAAATAGTAGCTTTTAGTAGAAGAGTGCGAAGCCTGGGACTGGAAAAGCCATTACAGGAATCGTTTATCGACAATTACCGACATTTACATAATTACAGAAATCATTTACCGACAATTACCAACATTCGTATAGTGAACATTACAAAATCGATTTTAATTTTCTCTATACGCAAACTGGGACTTAATTTTCGAAAGTAATTTAGAAAAAACATCTTCCAGTGACTAAAAACTATTGAAAATCAAAATTTTTTTCTTGTTTTGACTTTTACAGACTCGCCAGTTTAACAACAGAGCTGTCTAATAAGACCAATGATTACGAATTGATTCAAAAGAGAGTAAATCTGTTGGAGGATAGAGTTAAAGAACTGGATCAAGAAAAGCAACTAAGGTTCTTAAAAACAATTTAACTTTCAGTTCCAGCAATTATTTAAAACATTTTAAAAAAAATAATTTAATTCACTCTTCTAATTAATGATTCAATTTCAAGTCACCGGAAATAAAAGTGTTTTTGCAATACTGTAATTTTAGATTGCAGGTAGAAGCCAAATTGGCAGAATTAATGGAATACAGTGGAAAATTGGAGAAGGAAAACAAAGAATTATCGAAAAAGGCAGAATCATTGGGTGATTATTTTATATCTAGTACATATTAACTATATGATTTTTTTTAAATTTAAAAAAAAAAAAATTTTTTATTTAAAAAAATTTTTTTTTTTATTTTTTTTATAATTTGAAAAAGAAGCCTACAAAATTAATTTAATATCAAATAAAAATGTAATTTCCAGTCAATAAAGGATTGAACGAAACTAAATTGTGCACTGAACTAGAAGATGCAAAAACTACAATTTTAAAGCAAGAGGAAAGAATCGATCAGCTTCACAAGGAAAGGGAAGAATTAGTAGCCGCCATGAAACGGGTTTCTGTAGGTTGCTTTAATTAAATATTTGGACAGAACACCCAAAAATTGAAAATTGTATGAAATTACTGTCTCACATTGGCTTTTATATTCCATATTATCATTTACACAATTTTACAAAAAATAATTTAAATCTTCTTTTAAAAAATACTAGCAACAACACCTCCTACTGCCTTCTTTTAAAAATAAAATTAGCTATTTTAAAAATAATAGAATTTAAAAATTTTCTAATTTAAATTTTTATTGAAAACACTAAAAAAAATTCAATTTTGGAGAAAATACAAATATTTTCAGAAATTCAATATTTGAAAAAAAAATTCAACTATGTTCAAAATTTAAAAAAAAATCCCAATTATCTTTATAAATAATCAAATTCTTGTCCAAATTTCAATTATTTTTCATAAATTTAAAAAAAAATTCTTGTCCTAATTTCAATTATTTTCAAAAATAAAATGCATTTTTCTAATTTCAATGATTCTCAATATCTACTATTTTTATAAAATTGTCCAAAAAGATTTCAATTATTTAAAAAAAAAAAATTTTTGTAAAATTTAATTATTTTCATAAATAACAATATTTATCACAAGAATTCAGTTATTTTCAAAATTAATAAAATTCTCCGCTGAAATTCAAATATTTTCAAAAAATCTAAAAAAAAATTGTTCAACATTTCAATTATTGCTTTATAAATGAATAGTAAAATTCTTCGATAAAATTCAATTATTTTCGGAAATTTTAATAAAATTCATTGCAAAATTCAATTAATTTCGTATAAATAATAGTATATTCATCACAAGAATTCAATTATTTTGAAAAATAATAAAATTCAATTATTTTCAAAAATAATAAAATTCAATTATTTTCAAAAATTTTTAATAAAATTCATGGCAAAATTTCAATTATTTTAAAAAAAATTTCTTAATTCAATGATAAATAATAATATTCATCACAAGAATTCAATTATTTTCAAAAGTAATAAAATTCAATTATTTTCAAAATTTGTAATCAAATTCATGACAAGATTTCAATTATTTTCAAAAATTTTTCGTAATTCAATGATAAATAATAATATTCATCATAAGAACTCAATCATTTTCAAAAGTTTCTTTTTTTATTTATTTTTTTTTTTATTAAAAAAATTTTTAATCAAATTCATGACAAAAATTTTAATAAAATTCAATTATTTTCAAAAATTTGAATAAATTTCAATTATTATCAAAATTTTTAATAAAATTCATAACAAAATTTCAATTATATTTAAAATTTTTTGGAAAATTCATTGGAAAATTCAATTATTTTCAATTCAATTATGTTTCAAAAATTTTAATAAAATTCAATTATTTTCAAAAATTTTAATAAAATTCAATTATTTTCAAAAATTTTAAGTAAATTCAATTATTTTAAAAATTTTTATTAAAATCAATTATTTTCCAAATTTTTAATCAAATTCATGGCAAAATTTCAATTATTTTCAAAAATTTTAATAAAATTCATGGCAAAATTTCAAAAATTTTCAAAAATTTTTCTTAATGCAATAATTTGTGTATTTTTATTTTAATAGAATTTCTAAAAAGAATTCAATTATTTAAAAAACAATTTTGACAAAATTCGACACGAATATTCAATTATTTTCTAAAATAATGAAAATTTCACTGGAATTCAATTATTTTTATAAATAATTAAATTTTTTTTAAAGAATTAAATTATTTTCATTAAAAATAATAATTTAAAATTCCAGAAAATAATAATTGAATTAAAATTATGAAAATAATTTTTGAATTATTTTTTTTGAATTAATTATAAAATAATTAAATATAAACTTTTTTATAATTTTTCTTTTAAAATATTTTCAATTTTAAAATTAATGTATTGAAAAAATCATCGAATTGTTGCAAAGAATTTTATCAAAAAATTTGATAATAATAGAATTTTTTCAAATAATTTTATTATTTAGAAAAATAACTGAATTTTGGCGAAGAATTTTATTAAAATTTTTAAAAATCCTAATTAAATTCTTTTGAAGAATTTCTTTGAATTTTTTTTAAACTAATGGAGTTTTTTTTTAATAATTTTAATTGAAAATTTTGAAAGCAATTGAATTTTATGAAGGATTTAATTTAAAATTGTATTTGAAAATAATTAAATTCTTGCGAAAAATTTTACTATATTTATAAAAATAATTGAATTGTTCCAAAGAATTTATTAAAATTTTAGGAAATAATTGAAATTTATGGAAATATTTGAAAATATTTGAATTCATCCGAGGAATTAAATTAAAATTGCTTTAAAAAGTAATTGATTTCTTGCAAAGAATGTTACTTTTTATAAAATTAATTGAATTCTTACGAAAAATTTTACTATTTATAAAAATAATGGAATTCTTACGAAGGATTTATTAAAATTTTAGAAAAAAAAATTGAATTATTATTATAGTTAATTAATTAATTATAGTTAATAATTAATAATTTATATTCCTCTTTCTGAATCAAGAACTTTATTTAATTTCAAAATTTTAGGGACAAGAACTATCTGAAGAGAAGCAAAATAAATTAATATCGGACCTCACGAGAACGACGAATGAGTTGAAAAATTTTAAAGACGAAAATCTTCAGTTAAAAAAAAATCTCAAATCTGCGTAAGAAATAATTTTAAAATATTTCTTTTTTAATTTTTAAAACAAAATAATGATAAAATTTAAAAATTAACGAAGTGTAATTTTTAACAGAGTAAATAAGGGAGAAAATGTTCAGAAGCAACTAACGGAATTGCATGCTCGTTTACAAAATCAATGCAAAGAAAATGGAAAAGCCGATTGGAGTGTTCTGATAATAGATTTGCAACAGCAAAATTCTGATCTTAAGTGTACGATAACCGACGTTGCGAGGCAAAATAAAAAACTCGAAGCTGAACTTTCACAAAAGCAAGTTGAGCTTGAGTGTCTTCAGCATTTTCAGGATAGAATATTGAAAGCAAAGGAGGAGATGAAAAATAAGCATCTGAATAAAACTGCTCAGAAGAAAGTGGGTCCGGTAAGTGAAAACTACAGGGTTGCCACAGGTCAGGAAAAAGTCAGGGATTTTTATCAAAAATTACTGCAAAAAAATTAAATTTAATGAATTTTTGTTTAATAACTTTTTCTTTGCCTCATAAACTAAGAAATTACTACAAATTCAGAAAAAACCTTCAATTATTTCTATTTCTGACAATAACTTCATTTTAAATAACTTAATTCTATTGAAGAACTACCATAAAATACTTACTTTATAAAACATTTAATAAAGTATTTTTTTGTAAAATTTTATTTCAATTCTGTTCAAATTGATTTCAATTTTAAAAATTTTAACGCAATTCTTTGAAAGAATTCAACTATCATAATAAATATTCTTAGTGTTTTTTTTATAGTACTTTTGTACGAATGGGCATTGCCCGTATATTTCTGAATAAATAAATAAATATTAAAATTCTTTCCAAAAATTCAATTATTTTCAAAAAATTAAAAAAAAAATTTCTCGTCAACATTTTAATTATCTTTATAAATAACAAAATTCTTCGCTAAAATTCAATTATATTCAGAAATTTTTATAAAATTCATTGTAAAAATTCAATTATTTTCATAAATAACAATATTCATCACAAGAATTCAATTATTTTCCAAATTAATAAAATTCTCCGCAGAAATTCAATTATTTTCAAAAAAATCTGAAAAGAAAAATTGTCAACATTTCAATTATTGCTTTATAAATGAATAGCAAAAATTCTTCGACAAAATTCAATTATTTTCAGGAATTTTAATAAAATTCATTGCAAAATTCAATTAATTTCGTAAATAATAATATATTCATCACAGGAATTCAATTATTTTGAAAAGCAATAAAATTCAATTATTTTTAAAATTTTTTAATTAAATTCTTGGCAAAATTTCAATTATTTTCAAAAAAATATCTTAATTCAATGATAAAATAATAATATTCATCACAAGAATTCAATTATTTTCAAAAATTTTATTAAATTCAATTATTTTCAAAATTTTTAATAAAATTCATAGCAAAATTTCAATTATTTTCAGGAATTTTAATAAAATTCATTGCAAAATTCAATTAATTTCGTAAATAATAATATATTCATCACAGGAATTCAATTATTTTGAAAAGTAATAAAATTTAATTATTTTCAAAAACTTTTCGTAATTTAATGATAAATAATAATATTCATCATAAGAACTCAATCATTTTCAAAAGTTTTGTTTTTTATTTTTTTTTTTAATTAAAAAAATTTTTAATCAAATTCATGACAAAAATTTTAATAAAATTCAATTATTTTCAAAAATTTTAATAGATTTCAATTATTATCAAAATTTTTAATAAAATTCATAACAAAATTTCAATTATATTTAAAAATTTTAGGAAAATTCATTGGAAAATTCAATTATTTTCAATTCAATTATGTTTCAAAAATTTTAATAAAATTCAATTATTTTCAAAAATTTTAATAAAACTCAATTATTTTCAAAAATTTTAATAAAATTCTATTATTTTCCAAATTTTTAATAAAATTCAATTATCTTCAAATATTTTAATAAAATTCAGTTATTTTCAAAAATTTTAGTAAAATTTATTGCAAAATTCAATTATTTCCCTTAAATAATAGTATTCATCACAAGAATTTAATTATTTTTCAAAAATTTTAATAAATTTCAATTATTTTCAAAATTTTTAATGAAATTCATGACAAAATTTCAATTATTTTCAAGAATTTTAGTAAGATTCTTTGAAAAATTCATTTATTTTTATAAATAATAGTATTCATCACAAAAATTCAATTATGTTTCAAAAATTTTAGTAAAATTCAATTATGTTTCAAAAATTTTAGTAAAATTCAATTATGTTTCAAAAATTTTAGTAAAATTCAATTATGTTTCAAAAATTTTAATAAAATTCAGTTATTTTCAAAAATTTTAATAAAATCCTATTATTTTCAAAATTTTTCTATTATTTTCAAAAATTTTAATAAAATTCAATTATTTTAAAAAATTTTAGTAAAATTTCTTGCAAAATTCAATTATTTTCATAAATCACAAGAATTTTCACATCACAAGAATTCAATTATTTTTCAAAAATTTTAATAAAATTCATGGCAAAATATCAATTATTTTCAAAAATTTTTCTTAATTCAATAATTTGTATATTTTTATTTTAATAAAATTTCTGATAAGAATTCAATTATTTAAAAACAATTTTGACAGAATTCAACACGAATATTCAATTAATTTTTAAAATAATGAAAATTTCACAGGAATTCAATTATTAATAATAGAATTTGCATAAATTTTTTTAAAAAGTAATCAATATTGTTTGAAACTTTTTTTTATAAAATTCTTCGCAATAATTCAATTTTTTAAATAAATAATAAAACTGATTGCAGAATTTCAATTATTTTTAATTCAATTTTAAACGTATTCCTCGAAAAATGTAATTATTCTTAAAAATTTTATTAAAATTCGTCGAAAATATTCAATTATTTAAATTGATAAAATTATGTATAAGAATTCAATTTTATAAAACATTTAATTAGTCAATAAATTGTCTATGTTTATATTTAAATAATTGAATTCTCGTAGAATTTTCGAATACAAATTGATTTAAAAATTAATTTCATTTAAAGTTTTAGATAATAATTAAATTTTGGAGAAATTACATATTAATAATTGCAATTTTTCAGAAATAATTGAATTTTGAAAAGATTTCAAATTAAAAACTTTGAAAATCTGAATTTTTCATACTTTTAATTAAAAATTCTGTGGAACTAATTTTTTCACAAAAAGCTTATTCGAAATTTTTGAAATTTATTTCAATTTTTTATTTTCTAATGTATGTATTGACGTAAAATTGAATTATGTTAAACAAATGGATTTAAAAATTCTCAAAGAAGAACTTTTTTAAAAATTATTAAAAATTGATTTAAAGAAGAATTTTTGATTTAAAAATTGGAGAAAATAATAATTGAATTGAAATGATGAAAATGATTTTGAAGAAGTTAGAGTAACAGGATTCTTATATTATAATATAAAATAATAAAATAATAATTGTATCACTTGGTCACCTTTATTTCTTCAATGTTTTTTATAATAAATATTTTTATTTTTTTTTACTTATAAATATTTTTATCAAGAAAAAGTTAAAATTTTGTCTGGAAATCAGGGAAAAACAGAATTAAATTTTTGTGGCAACCCTGAACTAACCAAAAATTTCTCTAATATTTACAAACATTAACAAAAAAAAAAAAAAAAAAAAAAAAAAAAAAAAAAAAATTCGAACAAATAAATAGGGTTCATCAGCAACGCAGGATTATGAAGACATCTTTAACAAACTCGAGGAGAAACAAACACGAATAATGCAATTGGAAAAAATGCTAAAACAAATGGAGGATCAACAGGAAAGATCTCAAACGCAAAGAGTTCGTTTAGAGAGTCGAATTGCCCAACTGGAAGTGTCGGCTAAAGAAAAAACACATCGGTATGTCGGGGATTATAATGTGCCTGTTAAAAATTTTCCAAAAACCACACTAAACATACCCTCACCACCGGCATCTAAAAATTTATTTCAAGAATTACAACTTTCCTCGCCACGAAATAAAATTTCCAAATTACCAAAATTCATTAATAGTACAAGCAATAAAAAACTTCCAACTTCTTTAAAATCACCGCGAATTAAAATTTCCCCACGTAATCGTTCAATTTTTCACGATAAGGAGCAAAATTCTAAGAATTCAAAAAATCACATTGACCACTTTCAAAGGGGTGGTCAACAATTAACCCCATTGACGAATGCTCCCAAAGTCCCCAAAGTTCAAGATTCTCAATACGATTGGTTATTAAATGCTTTTTCAAAACCCAGATTTACACTAAATTTGAATACATCGCCGACAAGGGAATCACCTAGAGATAAAAATTTAAGAAATAAATCCGTAAAGTCCCGTCGAATATGTAGTCAAAGTAAGGAATCGATAATTCGCGGTTATAAAAGAAGATCATTTCGATTTAATCGACCGCATTGTGATTATCAATCACCCCGAAAGCAAACGCCCTCGATTCGTGTTCGACAATATACTGTATAGAACACTTTTTTTCCAAATAATCAATTTTAATACATTTCATATTTTTACACTCAATTTACAATTTTTTCCACTAAGAAAATTAAAAAAAAAAAAAAAAAAAAAAAAAAAAAAAAATAATTTACATACAATCAATTTTTTCCTCAAGTTGTAAATTGATTTCTATTTACTTTTAATTAAAATAAATTATATAATATATTTAATTCTGAAAATAAAAAGTAAGCTAAATTTTATTAAAATAAGAATTCAATGGCGCATTAATGGTCTGCTTTAATAAGCTAGGTACTTGTTTGCAGTTTTGTTTTGTATTTGCGGGAAAAATATTTTTAAAAAAAATTCCTTACAGAGTGCCTAGTCAATTGAAGCAGACTTCGAATGTTGCAAATAAAATAAATCTCATAAATTTTATCTTTTTTTTTTATAGGAACAAAACATTCAGCATCCTGTAAGGAATTTTTTAGTGAAAAAAAAATTTGTTTTTTTCTTGTAAAAATTTTATGTAAATTTTATTCTATTTCAATGATTCTGTGCATCTGAATATCTGAATTCACGTGCATCATTGGGGGAAAAACGTATTTTCTTTTTTTTTTTTTTTTTAACGAAATGTTTATAAGAGTTTTATTTGTAAAGTTTTATTTTATATACGCATTGTTACAAAAATAAATAATACATTTAAAAACAAAATATGATAATTATGAATTTTAAATAATTGTTTTTCAAAATTATTTACGTAATATTTACCTATAGAAATAAGTTCTTCTTTAAAAAATCTTCGAGAATTAAATTATTTAAATACGAAAATTCAATTTTTTATAATAATTAAAAATCTTAAAAAATTATGATGAAAAAATTCTAAGAATTAAGAAGTTTTTAAAAATATTTTAATGTAATTTTTCGAAAACAATCGAATTTCTTAAAAGAGTTTTTTTATTATTTTAAAAACTAATTAATTTTTAGATGAATTTTAATTAAATATTTTGAACATTATTTTTTTCTCCAAAATGTTAAAAATAATTCAAAAATGTTATTATTTTTGTATGTATTTAAATTTTTGAAAATATGTCATTAAAAATTCTGAAAATATTGAATTTTAAAAAATTAGAAACTAATTTTCATTAATTTTCATTTTTGAATTTACCTTTAAAGATTTTTCATCAAAATTTTTGATATTTCAATTATTTTCAAAATTTACAATTAAAATTCTTCAAAAGTTGATTTTCAAAAATTATAAATATTAATACTTGAAATTATTGCTTTATAAATAAATAGCAAAATTCTTCGACAAAATTTAAATATTTTCAGGAATTTTAATAAAATTAATTGCAAAATTCAATAAATTTCCTAAATAATAGTATTTTCATCACAGGAATTCAATTATTTTGCAAAGAAAATAAAATTCAATTATTTTCAAAAATTTTTAATAAAATTCATGGCAAAATTTTAATTATTTTCAAAAAATTTCTTAATTCAATGATAAATAATAATATTCATCACAAGAATTCAATTATTTTCAAAAATTTTATTAAATTCAATTATTTTTAAAAATTTTATTAAATTCAATTATTTTCAAAATTATTACTAAAATTCATAGCAAAATTTCAATTATTTTAAGGAATTTTTATAAAATTAATTGCAAAATTCAACTAATTTCGTAAATAATAGTTTATTCATCACAGGAATTCAATTATTTTAAAAAGTAATAAAATTCAATTTATTTTCAAAAATTTTTAATAAAATTTATGGCAAAATTTTAATTATTTTCAAAAAATTTCTTAATTTAATGATAAATAATAATATTCATCACAAGAATTTAATTATTTTCAAAAATTTAAATAAAATTCAATTATTTTCCAAAATTTTATTAAATTCAATTATTTTCAAAATTTTTAATAAAAAATTTTTTTTTTTTTTTCATAGCAAAATTTCAGTTATTTCTAGGAATTTTAATAAAATTCATTGCGAAATTCAATTAATTTCGTAAATAATAGTATAATTATTCATCACAGGAATTCAATTATTTTAAAAAATTTTATTCAATTCAATTATTTTCAAAATTTTTAATAAAATTCTTCGACAAAATTCAATTATTTTCAGGAATTTTAATAAAATTCATTGCAAAATTCAATTAATTTCGTAAATAATAATATATTTATCACAGGAATTCAATTATTTTGAATTTAAAAAATTAGAAACTAATTTTCATTTTGCTTCCTCATAAAGGAAGCTTTGTATTAGCAAAATTTTGGATTGTCATTTTTTGACATATTTATAAATTTTTTTTTATTATGCCTAATACTTTAGTACTTTATATATGCACAGGAACTCCCCGTATAAATGTTCTAAATAAATAAAAAAAAATTTCGACGTATTTTAAACTCCAAAGTCCAAAAAACGGATTTTAAAAATTTGTCCCGATGTTTGTGTGTGTGTGTGTGTGTACTAACATTACATTTGCCTCAATATTTAAGAACGGGAAAGAGCTAAAGGCCTCAATTTTTTTTTAAATTGTAGGTCTCCCCGGGGGACATAGAATGAGAGTATTTTCAGCCCGATTCATGAAGTTTAACTATTTTTTTTTTGCTTTTTTCATTTAGTAAAAAAAAGTTTTTTGGACATAACTTAAAAAAATGTTAGGACACTTATAAACCTTTTTCTTTAGTTTTGTAGAGTTTTTTCACACGCATCTTTTGAGCCCCAATTGAACATTTTTCGTCCATATTAACCGAAGATATTAAACTTTTAAAAATCTAAAATTTTGAAAAATAAGACTTTTATAAAAAATTTTTTAAATTATGTAAAAGTAACTTCAAAAAATTATCACCAACTTAAAGAGCATTAAAAAACGCTTCGATTGACCTATTTTTAAACCTGATTCGGGCAGAAATTATGAAATTATTGGTATTTGAAAAATCAAAAATTGTGGAAAATATCATTTTTTCAACATTTTTGTTTATTAATTTATGTGTAATTATTAAACTACTAGCCAAACTATCCGCGCGCAAGCGCGCGGGAATGTTGTATGGGGCTGCTTATTTTAAACAATTTAAAAAATTTTAAAGAAATAATTATTATAACCTAACAAAGAGATTTAACTAACTAAAATTCAAATAATTTCACTCAATGGTCTCAATTTAAATAGAATTTACATTACTAGACTTAAACTATGGCTAGAACAATTACAATTAGTATCTGGGTTATGGAGATTTAAAAGTATATCATCCATAGAGTGGTATGAAGACCACTTTATATCGTTTCGTCCCGGTCCCCACTACTTGGACTCATCAGTAAGGCTACGTAGTGGGAGACCTGCCCTAGACGGGGGAAGCAAATTCGGAACTTGTATATATGCTACAAGACTAGCCCGTATTGCACTTGTGAGAGATCTATATGAGAAATTGGCGTAGATGCGAGATCTATTGGCCAATCCCCACAGGGTCATCTTTTGCATTGCTTATTTTATAAAGCCATTTTAAATTAAATACTTTTCAAAGAAATAATAATTATTACACACTGAAAAAAGTTTTACTTGAAATAGCGATAAGTTTCTCTAGAATAACGAAAGTATTAATTGAAGCACTAAATAATTTCGCTACTAAAGTGAAATCTGTAGTTCATCCAGCTAAATATTTTTTGCCGTGCATAACGAAAAAAGAATTAAATTAACATCAGATTTTCTACATTCAAAAAAACGAATTCAAATAGAAATTAATCATTTTACAACTTAACCAAATTCACCCCAGAAATCACTGAATTCGATAATTTAGAAGAAAGTCAGACAAAAGCAGGGTTCCTGCAGAATCTGGAAATCATGGAAATCATGGAAATGGTATGGAATTTTTAAAAGGCTTCTGGAAATCAGGGAAATCATGGAAAAGGCCTGTAATTTTTAAAAAATTCTAAATTTTTTCAGTTTTCCATTTTTTCTCTTGAATAAAAATTCAAATAATAATGAAGCTAAATCCCATAAAAGAGAGGAAAAAATGTTGAATTTTAAGAAAATCAAATTTTTGAATTTTTTCGAATTTTTGATAATTTTAGATTTTTTACCAAAGAGTCGAGACAATTTAATAAGTAAAGTATTTTCCAAAAGCACAAAAATAATGAAGCTAAATCCTATAAAAGAGAGGAAAAAATGTTGAATTTTAAGAAAATCGGATTTTTGAATTTTTTCGAATTTTTGATAATTTTAGATTTTTTACCAAAGAGTCGAGAGTATTAAATAAGTAAAGAATTTTCCAAAGGCACAAAAATAATGAAGCTAAATCCCATAAAAGAGAAGAAAAAATGTTGAATTTTAAGAAAATCGGATTTTTGAATTTTTTCGAATTTTAGATTTTTTACCAAAGAGTCGAGACAATTTAATAAGTAAAGTATTTTCCAAAAGCACAAAAATAATAAAGCTAAATCCCATAAAAGAGAAAAAAAAATGTTGAATTTTAAGAAATTCGGATTTTTGAATTTTTGATAATTTTCGATAATTTTAGATTTTTTACCAAAGAGTCGAGACAATATAATAAGTAAAGTATTTTCCAAAAGCACAAAAATAATAAAGCTAAATCCCATAAAAGAGAAGAAAAAATGTTAAATTTTAAGAAATTCGGATTTTTGAATTTTTGATAATTTTCGATAATTTTAGATTTTTTACCAAAGAGTCGAGACAATATAATAAGTAATGTATTATCCAAAAGCACAAAAATAATGAAGCTAAATCCCATAAAAGAAAAAAAAAAATATTGAATTTTAAGAAAATCGGATTTTTCAATTTTTGATAATTTTCGATAATTTTAGATTTTTTACCAAAGAGTCGAGACAATATAATAAGTAAAGTATTTTCCAAAAGCACAAAAATAATAAAGCTAAATCCCATAAAAGAGAGGATAGAATGTTAAATTTTAAGAAATTCGGATTTTTGAATTTTTGATAATTTTCGATAATTTTAGATTTTTTACCAAAGAGTCGAGACAATATAATAAGTAATGTATTATCCAAAAGCACAAAAATAATGAAGCTAAATCCCAT